CCTTATGTTCATTCATACGAGGTGTCTATGCCAAAACGAGCAGAAGGGAGAAGCTCTACCTGCGCGACATAGTTGGAGCGAAAGTAATATTATGATACAAGCGAATGTTCTGGAAGCTTTGAAGAAGAGAAACAAGAAAATTTGCAAACAGATGTGACCATAAAATACGTCCCAGAAACTCTAATGTCCAGGTGATAAATTTTCGACTAAAAGTAACCAAATAATTTCCGACTAAACTTGCAAACTCCGCAAGAAAGCCAATAAACGGCAGACTACATCGTGAGCAATAAGCGACATGCATGTAGAACACGGAAGGCGTATCAGTTACGCACTTTTGTTGCTACGAACAGCCTCTCCAGAAAGCCTTCGCGTCTATACATATCCAATTGGCGCATCTCTTCCAGGACGTCAAAGTCCACGCCGTCTCTTGAATATCCAAGTGTGTCATAGGGGTGGAAGAATCGCACTTCCGTACCTTCGTTTATCTGGCGGGAGTAGAATTAGACAGAATGCCGAACCTCAGCATAACAAAATCGGCATACCGTTTGCAAACGTTTTGAATCAAAGAATTGATCATTTCTGCGATTATCGAACGTTGCCTAGAGCATTCACTCGTCAATTGGATCCATACAGCGTCGAGTGATCGCAGCGTACCATCGCCCAGTCAGGCTCGACGACGAACCCGTGACGCGGAACTTTCAAACCCTTCCAGGGGAATTGGTCGACAGGACGGTGGGTATAGCGCTCTTGAGTCCCCCGGACTGCGATGGCGAGATGGGCAGGCTGGGGACGGGCAGGAGGAGTAGGAGTGGCAAACTGTGTCATTCTTCACGTATCGATTGAAGGTATAGAAGACAGGCAACGAGGAAGGACGAGAAAACGAACGCGAGAGGAATGAGTCCGGCAAAAGAGAGAATGACTTCAAGCAAACTGAAAGAGGGAGAGAAGAGAGAGACGGGGAAGTGGGGCGTGGTGAAAGCATTAGGATTTTAGGGGAACAAAGAATGAATTGCAGACAAGCGAGAAGGGCGTTGTCCGTTTCCAGCAGCGACTCGATTTCCAGACCAAGCAGCACGCGTCTGCGAATCCGGAGGCAAATCGCTGCTGGTCAAATCTGCTTCCGTCAGGTCCTCAAGTATACTCGCTGGCTACTCAAAGAGAACTTCAACGACCCGGTACTAGAATTTTGCACTTAATATCTCCAGTTGCGCCTATGCCTTCCAAAGCGGAGATGAACTGAGATGAAAGCAACCGCGGAAACACCAGTGTCCTTGTTCCTCTTGATCACTTCTGACCACAGATTACACGTTGCACCCCATCCAACTCACTTCCTTCCATTCACTACCAAAACCAGAGCAATTAGTACGGCTTCCATACAGAATTTCAGGGCAAGGTGACAACGACTGGTCTGCGAGTCTATCGTTTGGTAGACCGGATGAACGCGGCAGCACATCTTACGGAGTCACATTGCGGAGCCTTCCACTTGGCCCGGATGTTGCTTGGTTCTAGGATGCTTTCCATTCTCAGAAATGCACCGTGTCTTGTACCAACAGCACGTTTATCGACGAAACGATCTCGTTTAGGGGACTCGTCTCTCGTCGATTTCGGTAAAGTACGGCTATCTTCGTCAAAAACCGTATATTCCTTGTTGAAGTGCACCTTCTTTTGCTAGGTTACCTCTGAGCGGATACCATGAACCGTCCCAGAACTTTCAGAGCTTCTCAAATATTCACTCGAGAGCCCAGAAAGAAAACCTCGTCAATTCTCGATAGAGATCGTGATGACCTAATATAGAAGCTGAGTCAGCCAGTGTATTGATAAGTGGCACAAAAAGACTCTTACACTCCGAATAGCATTCTTAGATACAAGACGTCACTCAACCATTAGCCCTCCAATAAACTGGATTCTATCCCATGGATGGACCAGATATTTCCGAATCAAGTTGGACTGCATCAAGATCGACTTTGCAAGAGACAAGGAGTCAACTTGAACAAAGAAGCTTTCAAAAATCAGAATCCTCAAGACCGTCAAGCCATCAAACAACGCAGTTCCAGTTCAAAACGAAGCGAAAAAACCTGCAAAGGAGTTGCACAAGGACGAAGTCGAAGACTGTCAAGTTTATCAGCTTCTCAGAAGCAGGAACAAGAGAAATGCGTGACTTTACCTGAAGATCCTTCATGACCCCGAGATGCCTTCGATACTGGAATCTATGCTAAATTTTGGAATCTCCTCCGAGAGAAAGCAAGGACATGGAACAAGGTTTGCATCTTCCTATCTGCAAGCAGTCCAAGAGTCTTGAGTAATGGTCGTTGTGTACGACAGATCACAGAATCCCGGGCTCTGCAACGTGTGGCTTGTTCCCCTCTATGAGTAGACCAAGATCAGACCTCGAACCACCACCCATCGCCGTCGCCGAACATTGATTTAACCCCGAGGCTGCATCCCACCCGGATTTTATAGCCGGATTCTCTTTCGGTGAGGAGAAGTCACTTTGATGATTCCACTCCTCCAAATTGCTAAACGTTGGTCCCCTTGCGTCTCATTTCCCCTTTCCTCTTGTGGGCCCTCTTTCCCCCATTCTCCAGTCCAAGACCTGGGCTTCGTAGTAACGAGAGGGAGCAATAAGGAAGATCGAAGCATGTCGCAGATGTAAGTTATCGCGTCACGGGTCAGCCCTTTTCCCTTCGGAATCTGCCAGCCACTCGCTTAGAACAAGGTCTGTCGAGCGTGTCACCACTCCAACCGACCATCCACCTCCCTTTCTATCTATTCGAACTGCTGATGTTGGTCGATGTCGACGAGTGAATTCCCTCTATGAATCGGATTTTTCTTCGGGAGTTTAGGAGCGTGCCTTTTTTCTTGGAAGGCTGCCACAAACTCGGTAAGACATACTCAGTAGCATTCAGTCCTCGTCGCTCACCAACTCGTTCACAACGCCCTCTAGTCACCACGGAAAAAATAAGGGAAATATCAGAATCACTATGTAGGAAGCCGACGCCATGCAGCAACTTTTGGGTCATGGTGGCAACGTGCAGAGCCAACAGTAACTCCAAATATTCGGCGGGTAATGCCATGTCAGATCCTGTTGACATCACACGTCAATCGGAGGGAGGAAGCTTGCCGATTAAGCTTCGATCAGGTTCAAAAATAAAACAGTATATGGCCATTATGATCAGAATGCATAGAATCTTTTGCTATGTACTTCCATGTCACTCATAAATACTACAACGCGCACTTTGGTACAGAAACGGTTTACACGCTGGAGCATTTATCCACTTGAATCATTATACTGGCATCAAAGTGCCTAGGTTGAATTTCGCGGGCAAGCGTACTACTATCTCCAAAGTGTATATACAGTGATGACCTTCTGGAACGCTGTCTCTTCCAGCATTTCGTTTGTTTCCAGAGACGACTTCTAATACAATAAATGGAACCGCCGCGCCTTCTGGAGATAAAAGCTAGAGTTGTTGAAGAAGTTTCCGATAGTATCTTCTAACAGGTAGCCTATTAGTTTATCTGCCTAGAATGAGTCTTAAAGGCTAGTCAGAAGAATGCTTACGATGCTTCTGAAGACTATCGTCTCAAATAGAATTCTTACACTAAAATGAGAGTTGATGAAATTCTTTATATTCCGCTGAAGGGTTCAACAAACCCACCCGTTTATCAGATGTTGAGAGATAACCTCTACTTACTTAGCCAGCGGAATGATATAATAGAGATTTGACGAGAGAATTCTGAGGTTTCTCTCATACACGGAATCCCAGATCACTCTTGCTGAGCCTTGAAGGTCTGGATGATCGCTCATCACCCACCGCGCCCGACATGAAGGCTGCTGGAAGGCTTTCAACATCATGAATGCATCGGCGAAGATTGCGGAAGGGAAGCGTACAAGAGGGGCCAAGTGTCCATCGACTGAGCCATCCTCATCCTATCGTTCTCCCCTGCATCATCTTCTCGTATTGAAAATTATATTCGTTTTTCTTCACATTTTGCAAAATGAGGATTCTGGACTATCCAACACCACGATGTGCACCCTGCGTGACTTGTAAGCATTTGCTGCCCTCTTCAAGTGTGGCTTGTGACCGTCTTCCGAATGACTCAAGACACGTTCCAAGATATTCAGCGTAAATTGAATTAATTTGAGTGTAACCTAGGACAGACCGAGATTCCGTGGTACTGCGACGAGAAAATACGATGGACAAGGATCCTTAAAGGTGGGCTGCAAGCGGGAACTAAGCGAGTGGCACGGGATGGCAGATTCCGAGGACGGATTCAAGCAGAGGGCTGAGTCGCGTCCTGCCTTGAACCAAACTACATCCGTGTAGGCGCTCCCTCTGCGCCTGCATCTTTTCCTTTAGTCACTTTGAGATCAATGCAGACGGATAAGGGGGAAGTGGGAAACCAGATCGAGAGGGAGGAAGGGAAGAGGGTGGCCTTGGGTTGTCCAGATGAGAATCGCAGATATTGATGCGTTGAGGTGCGTCTTGCTCACGAAAACCATTTCCCGGTCACATAGGTGGCACAAGAGACAGCATGCATGTCGAGCAAGCATTCAAGCAGGTCGACAGATACCTGCCTTGTTGCTCGATTCGGTTTTCTTGGAGACGGGATAGATAGGTCGAACCACACATTGTACAGAGTCCTCAGTTCATTCGTTGTCAAGCATAAAAACCACTACTCGTGCCACTTTTTCTCGAGGAATATTTATTGGCATCTTGATACTGCTTGAGCACCTTGGAGGGAATAGCGTTTTGAGGGAACATTGACGTCAGAATTTGAATTTGGGTCTTGACATCGGGACTGTTGTTGGATGCTAGGGTTTCTCCAGTAAAGTTGTCACACTTATCTTTTCCTTGCTTTTGACATACTGATCCTTTTCTTAGTCTTTAGGTTGAACCTCTTGTGTATCCAGTTTTCAATATCCAGCTGCTTGATGACTTGGCTGTCCTTGAGGGTTTCGTGTTCAAATTCGGTTCTTGTTTCTTGATAGGTCCACTTTGACGCAGCCCAACTTGAGAGGATCTCTTTGCTTGCCTTGTGAAGGTGTATGGATTGCACAGACTGGCTGAAGTTGCGCAACATCACGGTATCTGGGTATGATATTCAGTGGGTGTGTGTGCCTTTTGTTCGAACCCATCAAAACTTTGGCTGACTCACCCTGCCATATTAGGACATTTCTGCCAATGCCTCTGCGCTGGACACAGGTCCTCTGGGTGCTCTTGAACGGCTCTCCGAAGACTTTGGAGAGTACGAGAGGAGCTCTAAGAACCAGCTGAAAGACCGTAAGATGCAAGAACAGATGCAATGTGGTGAAGAAGATAAGAGGTACCTCTGTAAGTGACACAGAGTTGTCGTGCACGATCGAGGACGTAGTACGCATGCGCCTTAAGGTCAACGTCCCCTCGTGCAAGAAGCTATAAGCCTCTGGAGATGCGGAAATATTCCAAGCAGGAGAACTTCCAAGGCAAGCAAGCATAGAATTTTGAACTGCAACAGAAGTGCAAACCACCTCGCCTCGTTCATCACATTTCACCAATCGACGGGTTCATGCGACGGTCGTAAATGTTCTTGTCATAGGTCCCGTATGGAAGGCGTATCAGGTTTCTGGAGCGGAAGGAGAAAGAGAGATGGGAAGGCAGAAGAGATGTGGTGAGGAGGGTGCAGAACTTCGGAGGTGGCGGAGAGCGGCTGAGGAGCAGCACTAGGGACCAGAACGTTCGTCCTCACTTCTGTTGATATTCATCTCGACCGCAGTGCCCATCGCGCTGCCTGGCGTACCTGTGGTATCTAAGCCAATTCTCTGAACCGTTCGAATTCGCCTCGAGGAACTTGCAGGATGCTACAGAAATTCCACGGAAGCGGATTCAACGAGAGATGATTTGCCTCCGGATTTGCAGTTGTCGTGTCTCGCGATCGAGCCGGTGCTGAAAACGGACAACGCCCTCCTCGCTTGGCCACAATTCATTCTTAACGACCTAAAATTATATTTCACCCTAACCTCTCCGTCACCCGCTTTCTCTCACTCCCTCTCTCACCTAGCTTGCTCGAAGCAACTATCTCTCTTGCGCTCTCTTTCCGTAACTCGTCTACCGTTCTTTCCCTTTATTCTATACTCAATATCAACGCGTAAAAATGGCACAACGTGCTAGATCTACCCCGCCCGCTCGCCCTCAGCCCTCGCAACTTGCAATCACGTTTCAGCAATGCCAGAAGCGATATGCGAATCGTCCGATAGATCACTTTCCCTGGAAGGATTTCCATTTGAGAATGTCAGGACATGGATATGTTGTTGGGACTGATTGGGCAATGGTGTGTAAGGTTCTGATTTCACAGCCGGATCGAATGCTGATATAGATGATAGTCAACCTTCGATACGCGTACGGAGGACCAATTCTTTGATCGTAAACGCCTTCAGACAGTGAGACTCCAATATCATTTCCCTTGTTTGAAAGCCTAATGACCGGCCATCATACCAGATCGATGAAAACACCGAAGTCCTGTTCTTTCACCCCTTCGACCCGCTTAACTACTCAAACGATGCTCTGGACTTCAATGTTGCAGAGGACGACAAAGTTTGGTTCGAGGAGCCTGCGCTAGAAGGTGTCTTGAAGAAATTATATGTTGGCACGAAGGTATGGATAATTTGCTCGGCTTCTCGGGATGAATTAAGCAATTCTAATATACGTGCAGTCTGCCCTCTCGCAGCTTGAGCTCAAAGCTCGGCGTGTCTACTATCATCTTTTTGGCCATTCGTAAACTGTTCCCGCTACTTGCTTGCCAAGTCCTATCTATGGCTTGGTTCATTCCTTTCGATGGCGAAGAGAAATTGGGAAATATCTACTACTCGATCTATCAACCATGTCATGCGTAATTGGCATACCTTGTATATTAGTAACTATACAGCTTCGTTCTTATGTATATAGATTGCTATTATTGGTGAACAAATAACGGACATGTGTTCATTCAGGCACACTAGAATACATTCATTTACACTAAAGTGTCACGAGCGGTACTAGTTGCTTGAGGAATGCTTTTAAACAGGTGACCGGATGCAACAGTATATTTAAATTATCGGCCACCACTATCCTCGTATCTACGACTTGCAACACAGACATCGAAGATCATGACAGACCAAAGCACCACAGCACCTCCAGTTACTCCATCATGGTCGGCAGGTCTTCCAGAACCGCTCAGCGTTGCCGAGAGTATATCACCGGAGATGCTTGCCGAGTTTATTAAGACTGGTTCGAAGCAGGCTGGAAAAGATTATATCGTAGTCGATGTCCGTCGGACGGATTTCGAGGTTGAGCCAGACCAGCCATAACTCACTAACAGAACCTATCTGATAATAGGAATGATACTTTGATAGGACTACGCCATCCCCGGCGCGATCAACCTCCCCGCACACTCTTTCTACCCCACTCGAGCTGGTGTGGTATCCATACTCTCTAATATCCCACTCGTGATCTTCCACTGCCAATCGTGCGGGTCTGCAATGTCGCGTGGGAGAAAGGTGGCGGCGTACTACCAGGACGCGTTAAATGAGAAGGGTATTGCTGTTACGAGGAGTAAGGGTTTGTACCTTGAAGGTGGGATTAAAGGGTGGGTTGAGAGGTATAGGGATGATGGTGCGTTAGTGATTAAGTTGTAGGTATGGGTACATGTGTGGGATGAAGGGTATGTATGCAAAAGAAGATATCTACGTATGTATGTATGTGCTACGGAGTAAATTCTACCAAGGAATAAGTCTATTAACCTCCTCTTCAACAATCCGCCCATACTTATTCACACCATTCACCCAAAGTGCAAACCAAACCAACGAAAAACTAATCCCGTACAAACACCCAACAGCACATTGTTGCCACGTATGATGACCCAACCAGATTCTCGAACGAATTATTCCTATAGCCCAGGGAATGACGATGAATGGTGGGATGATTCGAGTGTATTGTGATTGTGGGAAGGATGGGTGGAGAGGGAGGTAGAAACATGCGAGCGGGATGTAGACGCCGAAATGAGAGATTGTGGCGGAGTGTGTGCTGGGCATGCTTAAGACGAGGTACGGTTAGTAAGGCGTTGCGGTGTCTTAGTGGATAGCGTTTTGATTTGATTTGCTTACCCGTACGTTTTCTTCTTTGATGTGGGATGTAGAGGCCGAGGCTGTTTATTCACAGCGAGCCATGAGCTGAGGAGTTACACGGCAAGTAGAGGACGGACCTGGCGAATGAAGCGTTTGATGACTTTGACGGAGAGCGAGCAGCAGACGGCGCCTGCCGCGAAGTAAGCAACGCCCGCCGAGCGAGTGTAGAGTACACAGCACGCAGTTAACGATGTAACGATGAGATTTGTCTGACGATGACAACATTGCGTAAGGAACAAGGCGGCCGAAAACAACGCAGATAGACGCGGACGCACCTCCTCAAACACCCATCGTCGAATAACGCTGTCATTGTTGTCCATGTACTTCCGTCGCTCTAAGTGGTAAATAGTCTAAGTAATTAAGCGTGATTGTTGTAGTTTCCAGGGAGATTAAAAGGCCAGGGGAGAGGCGCGGAAGATCGTCATGATGTCGGACGGATTGAGAAGCGGCCGAGAGCGTGGCTATGCACGAGTTATTTTTTACAAGTGACCCTAATGCAGGCCGGTCTCAAATCCGTGTACTCCGCCCCTTTCTTCTTGCTTATCCACATCTCCCTCCTTCCACTAACCCACCCCTTTCCATCCTTTCCCTCTTTAACCTCTTCTACTGACTTTCCCTGACCCTCTGCTCAACCATGCATCTCTCCTACGCGCAGGCCGCTTTCTCTGTCCTTTCTACCCTCTCCCTCTTCCCTTCCTCCCTGGCGGCCTCTTTGACTAGACGCGCTACCACCTGCAATGGCCACCCCGAGGTACGAAATGGCCGTATCTCTCACTCCCGTACCCGGCACTGACTCACTTTATCTAGTTCTGTGACAGGAGCTTCGGAAACGTCTCCTTTGTTGGTGCCCACGACTCCTACGCGGTCGGAACAAACAACTGTCAGTTTATTTCGCGCTTTCATCTCCACACGCCTCGAACACGCTCTGACCTCTTTTCCTAATACCAATAGTGGCAACAAATCAAGATTATGACGGTGAATCAACACCCCTCTTTTCGCTTCTTGATCACACCCGTTTTCTGACCAGACATCCCCGCGTCTTTTATTTGATATTCGCATTTTTTATAAAAATTTCTAGTGACCCAGCAATTGAATGACGGCATTCGCATGCTGCAAATGCAAGCCCATTTATCGAGTAACGTTATTCATTTGTGCCATACAAGCTGCATTCTCTACGATGGTGGAACGTTGCAGGACTACCTCACCAAGGGTGAGTTAGCATCGCATCTAACTGATGGATAGGTATCAGTTACTGACATCTTTGTGACAACAGTCAAAACTTGGATGGATGCCAATACGAATGACGGTAAGACCAATGCGATGATCTTTGCTCGTCGCTCCGAGTTAATTTTGGAACCTTACAGTTGTTACACTTCTGATCGTGAACTCGGACCAAATTACGCCTGCCCAGTTTGATTCGGTGTTCCAGGCCGCGGGTCTGAAGGATCTGTCTTACACGCCTTCGTCATTCCCGGTGACAAACACTCAGTGGCCCACGCTCGGGAGTATGATTGACAGTGGTAAGCGGCTAGTGACGTTCCTGGATGCCGGGGCAGACTCCTCATCGGTGCCGTACATCATTGATGGTAAGCAGCTTCAAAAGCTAATTAATAATTTAATTACTGAGTCGGAAGCCCATTCCTTCCAGAATTCACAAACATGTGGGAAACGGCATTTGACGTCACGGATCCCACGTTCGATTGCAATGTGAACAGGACGAAGGGTGACTCGTCAACACAGCTGTACACGATTAATCACTTCCTGGACATGGATGTGAACATCATTGCATCAACGGTAGCGCCCAACAAGGGCGCGCTGAACACGACGAACGCGGCTAATGGCACTGGTTCTCTTGGCCTGCAGGCTTCCCAATGCGGAGCCGAGTATGGCCGATACCCTAATTTCATGCTCGTCGACGTAAGTCCGAATTTGTCGAAGTTGTGTCGCGTGACTGATGTACCTTGTTCCTCGATGTGTCTATCCATAGTTCTATGAATACGGCGGAGGCTCTGTATTCCAGGTTGCGGCGACGTTGAACGGCGTCACGTACTCTCCCTCGTCGGCGATCGCCACCCCGATCCCGGACACGTCAAGCAGCAGCGGCTCATCGAGCAGTGGCAGTAACAGTGCTGCATTACCCGCGTTGTCCGTTCCTCATGGACTGTGGGCGAGCATGGTGACGTCAGTTGCAGGAATAGCTGTGGGAGCATGGACTATTCTATGAGTATTCATTGATTGAAGACATTTATAAAAAGAGACTATTTACGGATTAATTTTGGATACGGACCGCATTAAGCATTTGAGTAGTAGCCGTGATTAGATAGTGTCGGGTCGGGCTCCTGTAACTATTGATTGATTGATTATTGTTTGGCCAGGCAGGACAAACGGAGATTTGATCTGCTTCCGCCTATCCTCTAAAAGATTCCGGCCGGATAAAGCAAGCGACTTCCCAAAAAACGTGCTCACGACACAGCCACTGCTGCCAACTCTAATCGCAGTTCAGTAACAAGCTGAGCTGGGATGACATCGTGCGAAAGTCGAGTGGAATGCGGACTCTCTCCTGCCTGCAATCCCTTACCTGTCCCTTTGCCTCTCCTTCTTCTGTCTCTGCCATGTCCCTGCCCCAGCGATGAACACTCACCACATTCCAATGGGTCGCTCTCTCGCTCCCAAGGACACCCACATGCCTCCCCAGCAGCATCAAGGGGCAGTAGATCCGCTTCCTCGCCCTCCTCACAATCAGCCCTTCTTGAATCCTCTTCTCCCGCCCTCGGAACAGGACGCGCGCCCTACGTTGTCCGCGCCACCATCTCATTTCCCGGCCCCGGTTTCGCCGCACTTCTATACTCCCCCGCCCGCCTTCCAAGCTCAGCCCTTTGTGGCGCATGTACAGCACCAGACGCGCAATAATGCACATCCGCCACCTTCCTCCAATGACTCTAATACCAGCGACGGGTATAACCTCAGCTTTCCCTCCATCGAAGCATTCCAGCGTTGGCGCGCGGAATTGGAGGAAAGTGACATAGTTGAGTTCATCAAGGAACCTGCCTCCCCGCCTAATCCGGGTCCTTACTGCATCGCTCAACACACGAGACTGGTGTGCAGTCGTCAATTCAAAGGCGTGAGGGACAAGTACGCCAAGCCCTGTCCAGAGAGGAGACGCGTTTCTCCCAGCCATAAGGTTCGAAGGACTTCTTTTTGACTTGGCCTTCCTTAATAATACTCATCGACAAGCAGAACGAAGCAGAAGGATGTCCAGCGTCCATCAGTTACAAGGTGTGCTACGGCGGCGAACCAGGCGTGCACGCAATGTGTTTGTGCTCTTTTTCCCTTGTTACGTGAAGACGCTATTAACCCTCATTGATTTATTTTCGTGAAGACTTCCATCAACATTCGCATCCAATTGGCCCAGAGAACCTCCCATTCACACGAAGAGGACGTAAACCGGCAGAGTATGACAATAAGCTCCTGGAACAGGGTCGCTTCTCCCGCATCAACCCTGAGCTAAACGGAACGGGTTCTTCTGCCGTCCAGGGTGCCGCGGCATCCAAAAATAAGGAACTCCGAGCCGAAGATGCTTTGCGAAACGACCAGCCGCCGCCAATGGGACGACTTGCGCCTCCTGGTGGACCCCCGAACTTCATTGTCGATGCGTTGCCTTATCAGAAGCAGCATGTTCCTGGCGTCGTTCAAGAGCGGTCGTATCCCCCTGTGCAGGCAGCGCAGGCGTCTTTTCAATCACAGGTGCCCGCATCCAGTTCTCCGTTGACGACGCGCAGTACTACAACATACGAGCAAAGCTACATCGGTAACCCATCACAACCGCCCGAGGCGCCTGTGTCTGCGTCTGCTCCTCCGTACCTTGGACACAGTAACCACGTATATGCGTACCAACAAGAAGCAACCTCAAATTTTCAGAACGGGCAAGTACACCAGCCTCAGCCGAACCATGTAATCCACCAACTGGAGGTACACGATCACCAATCCCAGTACCTCCCTACGCCTACGACCCCGTCGTCGCAAATACAGACGTTCACTCCGCCTCAATCCCATCCGAACTCTCACGCGGCTTACGCGCATTTCTCCCATCATGACGTCCAGGCTCAACCGGCACAAGGTCAGACAGCGCGTACTTTCGATACGGCAACTCATGCTTCGCCCGTGTCTCCTATCACGCCACAAACTCGATCGATTACGCATCCGCCGATAAACTCCCAGGTATCTATATCACAACAGCAACAGCAGCACGTCTATCCGCAGAACGTCTTGTCCAGCGAAGACCGGTGGAATCGCTTGGAGGCGCTATTTCAAGCAATCAAGCTCCGTGCGCGTAGCCAAGTTCTTCCCGAACCTGCCATCTCCACACTCGAAACTCTACTTCTTCAGCTTTACTCCGAGGGAGAACGGCAGCACCAACAATCGCAACAACAACCGCCACCGCTGGAGCAACAACAGGGATATCCACGGCCTGAGAATAACCAAATTTACAGAGAACAAGCGATGTATAGGTAAAATAGCTTCCATGAAGCTTGTCTACTTGAAAAAAGAGGGTGTTGCCGGACGTACTGCTGTCATGAATCACGGGTGCGCCGCACTACCACACCACACTGGCAATTCCGTAGTCCGATGATACGCATTCCCGCCACTGTGTAGGAATGGAAGCGCGTGGATTCGCTAAGTGGGTGCATTATGCGGTTTTGTTCGTTTGTTTGCTTTCACACATATTCATCGACACGGGAAAAGTTTGTTTCTCTGCTGTGCGCAGTAGATTGTACACTTCTTTTGACTTCTTTGTTCTCTGTTTTTTTTTGTCGTTTTTCTTCTCTTCTTTTTTCTTCCCTATGCATTTGAGTGTTTGTGGCGCGATCGAACGCACTTACTTGACTTTTGTGTCTTGCTTCTCACCCACCCAGTCCGATCTACTACACAACTTTATTTAATACATAGACAGTTTTATTTTATCTTATTGTAGAGATGTACATATACCGTTCCGTACTCACATACCTCCGTTTCGTCTTCGTCATCATCGTTCCAAAGCACATGTGTTACTACGTCTCATCTAATTTTCCACTGTAGCCGTCCCCCAAAATTTTTTGCCTTCATCTGACTGAAAAGCTCGTCCACTTGTCCACTTACTCTGTTCTCCCGTTAACTTTTTATACTTTCATATTGTAGAATTCATTTTTATTCCCACCAAGTTGACTGGTGTCCGATTTATCATTTATCTATCCCAAACGAATGTATGAAAATTGCTTCCGTCCGTCTGTATGAGTCTATTCATTGACTGTTAAGCGAGATGATGTACAGACGGGTATGCGCAAAAGGAAAAAACGAGGAATGAAATGAATGGATGATGATTAATATGAGCTGTGTGCTTTGCTTCTCCCGTAAATTTTTATATAGTAGAATTCATTGTTATTCCCACTAAAGTCGATCCTGCGTCCGATCTGTTGTGTTGAAAGGATGTTTAAAAATTGCTTCCGTTTTGTTCGGGCATATGTAGCGCAAACGGATATATTCAAAAGGAATAAAGAACAGAAAGGAATGAATGAATGTTGAATAATGAAGTAGAGTAAAGGGGTACGTACGTCCCTGACTGAGACGAGGAGTATGGAGCCAAAGGAGCATGGAAGCAAAGTGGTATCTTATCATTATCATTACGTAAATTCGTGCTAAGTAGACGCCGATCAGCTGGGTAATGATTGAATTGATCGATCACTGGACCTACAAATAAATAGCAGCAACTGAGCCGCGGCTTGCACAGTTGTTGCCACGACGTTAGAGCGATCGTCGTCTTGCGATCGCGTGCGTGTCCGTCCGTCCGTCATGTCGTGATGGTGGGCTAGCGGCAGTGTCGCGGGAGAGTAAGACATTCATCGGGAAACGTCATCACTTCCCACTTTCTTTCTTTGTTTGACGGCTGGACGGATACGTATGCTGTGCTATGCGCTTTCTTGGATTTCCTAAATTCTCTCTTCTACAACGTCTAGAGTCTTGCTTTGTTTATTGCTATCTTCTTTGCACATCGTTATCAACTGTCTTCTTGCTACTTATCTGGCGACGTCGCTCTTTGCCAACTAATACTTCCCAGGACTCTTACGTGAATACTGCGCTGCTACTCGACTACCGCCACACGACACCCACACACGGAGGCCTACTCGTCACCCCTTCCGCACCCGCTGCGTCATTGCTAACTTCCCTCTTCACGATATAGTACACCTATCAGCCCTTTCATCAAGATGGGGGAGATATTCATCCCTCCCTCTACTCCCGCTGACACTCAGCCCCGATCACTTCCCCATGTGGCGTCTTCGCGGTCTCAGAATGCAGACGCGAAGTTAACGTTAACGGCACCAACTACTCCAAAGACGACTCCGTTGATCATGGTGGAAGGGTTCTTATCCGCTACCGGATCAATCGGTTGGTCGCCCTTACGGAAGTACCTTGCGGGGTTTGAGGGGATGCTTGGGGAGAGGGAGGTTATGATTGCTAGGTCCGTTCGTGTGTCCAATATTTCTTCCTTTATAGTTTCTTTTTATTTTGGTTTATTTTACGTTCGATGGATGAGATGACTAAAGATATTTTGTGATAGCGTTGGACCTGTTAGCTCTTTACATGACCGAGCTTGTGAGCTTTACTACACTATCAAGGGCGGAACAGGTGCGTTTTGCCATTGCTTCCGTTCAAAGATATCCGCTGAGCATTACGTTCCAGTCGACTACGGAGAGGAACACGCGAGGCAGAACGGGCATAAACGATTTGGTCGTCACCATTTAACAGGATTGTACCCGACCTGGTCACTGTTTAACCCGTTGCATTTTCTTGGACATTCAATCGTATGTCTATTTTCCCTATTTATAATCGTGAACGTGTTTGCATTTATCTGAGACGAACGAACGTGGTACAGGGTGGAACGACTATTATGAAACTGCAATACCTTCTTTCTATCGGTTTCTTTGGTAGTGAGGGACATCCGGATATGATTCTTTCAGTAACTACAGGTACAGTCTCATTAATCGTAGTTTATTTGATGATTTGTTGACATCGCGAGCAGTATCAGCTCCTTTCAGAGGAACACAACTCGTCTACAGCCTCGGCGAACGCAAAGACAGTGCTCCCGCCGTCCGCCCCTTCTCCGTCGGCTCAGCAATCGCAAAGGCAGTACACGTCCTCTCCTATTTTTCCCCTCTCCTCCCCAAGTCAATCGACTTGCACTCCGACAGTCGCGCACTATCATACCACGAATCCAGTTTCAAAGAGTTTCTTCATCATTTATGGAGGAGCGATTGGGCCGAAGGACGGGACGCCACGCCATTCGACTGTACCTTCGATGCAGCCGACGAACGAGATGCAACAGACAAGGAGGGCGTTTGTAATCCACGGACTTATTATACAAGCTTCACAGCTTTATTCGTAAGTCGGGAGAAGCTCCTCTGCACAATTAAAGAAGACACTCATGCAATTCTTACATTATTTTCACTAAACAAATACTCACAGACAAAGCGAATTTCCTCAGACGGCCCAAAGCACTCTCCACATCTGTCCAACATCCTATTTCCGCCGCTCTACCTCGGCGCACGGGCAATCGGGACATTCGATTTCTCAGCACTAAAACCTCCACCTTCTTTCCTTCGCGCTCGAGTCCCTCAACTCAATTCTCTTTCTCCCATCCCTCTTTCGATGTCTTCGAAATCACAATTACCATCACGAATTGCGATCTCCCGAGTCCGAATTTCCCCGAAACCTGATGTCGAGGAAGCAGCCAAGACACAGCAAAACTTAATCGACGGGACAGGGTTGAGTGAGCACTACTGGGCAAACGACGGCGTCGTACCCGTATTTTCCCAATGGCACCCCCGCGAATGCACAGCTACCAAATGCATACACCACGAGGCATCCCTGTCTCCTCGGACACAACGATCTTCTCGAAAAAGCATAGAACCGGGAATCTGGAACGTTTACACATTAGAGAACACGCATCATCTTTCTATTCTCCCTTTATGGATTGGGTCTTCTCATCAAAGGGACTTTTGGTCGGATTTGGGGAACTTGTTGCATGATATAGAGAGTGACACTCGACGCCTGTATAATTAATTTTGACTTTCTGGTTTTCACTAGCTCACGGATTCGGCACTCTCACTTATACATATTTATTACTGATTTTGGTAATCTAATCCTTTCGGCGTACATACATGTTTTTTCCCTGTCGTATTTCTTTTGTTGTAATGGAACGTCAATAGATATTAAATGGATGGCTTTTTTGCTTTCGAGAACAAGAAGAAATGAATGAATAGAGCAAATCGATCGAATAATGACAGGAATGCTAGTTGTATAATGTAGTTGCAATAAACTGCGGTAACGAATAAGAAGGGGAATCTGGAGACAGATGAAATTATTGAAATGCAAAGGCTTTTTTCGACAAACATATACGTGAACCAGGAACAAAGATTAATGAGTGGAAGAGATAAGTAAAAACAGTAACATAGGCAGACGCGTAACAAAAGGGAAGATGACCAAACCTGTAGAAGAAGAGGAGAAAAACCCACTCGCTGACTTTCATCCAAGTCGCTTACTTATGCTGTCCAAGACGTTCATTGCTGGTAATCAGTCATCCATTGCTGTTGCTGCGAATGTCCGCCGTCCGAGGTATTCTTATTAAGTCCTAGCTGAAAATGAGGTGCAGGTGGCGGATGTCCGTGCAGCCGACGCTGCTGGTATGAGTTGTTATTCTGATGGTGGTCCGCACGAGGCGTATTCATGGTCCTATTCGCCGGACGGACAGTGGAGGGGGAATGCCCACCGCCAAAGTTTGGTCCGTGTCCATGTCTTTGACCCTGTCCAAACCGGTTTTGGGGATTCCCTAGATCGCGTCTTGGTGTTTCTCTGTTAGCGAAACCATTAGAGTGTTCCGGAGTAGCATAGTTAACGCTTGGCTCGCCAGCTCGAGGAATGGCAACAGGAGGGGCTATAGAGCCGCTCGGGTGAGAACCTGTAAAATAAGGCTGTGCCACAGTTGTGGGGTGATGGGCTATAAATGGCGCCGAGCGTTGCGGTCTAGAGTGATTCGGAGAAATTGTGGTGGGGGCAGTATACGAAGCTGCTGTGGAATTGGGGGCCTGAGGGACCTGGCCCTGCATCTGCTGCTGGCCTGTCGGTTGTTGAACTGCTGTAGGCGAAGTAGTTGACGACGATACACCTACAGCGGATGCAGGTGGTATGGGGTATGCAATGAATTGGGGAATATGCGGGAGACTATGCCACATTTGTGCAGCGACGAGATTTTGTTGCTGTGTGCTCGGAAAACCACCGGAGACGACCGAGGAATCACGAGCACCTCCTGCACCCCGCGTCGGGGAGGAGCCATTCATGTAATCACATAAAGCATCGGGCTGATACACAGGAATGAGTGTCCCATGCTCTCCTTGAATGAACCCTGTTGCATGAAGCGGAGGTTGGCCTCTGGCTGATGTCGGCAGCTGGGAAGTCGCGGTTGAAGAATTTGGCGCCTCACCGGTACTAGGAGGAACGATCGTATACGGAAATGGCGTAAAAGGGACGGCAGCCTATCGCAATGTTAATCAACCATCGCTTATTATTCTAACGGATAGACATACCCCATACATAGGACTCCAGTGTACCGGAGTAGCGCCAGTCATACAGCTCTGATCTACTCCGTGACCAGCTGGCGCAAACGGCATAGGAAATGATGGCATCGTTCCGCCATAAGCTCCGTACGGCATCGGATAATACATGTGAGTACCGTAAGATGACGGCCATGGTCGTTGCTGATAGTATCCCGTTTGGGGTGCTGGCATGCCCTGTGATGTTACAGGTGCTGCCACAGATGCAGCATGTGCCGACGAACCCAGAGAACTCGAAGGAGGGGTAATGGAAATTGCTGTCCTTGAGTCGGTCTCCGCTAGGGCCTCCATGTCCAATTTTGCATCAAAGCTACCCGAAGAGCGCAGTGTCGCAGAATCGGTCTCCGTAGATCTTGAGGGAGGGAGCTGATGCGGGCCGTGTGGATTGATCTGAAACTGTGGAGCATCGACGACTGGCATAAAATGGTGTCCAAATGGTTGCACCGCCCTATGTAAGGGAAATACATGTTGTCCGCCAGACCGACCGGCATCCATTTGATGACCTGAGGCACTAAATCGTGAGCTTTGTGGAACTGCACGCCGACCGAGACCACGACCACGGAATTTGAAGCCTCCTCGAAGGGGAAACATGTCCCGTATTTGTACGCGGATTTGTCGGCCATCATATGAACGGTTGTGCTAGAACTCTATTTAGCAAGAGAGAGATAGGAAAATAGATAAAAGATATTACCTGTTCACGAATTGCCGTGAAAGTACTTTGCTCGTTTGCGAAGGTGACGAACGCAAACCCGGCTTTCTTTGATACTAGGTGATGTCTTGAATAACGCGGTTGAAAACACTGGAGACGATGGCATACGCACTTGGATTAACAATGCGAACCTCTTCAACTTCTCCATATTTCTCGAATATTTCCCTCAGTCTTGCCTCATTCCATGGTCGTGATCCAAATGGTTCCAGTCCGCCGACGAATATTGTTTTGGGATCTATTGTCGGCTGTCGTTGGTGTTCGTGCCTTCCTAGGTTTACGCTAGAGCTGGCGCTGCGACTGGAGTCGGATAGAGCCCTGCCAGTCTCTTGATCATGATCCCGTATTTGTTGGTCCAGCTTTCTTACAACACAATTTGGTTCAACGTGTTGTGACATAACGGAATATACTGGTGATCCTGGATCCGGGTGCGCAGACGTCGGCGTTTGCGAAAACGAAGTGCTGGCAAGCTCGGGAGTCGGCGGATCCTCGAACATCTGTGCATTTGTCGCAGTATGTGGAATCTCAATCTGAAGTCGGGCCACGGGATTTGACAGAGAGCGCCTATGTACTAATGGCGGATGCGACAAACTCGGTGTATCAACACCGGCAGACGTATCACTTTGATTAATATCATCCGACGCTGATTCAGGATCTTGATCTACCGCCGCTTCCTGATTATTTGTGTCGGGGTCATTCAGTGAGATACAGGATGGAGAGGGGCTATGGGCGAGCAGATCAGTGAAGGATTGAAGTAACAATTAGAATTTACGTGCCTTTCTTCGTCAAGTCCTCCTGGCTCTGTTTGTAGTGGTGTAGTCGACTGCATTTTTAACGGTGGAAAATCACCTTCACCCCAAGCTGGACGATTTTCTTTCTCTTCGGCTCCAATTTGTGCTCCGGAGGAATTCCTAGTCAAAACTGAAACTGCACCATTTGCAGCATTCTGCGGGTGAACAACGGTCCAGCTGTCATCCGTATCATTACCTTCAGTTGTGCGACGCCCAGAGTTATTCGTGCGTCGCGGGAGCGATTGAGAACCGCGAACGGTGTCTTTGCTTTGGAAGAACACACTCGGCGATCGAACAGTTGGCGATGCTGAAGAGAGCGACTCTGTACAGTCGAGCAAGAGAAAAGGCCGTCCGCGTGCAATCGGAGACAAAGCTTCGCGTGGCGAATGCGACGCCAGATGACGAGGCGATGTCGGGGTGTGGAGGAGACCTACACGGGGGGCCTGTGGTGAAACGGAGTCTTTCGCCCAAGTGACTGTCAGGTGGGGTATTCGTCGAAGGGTCTATATACAAGGCTAATTAGACAAAGCTCTTCAAGTGAAACTAAGTGAGGTAGGCGATAGCGAACATTCAAGGCAGTAATGCAATCGTCCCTATGGCCCCACTTGACCTCCCAAATGCCGGTAGCCATTCCCGGTAATCGTCCGGCACTGTGTTCACTAGGGTAAGCATTTGACTTGTCCCCTAGGTCATGCCCGATCAAATACTGCTCGAAAGATTCCAACGGTCCAAATGCTTCCGCCATCTTCTCTATCGTCTAGTCATTGCGGTAGAATGAATAAATTACTTTTCCTATAACCAACTGGTGCTGTGCTTACCATTGCGTCAAACTTCAGGTTTGTGAAAAGGATACCTTTCTGTCGAAAGGCAGGAGCTATGCCAGAGGTAGAGTCGTCCCGATCGAAGCGCGAGGTATCTCCAATGTTCTTCGCATCATTTTGAAATGTAACAATGGGGAATCTAGACAAGAAATTCGAATAAGTCGTACCGCAAGCACATACGAAGGGCCTTCATCACAGACCTAACGTCGCGAGGCTTCCAAATGCGCAGAGCGTCAGGAAGGCCGCATTCAACCCACCGGCCTTTTACTTGGCTATCGTCGACCGTGGCTTCGGATCCTTCTTGCGCTAAATAGTAGATAAGCTAGCGTAATAACACTAGGTATATACATGAGAATTACCGTGCTGGGGCGCACATGGGATAAACTGCACTGGCGTGCGGTAAGAGATCCACAGTGTCCGACGCGCTCGTGCACTCTCGCAGCGGAGGTAGCGCCCCATAAATGGCTGAGGATTTTCTTGAGCCCGTGTGACGAGCTGCGCAGCTTGGAACGGATTCTGTAAGTTATGAAAGATAATCAGAGACGCAGAAAATTAGAGTCAGTATTGGCTGCAATAATTAGGAATTCGAGGAAGCGCATATAGTCACAGACCTCGCATTGGACGAAAGCGCACAGGCCACCCTTTAAATCGTGCACAATTTTGATGTTCTTAACATTTGCGTACTTCCTGAGATGCTGCGCAAGGAGCTGCGCTACTTCCGCTTCATCCTTATCAGGCGGAAGACTAAAGAGAAGGATTAATATACACCCAGAGCGAGTCAACCGAATTATGGGGAACTGCGCATATGATAGAAGTGCAAGGGGACGTACCTGCCAACGAAAACACTCGCATCGTGGGGTTGTTTTGCGGTGATTTTGTGTCCAGGGGTGGAGCCACCTGCAATATCTAGGACATGAGGGCCGCGAGTGGGAGAGAACAACGTCGACGGCACGTCATCATCTGCCCAGTCACGCTTTTCAGTGGGCTTCTCATTTGCATCAAAGAGCTTAAGACTGAGCGTATGAGCATGCTGTGCGGGAGAATTGCCCGATGTTGGGGAGGTGACAGCAGAAGGTACCGGAGAGGGAATCTGTGCTGGAGGTGGAGACGTGTTGAGAGAGTCGAAACGCGTCCCCCAGGCGCGTGGTTGCTGGTGCTGTTCGCGGCTATGTGTGCGAGTACGCGTACGAGAGGCTTGTTTTGAAGGCATGTAGCCAAATATTCCGGGATATGATCAAGAGTGGCGATTAGGTGAAGAACGAGGAAATTGTGACGAGATGAATGATAATCTATATGCTGTTGTTGCTATTGCCTTTGTTCTGTTCAATGGTGGGGAGGCTGGGATAGAGGCGGTGGGATGGCAGTAAACAAGAGATGACTTGTGGAGGCGGACTATGGAGATGGGAGTCGGGGAGAAAGAGAGGATACAGGAAGTTAATAAGTAGTCCCTGCCACCGACACGCGATGTGCCTCTCAATAGCAGATATAGATAAAATAATCATAAGAATCACGCGGAATCACGCGCATAGATCTGTCACTACAACCCCTACCAGGCGCTCCTGGACGAGGCTTCGGCTGATTGCGTCCAGAGCGCAGTACCTTTCCACATTTCACAGAAGCATCAAGCGTCCCCCAGAACAGAAGGACAGACTACGGGGAAGACTGCAGACAGATGGGCTGGTGAAGTAATACGCAAGTCTAGTACTAGTTCTATGTCCTTGTATTTGCACTGCTGCACCGCAATTATAAGTCATATTTCTTCCGCATCCTAGCCTAGGATCGGGTCCGCGGATACCAGCGTCACAATCCCAGTCCTTCTTCTCAAACTGGTCTACGTGTGCTGGCCGAAGAGCTGCACACGATATCGATAAAGGAGAGTGGGAAGTCTCTGCACCGAGTCGAGACATTTGTTTTCTAGATGCATGTCAAAGGCTAAATCAATCAGCTGTGTCCTCAAGGCTTCGAAACAGATATCTTGACATAGTAAAATGGACCGTCCTTGGGCCATAGGCCTATAGTCACATACAAGTATCCCGAATAAGTGTAATAGTCCATTGGCGCGAAAAGCCTAGATAAGTGCAGCAAATGATTCTTGATGAGGAGCAGAGCTTTGCATGAATGGCTAAAACGGCCACAAAGAGAGTGTTTCGTGGCAGTGCAGAGCTTGACAGCAAATCCTGTTCTCTGTCCGGCATCACGTGCTGGGATCACTTCGAAAGTCGTCGTTCCTCGGGTTATCCTTCATGATGAGCTCGAAAGCTCGAAGAAAATCGTCCAAATATCCAAATACCTAAGCCTCATTATATCACGATTTCACACATTGCTTCGTCACATGTCTTGTCCTGCCCTGTAGTGCCCAGCAGTCTTCGAGTGACCCACATCCTGACAGGCTCCATGCAAATTAGCTTGTATTTGATCAAATCGAGTATTCTTTGTCCCGCCGGCGCAGATCCGCCAAGTGCATCTAGTCTGATCCTTTCTGCTGTCTTGTGTCTATCGATGGGCGCCACTGAGTCCCCAGCCGTCTTCGCAGCCATGCGCATGTCCAGGAACAAGCCAGCCAACGCTAAAAGAACGAGCGTGGTATTTCTCATGTTTACTAGAGAACACTTTTCTTTACATCTACACGACATATTGCAGGTATCTATCGTCACAGGTCCATGCTAACACTACAGAGTGGCATGCAGTGGTATAGCGATACGAGAAAGGGTAACCGTTGACAGAAGCGAAAATCCTTCAGAACTGGCTGAAAGCCTGAATTGGCATCGCCCACATAACAAGTGTGGCGCTAACTTGAGAGTAGGGAATGACAAGAGACCAAAGACGAACGGGGGTGGGTAGTACAGCAAAGAAGGGAAGGGAGGTGGTGTTCAAGACAGTGGAGTCAAGAAGCTATATTGGACGAAATTTCGAAGGAGTGTCAGGTACTGCAAAGCAAGCGCGTCAGTCAAAGAAGGCAAAACCACGAGCAAGAAACGTACGATGAGGCGAAGGACGAGAACGCATGAGTGACCATAATGAGCGAATTTCGTTTATCGAGATACACAGGTGGACGAATACGAAGGGGAGATATACATGGGAAATATACACGAAAGATACAGTATATGCATGCGAAGCGTGATGCAATAGATGTCATGAAAGATGCTAAAGTTACAGAAGCCTGTTAATAGACAGCATATAAGTTGACTTGTCCGGTTAGAATTAAGGCACTCTACGCCATGTGATCAAGTAACTTACTGGTATGATGCATGCTTGTTCTGCCCTTTGTGAAGTAGGTTACAGATAAAGACCAGCATAAAACAAGTACTTCATAGCGAGTCGTAATGGGTCGTCACAGGAGAGAATTGAACGTAAAAAGTCGTCATCGTCGATCCAGGGAGACGAAAAATGTCCGGATTGACAGGAAGGTCAGCTTAGTGTCTCTTCCCCGTGGTCCATGACATGTTGACGCTCCCTACACCGTCTATATGCACTCGTGCGGATATACGACAAACCTATGAGAAAGAAGAACAATTAATAAATGCCAGTAGGCGGGTCACTGGACGTACCGTATCCGCGACATCTGCACGTTTGAAATCGATGAGAAAATCCCCGTTCGGCATTCGCGTGACCTGACGTAACTCGCCGAACCGCTGTATTTGACGAACATGTCAGTCTCTCAGCTTCCAAATTAAACAAGAATTCTTGACAACATAACAAGGGAGACAAGGATTCAGCATTTGACATACCTCACACCATCGGCGAAGGCCCTCAACCGCCGCAGTGTCATCCCATCCTATTCCACTCACGACTAGTCGCTTGCGCTTCACTGTTGTTGAGCCAGTAAGCACGCTGCTGGCTCGCCCATTGATGTTGGTCGCTATGCTGCCAATGCTTCCGATGCTCAGCGTGCTCAGAGCCGAACTAGACGCGTTATGTCGCTTGTCGCCAAAAATACTCGATTGCGTCTGTCTGTGCGAGGGAACTGGTGTGAAAGGGGCTTGAGGGTGTGAGAAGGTGCTATCCGGAAACGGGCTCCCAATGACCGGTTCCTCGTGCTGCTCGGCCCCGGAGAAAGAAGAGAAGGTGGGAGAGCCTACTCGGAGATCGTCTGAAGGTTGCCGTGCCGCCTTGGAAATGTTGATGCTGAATTTTTGTAGAAAGCGCTTGGGACTGGAATCTTCCGAGCAGCGTAGTTCGTTCTCTACTGCCGTGGAGGTTGTAGCGGTTGTTGCAGATGCGCTGGTCGATGGCCTCGGGCTGCTTGATGCCTTCGTCGACGTAGGAGACTGGAGATATGCGCTAACATTTCCGCTGGGTCGCATAAGATTACTGAGCCGCTTCCGCACAGAGGTGCGCGGCGTTTCTGACGCTCTCAGCGTAGCGCTGCTTGCTTTGTTCTGCGCCGTCTTACCAAACCTTGAGTCTGTTGATGGATCGGTATCTAAGAACGTTTCGGGAATAGGCGATCGCCGTCGAAGGGATCCGAGCTTGAGTGAAGCAGGTGGTGTAGAAAGATCAATGGGTGCTTCTGAGCCCGATAGATGTCGTTGTGTCGGTAGTGTCTTGGTGAAGGGACGATTTCTCCAGGAAGAGATAGAAAGGGTACTCGCGGGACGAGACGCACGCAGCGAGGGAGGTTGCGTTGCGTTGGAGTGTGAAGGAGTTGAAGTCGATATTACGTCGTCGACTGAGGGCTGTAAACAAATCGTATGTTAAATGACAACGCAATATAGCCAGCTCATAACCGGTTGGCAAGGCTACTACTCACTTGGAGCATATATGTATTGTCAGACATTGATGGGCCGCCCATGCGCTCATCCTCTGATTCTTCCTCCTCCTCAACTATTACAAAGCTTCCAAGAATATCGTCCTCGTCATTGCTATCCTGCCACGAGGTAAACTTTGACATGCCTGGATATGCGAGATACGGGTTGCATGGCGTTCCTGCCGCCTTTGCTATGTGTTCACGGGCATTCTCATTCATGTCGTTACAGAAGCGTTGTTGTTCCTTCAGCCAGTTCTCCACGCGCCGAGCCTTGCGGCGCCCGTGTTCAGCATGTGAAATGCGACCAGGAGGTTTCGGACACGTTCGAACAGAGCTATAGCGCAAAGAGAGCGGTTCTAAAGATAAATGCTCAGGCTTAGACAGCCGCGATGTGGTGCCCGCAGATGGAGTTGGAGCGCTCGAGCGCACTTCGCGTGTTGACCAGGATGCAGACGAGTTGGATGAACCTGACGCGTCAAACACGCGTTGACGGGGCATGTTCATGCAGATGACAAGAGACGGGGGCATTGCGACTTACCTATGCCCGAATCATTCGAAATCTTCTTCTTGAGAACTCTCCGCTGTGCACTTTGGCCGTGCGCTTTGACCCCTGATGATGGCATGAGCACTGAGGATCAGACCGCGACCAGATCGGGGACGCGAGACGCGTCGTGGATGGCTGGTGGTAAATGGCTCGGGAGGAGCGGGCGCAAAACCGATCTGCGGGGTTAGGACAAAGGCAGGGAGCGCACAGTTGAGGGCAAGGAGGGGAAGGGCATCGTTTCGTTTTAAGCAAAGCTGAACCGTTCGCACGTGGTGCTGAATGGATTTAGTCCGCTTTCAAGTAACACACCCTTTGATTCTCACTTCCGGTTCCATGCATCTCCCCACACAGCATTATTCCTTCCCTCCGCGAATATGTCCTTTTCCGCCTCCGAGTATGCGCATATACACTCCTCGTCAACGCAAAACTTTCCTATTGTCGGCCATTCCGGCTAATGTCCCCTGGAATGAATCCAGCGGCACAAATCAATATTATCTTCAATTACGTCTCTCTGCCGTTACAATTGGTCAATTAAACACACTCCCATCGACATCTATCTACGCGCGGCCAACTCGTGCTGTGAGCACGAGGCGCCGTTGGTTCGCTTGTTTCCGGACACGAGACACGCCCCGCGGACGAACAGACATGCTTATCTTCCGCTGAACATTAGTGTACTGTCGGCAGCTGCTGAACTGCTCGGTTAAAACCATCCTTCACGACATGCCGTGCACGTTCTCCAATCACACCTGTAGGAAGCCCGTCCTTCTCACGATTCAACTCAATACATCGACACGCTGCTAGAGCAGCTTGTTCTAGGCTTATACCCTTTACGGGTGCCATACTCAGTTCAGCTCGGAAATGTGGAATGGAGCGTTTATCCCCGGTTGACACAACATCATTTCTTCCGCAATTGCCCAGTCTGACATAGGGCGATTGCTAAGTTGCTTCAAAGATGGTACTTACAAACGCCTAAGATTGCTTCAAATTTAGACTAGTTGCACACAAGCACTCGCCGAGCGTCAAATCCTAGGCGCAAAAACGGCTGTCCACGGTACACTTGCATCAGTTCTCCTGTGTGTCCCAGTCCATGCCACTGTTGAAGGAAATGATACGCCACATAATCAATATCGGAGCCCCTTGATGGTTTGATGGTATTCGAGAACACAAGTCGAGCTTGATGAAAGCCTCGGTATGCCAAATAAAAACAGACGTCGATCACTGTGGACCCATTGAGACCTTCTTTTTTTTTTACATACTTCGAGCCCGCAGATATGCATGTTGTAATTGTTTAGCTTATTTTGATAATGGTAGAACCGCTTGTGACTAAGCGCTTTAGGAAATGACGCGTTCATAATAAACTAGGCCCGATGCGAGACGTCGATCAGGTGGTCCTTTCCTTTCTACCAGACTTGCATCTGCATCTCAGCTCGTCGTAGAACATGGAACCCGATACGCCTGTTTCTCGCCGTCTGAAATCGGTCAAGCACATCATAATCGTCCTCTCCGGAAAAGGAGGTGTGTCGGCGTCGTCTTTTCTGGGATGTGGGCGCGCCTGATTTGGATCCAACTCTCTTCTGTTCTGCACCTTGTGCGGCATTGACAGGCGTCGGCAAGTCTTCTGTCTCCGCTCAGCTCGCACTTGCTCTGTACGCCACGTCGGCGACTGCCAGAGTTGGTATTCTTGACGTCGATCTTACCGGTCCTTCAATCCCGCGAATGCTCGGCCTGAATGGCCATCCAGTTCATCAGAGCAGTGAAGGCTGGGTCCCCGTCTATGCAGATGGATCTGCAGGGAGACTCGGATGCATGAGTGTCGGGTTTCTGCTGAAGAAGAAAGAGGACTCAGTTGTATGGCGCGGACCTAAGAAGAACGCGATGATTCGGCAGTTTTTGAGCGATGTGCGGTGGGGAGAATTGGATTACTTGGTAATTGACACGCCGCCGGGTGAGTCTCTGTCCGTAAAGGATCCTATCCTTCCTTCTCATCATCAATTAATTAAGGTACTTCCGATGAGCATCTCTCGTTACTAGAGCATCTTTCTCCTCTTAATTCAAAACTCTCTTCTGTAATTGTGACGACACCGCAGGCCGTCGCACTCGCGGACGCTCTTAAGTGCCTTTCGTTCACACGGACAGTCTCGCTCCCCGTCCTCGGTCTTATTGAAAACATGAGTGGATATGTATGCCCGTGCTGCGGCGAAATTAGCAACATCTTCTCTACTGGCGGTGGTTCTTCAATGGCGCAAAATGAGAACTTAACCTTCCTTGGGAGTTTGCCAGTAGATGCGGAGCTGGTAACCTTACTGGATGCGGCGGAAGGCCTAGAGCGGCGATTTGACTCTATGGACGAAGGTGTTAACGGCGATACTGGAGAGCCATTCCCACTGTTGCGGCGGTATCTGAAAACTTCGTCATGGACACTATTCAAAGAGATCGTAGCCAAGGCAGTCGCAAATCTTCAAAGGACGGGCGAACAAAGCGGTCCTTGATTTTTTGGATGTCACATTAAAGAGTACTCTACGTGTATTGCTCAGTCCTTCAATTGTATCGATAGAAGTTGTCATGATACACAGACATATTCATGATCAGACCTTATAAAAATAAATTCAATTCACGTGTTAAAGCGTTACTATATAGCGCACGCGTTACAAAATCGTTGCTGAGTCATCATTTGTGGTCTTCAACTTTTCTTCATCCATCCACAATGTCGGACGACGGATTCGGCGGCGGTGGAGGCGAATTTGACGACTATGGGGGCGGGTGAGTCTATTATACCCTAAATCCACCCTATACTAAGTCATTTGACGCTTAGTTTCGGCGAGAATGAGGATACTTTTGTTCGTGATGTTCTTTTACAATGGAATGGAAAGTCGAAAGTGAATGCGATGATCACAGGAGCCCGAGTATGACATGATGGCCCCCGAACATGAGCTGGGAATGGATGGAGAGAACGCTGAAGGCGCACAAGTCAATGGAGACGTAACGGCGAATGAAGTGGATCACGAGCAGGATATGAACGGCGAGGCAGCGGGTTCGCAAGAAGCGCAACAGCCACTACCTATACAGGGCGAGCGACAACCGAATAAAGTGCGCATTACGACGCCGTACTTGACGAAATATGAGAGGGCTCGTGTATTAGGGACGAGGGCGCTGCAAATCAGGTATGTGCGCCTTACCTCTGGATGGATTCGAGGAAGCTTAGACACATGGGCGTTTATAGCATGAACGCTCCTGTACTAGTCCAACTTGACGGGGAGACAGATGCACTTCAGATTGCGATAAAGGAGCTGTCGCAGCGAAAAATTCCGCTTATTATTCGACGGTATCTTCCGGATGGTAGTTTCGAGGATTGGAGCGTAGCGGAACTTATCAGCGAATGACCGTCCATGCATTGCCTCTCGTTCTCCTTTTGTATCTTCGCACTATTTTGATGAGTATCCTATCTTCATTGTACAGCACTTCTTCCGCTTTGAATACATTATAATCCGATATAGAGTGTGATACATGCGAAACTGTCAAAACGTGTCTAAGCGACGTGACAGATCGAAACTGATACCTCTTGGATCACCAAAACAGTCATTTCCTAACAAGCATATCACGCCTAGACCACTAGGCATCACTCAGTCTGAATACAACAGATTCGTAGGAGATACACTCACGGCTTCGACTCTTGTCCAGATTGTATCAATGTATGTGCACCGCCTCCGCCGCCCCAGTTAGTGATCGAGCCTTTTGCAGCAGTATGCTAAACTTGAGCAGGCTTGGCAAGTTTCACGGTACCGTCTCGGCAGAATGTCGTTATGAATAGGCTGTTATTCATTCACGTAAACTCGCCACTTATGTCTTCTTATCTTCTGTTTAATGCGGCGCTGATGCTGTTGATCATCATCCCCTTTCAGGTACGATTAATTTCAAATTATTTCTTCTAAGTGTTTGGAAGCATTTTCGAAACGGTACTTGCATGGCTTCCTCGTTGACTTTCTCGTCTACTTCACTTACCTGGAGACGCAGTGTTATATGCGGCGATGACTAGTGTCAGTATCTTCAACTCTGCGTTACGAACGTCTATGCTGAGTAGACTGAGACTCTGTCAAACTATGCTTCCGTTTCAAATTCCCCGTATATCACCGTGGTGCCTTTGTCAAGGCCGCCGTTAGACCGAAGATCAATGAAGAATGCTCGTCGCCGTCAATGTTTTCTGATTGAACTCAATGTATGGGAGGCGCTTCGAACAACTCCTGTCATATATGAAGTAGCCTGGTTGCCCGTCGAGCCTTAGCCTTATCACAAAACATCTCACCTATCTTACATACTGTACATTCATTTACTGGTGAGGCATGGATACGGGAAGCCTTATCGACGCTGCGATTACGTCGCTGGGCCATGCTCAGACTGTCAATGTGAGTCACAGACCGTACTTTAACTCGTTGCTGTTAGTAACAAAAATTTGTATTTCAGTATGCAAATGGTATGCTAATTATCGTTTCCCTTCCTGTTCCTTGCTAATGTGCTTGAAGCTATATGCGTCGCCCTTGTCGTGCGTTTTGAACTTACACCTGCTTACCTCGATGATACTATGCTTACTGTAAGGCCGTTTTCTAGGCTTACGACTTTTTGCTGACGTTCGTTGATGAGGTTGGTTGCTAATTGCTTTTATAACTCGACGACTTCCTTAGCTCCATTTATAGGTCCGACTTATCTGGCCAGCGAAATGGAATGTCGGAAAGATCCTATTTTTCCTCACACGATATCCTGTCTTCTTAGATGTGGCGTTGAATCTCGTCGGTTCGTATTGTTTCCATTTTCTTAAACCCTGGTTCTGACATATGTTCATGCATTGTTACGAATAGATTTGATACACCCGCATCTCAAGCTCAGCGTTCGTATTAATTTTTCATAGCCTTTGAAGAAATGACTTGATACCTCCATCTACAGCTATGCAAACCAATCTATCAAGCAGCTGCCTGGATGTCGTTCACGGGCATTACTATTGCCGAAAGTACGTTTCTTGGTCAAGTTCGTTTCACCATGAAATCCTGAATATCATCCAAAGTTATCATGATGATGCGAGTATATGCGATCTGGGGAGCGAAGCGGGAAGTTTTAGTGTTCCTTGTTCTATTTAACTTGGTACGTCCACCGAAACACAGTGCCTTCTCACAACACTCGCATATAATAATGCACGAAAGTACAGGGCATTATTATTCCGGATATAATTCTATTGCAGAAGTCTCTTCGGTCACTCGTGTGTGAGTCCTTTGTTCTGTTTCAATAATGCGTAGACGTGCTTAGGATAACCATAATTCGATATAATAGTCATGCCTTCTCCGTTCCCGACTCTCGCACCTTGTGTACTGATCCAGGCAGATACGTCTGTCTACATCGACTTCATACTCATCATGGTTTCAGAATTTGGTACATCTAACTCTTACGGCATCTTCCTGAAGAACAACGCAACTTACGTGCTGTCCACAGTTGTGATCGTCATGACCTTTTGGAAGTGCTTTGCAGACTGTACGTGGCTTGACCGTACATGAAGCTCCCAATGCTAATAATCGTCATCAGGGAAAGGAAGTAGAAGTCCGCTTATGAAGACTCTGTTTGAGGACGGGCTTCAGTACTTTATATGTATGTTTGGTATGTAGGGATCTTTTGATCAGGTTCCACTTCTGACCTACTTGACTCCAGCAATATCACTTGCGAATCTTCTTGTCGTCAAAACAGCAAATGTGAGTCTTTATTACGAACACTTCTATCATCCACTCTTTACTAAGTCGCAATGTATAGGTCGACTTCTCTGGCCTCCTCTTCGAGTAAGCAAAAAGCATATTTTCGCTTTGGTGTTGACTTCATGCCTTATCCCCTGTTGTAGAATACAGCGTGTTTTACACGCCATACTCTCTGCACGCATGCTGATTGATATTCGGGATTCTGTTACTCCTGTTGTCCTCAGCAACGCACGTCCTATGTCTTTCGCTGCTGCTCCTGGTAAAGGTTCAGGAGGCACGAGCACTCTTTCTCAAATGGAATTCGGTGACAGGGAGCCAACGGATAGCTATAACAGCTCTACAACACAAGTGCGCTCTATTGGGACAGTGTTGTCTAGTTTCTTCAAGGTCTGTCTTCATGTAGTGCATTTTGCATTCTATTTGGTAGCTCATTGAGTTTTTATGTCTGTAGTCCTGGAAAGCAGGGCCTTTGAGTAACGTGCACATCACAAGAGGAACGATTGTTGACAATGAATTGTATCATACGATGAATGTCGACAGGTAGAACGATCAGATGAACAAATTGTATTCCAACGTCGTCATGATCAAGCTTCCCCTTTATGTCCATTCTTCATGATGAAACCTGTCTATTTCTGGACCTACTGCATGAAACACACCAGATACTAGTATGATCTATACAAACATTTGAAAAGGTTGATTGTCGTAACTTCTCTGCTCTAGTCGAAAGGAGTATGAACACCTCAACTAGCATTGACTGAATGAAGTCATACAGCTGGTTTGAGTAGGACGTCCGTCGGTCACTAAGACAACATTCGATCACTTTCGCTAGGTTCTCTGGCGAACACCGTCTGAGCCCGGCCAAGATTCTGATAAGCGCCGCACACCCTAAAATGACGGAATCGTATTGAGTTCGGCCTTGACTTTGCGAGACACTTCTCCGGAAGTTAAAGTGACTGATGTGCTTCAAGGAATGGAGTGGAGAATACCACCCTCTTGGCCCTATTGACGTCTCTTGAACGTGAAGCTCACTCGATAATATGGATACAGACAGCCTCCTCAACGAAGCTATCTTGTCGCTTAATCATGCTCAAGTAGTAAATGTGAGTAATGAGCTTTTTGCTTTCGTATCATTTAGTTAAGCTATATTTCGTCTAGTACATGAACGGTACGCCCATCTTTCCGCACAGCAAATCATCCTTCCATTCACAGAGTGCTCTAAAGTCATGTGTCTTGCACTGGTCGTGAGTGTTTATGTACATTACTATATGTTGTTCCCTACTTAGCTCTAATTATTTCAGGCTTATGACTTCCTATTGACGTTCGCCGATGAGGTATGTACTTGGCGTCCATCTTTTTTTTCGTGCATACCAAGAAGTCACCTTCATAGGTCCGACTCATTTGGCCGGCAAAGTGGAACATGGGTAAATTCATGTTCTTTCTCACCCGGTATCCGGTATTCTTGGAAATCGCATTAACCCTCGTCGGTCGGTAATATCTACACTTCTGTATTTGTTAACAACACTCACGCTAATCATTTGTCTTCGATATTGTCGATCCGCAGATTATATGCAACCTAATCTCAAGCTTAATGTCTGTTGTCTCCTTCGCATGTAACTCCTTCGCTAAACATCTTACTTCAGTTATGCAAACCAATTTATCAAACAGGAGCTTGGATGTCCCTTGCAGGGATCACCGTTGCGGAAAGTGAGTCCAGCCTTTGTCAAACGAAAAATTATTACGACGGACTTTATATTTCACTGCAGTTATCATGATGATGCGAGTCTACGCGATTTGGGGAGCTAAGAAGGAAGTCCTCGCGTTTCTCGTTATTCTCAATGTCGTATGTTCCAGTCATTTCAATTTCCTCTTGGCAATCTAACATGTTAATTGGAATAGGGTATAATTGTCTCAACAATAGTGATCTTACAGAAGAGCCTCCAATCACTGGTTTGTGAGTGTGCCTCGTCGAGTCCAGGCGTATACAAATAACGAATTTGGAATAGTTATTCCATCTCCGTTCCCTACGCTGGCGCCTTGTATTCTTACCTCTGCCGACACGACGGTGTACATTGATTTCGTACTAGTGATGGTTGCAGAATTCGGTAAGACCGTATTTGCTTTAACTACCGAGGAACTAACTGGAACGATCAATCGCAGTTGTGATTGTGATGACTGTCTGGAAATGCTTTGCAGATTGTACGTGACTGAGTAGCTTTGTAGTGGTTCCCCCTGTTGACTAAGGAACCAAGGGAAGGAGAACAGAAGTTTATTGATGAAAGCGCTTTTTGAGGACGGCCTGCAGTATTTCATATGCTTGTTTGGTGAGTATGGACTAATATACATGATGCACTTTCCTCAATTAACCTCTCATTTTCAGTGGTATCCTTGGCAAATCTACTGGTTCTCAAGACGGCACCTGTAAGTGCCTTTATTACATCTTCCTTAAGCTTTACCAAAAGGACAATTATGGTTCACTTCAGGTCGACTTCTCTGGATTGCTTTTCGTGTAAGCCAGCTATGTATCACATTTTCGTCATGTTTTTGACGTTGTAAATTAGGTTCCAGCGCGTACTCCACGCTATACTTACTGCTCGCATGCTCATGCACATTCGCGACGCCGTCGAACCCATCACCTATTCCAATCTATCTGCCATGTCGTTTGCCGTGCGTTTGAAAAATATGTCGAGTTCCAAGACTCTCGCAAAGATGGAGTTTGGAGAACCTGAGGTAACAAATATTAGCGGCAATGGGAGTTCCGAGATACAGATTCAATCTGTTGAGACTAGAAAGAGTATTTTCAAGGTCTGTTCTTCCAAATGTACTCTATTTTTTAATTGAAAATGTCTGACGGGAGCCACATTTCGTGCAGGCCGGATCGCTGAGTGCTGTACATATCACAAGGGGCACGATTGCTGATGAGGAATTGCATCAAGTGGTCAACATCGGACATACACAGACCTAGCGGCCCAGTAATTTCCAAAAGCATCCCAGCCTTTTGCTTTGCCTCAAACCGGATCGCGAATTTGTAGGGTATCGGACCGCACTTCTTGTTTCACCGTTGTGACTTTGTAAATACTGTACTACCACTGTCTGTGCCCACTTTCAGCGGAAGTTTAGTAAATACGCAATGCTCAGGGATCCACTCGTACGTCCCATTGCAAAGTAGGTGTGCGTTCAAGGTAATGAATTCCCTGTTCGGAACACATTAACGCAATTGTCGAATCAACGGGTTTGAAGCGCCCGTACTGCTCGGTTCCAATTACGTGTGAGAAATGCCACATTTCGTTTAGGATGTTGTCCTGTTTGAGGAAATGACACCAGCCCTAAATAAAAGCAATCTGAAATAGATGTCTGACCTGTATTATTTAAATGAAGGACCTACACGGCGAGCATGTTGTACGTTAGAAACATATGAAATGCGCAGACAACTGCATCGAAGAAGTTGATTACATCCTCGTGCTCTTTGTAGTTTGCGTAGCAGGCGATACCGAAGGTAGATGTGGATGTTGCATGTTTTGAAAACTGCAGAATTACTCTTTAGACTATATAAGAGAATAAATAGTGCGGAAACTATACCTCGTGAGCAATGCTTGCTTTAGATACGTTTGATAATCAAGGAACAATGATTGCACGCACTATAATCAAGTAGGTCAAATCGACCAAAGTCAACAATAAATGTATCCACTCCAGGTCCGTGGTACGGAGGGACTACAGTACTGTCCGGTAGACTATTAGTGGTGTTAGGCGATGGTGCTGGGTTAAACTGTCTTGATAAATCACAGTATTGCGTGAAGCTCCTACAAGTTACTCAATAAAATAGCGAGTAATATATTTCAGAGCCGGTAAGATATGTGCACGTACCCGTCACAAAAGTCGGGCCAAAGTCCGTGGATTGTCCAGCTATTTTTTTGGAAGAAGTTGACCTTCTTTCTCAAAATCTGCGTATGTATCCCAGAATTGAGTTTGTAAAACCAAACCGTCTGGAGTCGGGGAGCAGCAGATATTTTTGACTTCGGTTGTAATCTCACAAGAGTAGAATGTTGGTCCCGAGACACAAGAGAGGAGGTTTAGAATTGTGTTAGGGACTGAGAAGTGGACGCTCTCGCTGCGGACACACTCAGGAGAAGGGTCGGAAGGCGAATCATGACGGTCTTCATCACCAATGGCTAGTTCGTCCTGAAGAGAGTCCCGTGAGAACCATTTATAGTCTCGAGCAAAAGTAACAGGCCTTTATTTAAAATCTATATCCGATGAAAAGTGCTTCGGGACAGGGACATTGTAGGCCCGACCGCATGGACCGTCGAGTTATCTTCAGCGTGGGTGTCAGACTTAGTCGTCCTGCGAGAAAAGGACGCATGTGCATTGCCGGGGATGAGGACTTTGAAATATTATTTCATTTTGTGCGCACATATTCTACGACGGGCGCCGACGAATCGAACAATTCGAATAACGCGAAATTCAAATAAATAAGCAGGTTCCGGAAAATACGTTACGCACAATAGTGATATACCTTGAATATTAACACTGGTTATCACAATCGACTCCACAAATCACCGAAAATATGCTTACCAGCAAAAGTCATCTCCAAATGCTATCGCGCACTTCCGGAGCTTTAGAGAAGATCAGCCACAGGACCAAACAACGAACTTATCCTGTCACCTACGCGTGTCCAGAAGCTTCTCAAGCATTCCCAAAGTTGGCTCAACAAGTGGCGGAACGGACCCAACGCAAAGTCAACTTCTTCAGGACAGGGAACATGCCATGACATCTTACTGTAAGGTAAGTAGGATACTCGATAAAAGCTTCCCGCTCCATGAATAACCCGGCTTGGAAAACGCCTTATCACGAACTAGACAGAACAGGTCGAGAAGGTCATTCTTGTACTTCAGGACCTAAACGAGTCATCTCCTCAAAATGGGTACATTCAATGTTAATGGTGGTTTGGCAAGTAACCATTGTGCCGCTCTTCCATCGCTACGATAGCGTTCTGATGTTAAAAAAGGGTATTTCTCGGTCAGAAGCTTGCAACTCACTTGTGCATCGCACCCTGAAGGATAACCAAGTCTAAATGAACATTTGTCTTGGAATTGAAAAGTTTACAGATAAGGGGAAAACACAAACTCTAATGTAGAGCTGCATCCGACGGAATTGGGTTACTCGTCGAAGTAGTCTGCAATGAACTTGCCCCATGCTCGATCTCAACGCAGATATTGTGCATGCAGAACGTACCAACTTCGCAAGTGTCTTCTCCGGGTTAGCGTTTGCCATACATTCCACAAGTTGATGTACCGTGCGAACGGTGTTCGAGCGGACATTCGCGCTTTGCATAGTCGAATACTATGTTAAGTACAAGGTCCGTTCCGTTAGGCGTAGAACTGTCCCTATTCGGTCTTTCATTCGGTTCCACGTCGGAGCCGTTGTCAGCAGCAGCACGGGCTTTGGAGCCTGCTTCCAGTAGCAAACCAATCACTATCGTCCACACCTGGTGTGTTGTGGACAGAACCGATGTTAGAGGCAGAGGCAGACAAATAAGGTGAACAGTCTGGATTAAGTGCAGAAACCTCCTCATACAACAGTGCAATGGGCTAGTCGTATGATTCTTGCTTCAGACTTAGTAGATTCATGCTAATCACATGATGCAAGAGGTCCTCTATATATAGAGGTGAATCCAGTCTCGAGCATTAACCAATCCACCACTTGTAAACTTACTCTCTTCATTGTTGCCTTCATTGTAAGACTCGGAGTAGTTGTTGCATTACCACCTGTGCCACTACTGTGCTGAGACACCCTTCCATTAGCAAGATAAGTCACTCACATTGACTTGACTTGAAAATGGAAGACTGTGTGAGTGTTGGGTAGCAGCCAACGTGGTTGTACAGCTGCTCCGAGTTGTCAAAAGACTGTAAGCAAGCCCCCATTAACAGGGATGTGACGAGGCTAGTGGATGAGTAGCTGGCTGACTGGTAGTCGCGGGCAGAACTGGTGGAGATGTTGAGTGCAACAGAGAAGGATATGCCTTGACAGGTGATAGAGCAATCGTTGGTGTATGAATATCAGAAGAGATTGGTCACTGAATGCCGTGCATAGTTTCCAAAAGCAATCCTGGTATATATATATATTATTTTTAACTTGCTCGCGGATTTGCAGGCTATCGGAACATACTTCCTGTTTCATCGTTGCGATTTTGCACAAACTGTACAGTGTACTGCAAGTGTTTGCTCAATGCGCACAACCCATTATAACAGCGAGGTTCTAGTCAATAGCTGATTGTTCAACAGTGGACGTTTTCGTAAATACTTGCTCAGGGATCTACTCGTACGTCCCGTTCCGAAGTAGGTGTGCGTTCAAGATAGCAAATCCCATGTTCGGAGCATGTTGACGTAGTTGTCGAATCAACGGGTTTGAAGCGTCCATACTGCTCTGTGCCAAGTACGTGTGAGAAATGCCACATTTCGTTGAGGATGGTCCCATTTCCACCACAACCGACGAAGGGCGTCGCTCCGGTTTGCGCCTTGATGGCGGCTTGAATCTGTGCAAGTGTATATGTTGTGCTGTTTGAGGGAACAATACCAGCTCTAGATATAATAATCTGGGATTAACGTCTGACTGGAAATGCTTAAGTAGGGGACTTACGCAGTGAGCATGTCGTACGTCGGAAACATATGAAATGCGCGGACTACAGCCTCGAAGAAATTGACGACATCCTCGTGTTGTTTGTAGTTTGCGTAGCAGGCGACGTCGAAAGTAGATGTACACGTTGCATGTTTTGAAAACTGCGGAATTATCTGTCAGATTTTCAGGAGATTCGATATGATCAGAAACATACCTCGTGAGCCCAGAATTCGTTATTTGGCGATCCTTGGCTAACCCAGTATTTGTTCACTAGGGAAATGCAAGTTGAGAAAGCTACGTTTGATAACCAACGGAACAGAGATTGCGCGTACTATAGTCAAGGAGGTCAAATCGACCAAAGTCAGTTATGAATGTATCCACTCCAGGTCCGTGGTACGGAGGGACTACAGTACCGTTCGGCAGACCGTTTGTCGTGTTAGGCGACGGTGCTGGGTCATACTGTCTTGATAAATCACAGTATTGCGTGAAGCTCCTGCGATTTATTCGTAAAATACGTGATTAGTATATTCCGAAGCCGGTAAAATATTTGTACATACCCGTCACAAAAGTCAGGCCAAAGTCCATGAATTGTCCAGCTGTTTTTGGGAAGAAGTTGTCCTTCCTTCTCAAACCCAGTGTACATATCCCAGAACTGAGTTTGTAAAACCAGACCGCCTGGAGTCGGGGAGCAGCAGGTATTTTTAATTTCAGTCGTATTCTCGCAAGAGTAGAACGTCGGTTCCGAGACACAAGAAGAGAGGTTTGGAATAGTATTAGGGACCGAGAAATGGGACGCCCTCGCTACACATACACTGAGCAGAAAAACCGGAAGGACAATCATGAAAGTCTTCATCGCCAATGACTAGCCCGTCCTGAAGAGAGAGCTGGCGAGTCATTCCTTGTCCCGAGCAAAAATAACAGGCCTTTATTCAAGATCTGTACCCAGTGGAAAGTGCTTCGGAACAGGGACATCATCTGCCCGACCGCATGCTACACCGTGTTATCTCCAGCGTTGGTCCTTCCTGCGAGAAAAGGACGCACGTGCATTGCAAGGGAAGAGAAGTTTGAAATATAATTTTGTTTTGAGCGCACGCATTCTACGACGGGCGCCGACGGGTCGAACAATTCGAATAAGGCGAAATTCAAAAATTCAAATAAATTAGAGCAGGCTTTAGGATTTCACGTGATTCACACGACGCGACGTGTAACGTTAAACTTAGTCTCTCTGTCTGTCTGACCGACGATCTAAGACTACAGTCGCTTTGATGCAAGAGGTCCCTTTCTCCTACTTACTCTGCTAGCAAGTTCGGCCATCGGTCATCTGGGCGTTTCGCTCAGAATCCAAATTGCGTAGCTGAGGATGGCATCGGCATCTTCGAGTCTGGGTTCCGATTCTCGGATTAAAGCAGCAGAGCAGGGCTCGGCGTTGGCACCGCCGTCAGACAGACCACGGCAGACGCATATTCACTTTCCTACAGAGGTTGATTCTGTATCCTCCAAGCCGGCTAGCCCATCCGACTTTACCGGTGCAGGACTGCACTCCTTAGAACCTGGCTCTACTCTGTCTGTTCCTGGTTCTCACGATGATGAGTTCTTTGAACGCCGCCGCGTTCGTTCCGCAAATGCATCAGAGGCGACGCGCCCGTACGGTTCGTACTCGCGATCTCAATTTCTGCCTGGTCCAAGTCGTTCGCGTACTGCCGCTAAGAGAGTTGTGAGCTTGTCTTCTCATGGCTCGGACCGTTCGTATAGGAAGGGAACATCTTCTATTGGATCAAGCCCGCTCTCAGGAGATGTACTACTCCCTCCAGCTTTGGGGACACCTGGTATGTCTCATCATTAGGGTTGTTATAGAAAGACACTGACAACGTTTATTCGTTAGATCAAGGCGACGGTACGCTTTCACTTATTCCGTCAATAATGCCCAATATTAACTTGTGAATCAGATCCGAATATTCTAGCTGACCTTCGCAAAGCTCTACAATACAAACCACGTGTAGAACAACAACTTAAGGAAGCAAAGTCATTGACAGAATTTCCATCATCCTTGCAGCCGTCTACCTCCAATGCATCCCCTATGTCCAGTTCCCCGTCGTCTCGTCCTGCCTGGGCGACTTTTCCCCGCTCGGAGCCGAATACGCCAGTCAAGCCAGAGTTTGTTGACTTCAGCCCATCCGTGGGCAAGGCGTCTCTGCATCCTGTTCCAACTTCGGCAGATGACGGTGCTACATTGGACTGGTCCGGCTCAACAGATGACGAGAAGCATGAGAGGAAATGGACAATGTCATTATCACGCAAGTCCTCCAAGGATAAGCATCCGACTCTGTCACGCAAAGCACTGGTAGAGAGGCAAGATTCGCAATATTCTGGTTAGTGAAAAGGTTCAATGGATTCTGGGATGTCTTACTGACCCGTGCGCAGACAAATTGACGAGAATCAGACAGAAAGCAAATGAACTCACAATACGTAAAGCCGAAATAACCAAAGATCAGCTGCAACGGCGTTACACCGCCCTTAATGCTTCCTTCACTTCCGCAAAGAGCCGTTTGAATTTGGTCAGTGTCGCGCGTTGGTTTGACAAGCAAGAAAACGTACTCAAGGCGTTGATTGTGGAGAACGAGCCTATGCCTTGGTTGCGCCATTTGCTTCACGGACGTGGCACTAATCAGGGTCAACGTCGACTGCCTTCTCCTTGGAATGTTTCTGCTATGATCGTGGACGAGTATATGCGGTCTGCCTCTGACGCGGAGTTCGTATTAACAACCGAAGTCGCTGATGATAACGCCTCCGAAGCGGGATCATCTGCATCTGCGGCGATCATGCGTCGACCCGCCTCCGGTCGTGCATCATTCCGGTCGTTTGACGGTGGTTCTGGACGTAAATCTGATGAGTTGCTATCGTTTGAGCCATTGTCGCATTCTCGTCGAGACTCTGTCGGAGCGGACTCGCGTGCGAGTGTTGATACGCAGCTGAAGCGATGGCGGCAATCACTACTGCACCGAGCTGATAATGAGGTTTCGTCTGAAGGATCCGTGAGGAGTAGGAGAAGGACTGGTTCCTTAGAGCAGGGCAATGGTCAGACGGGTCAGAATTCGTCGGCTAACTCACGTAGTCCCTTGCACTCCCTTGGTATTAAGAGGCGTTCAAATACCATGCAAGTGAATAGCGATGAAGGGCAGTCTTCCGCAGCAGACTCGATGATTGACAGGTCGAAGGAAAGCACGCTATCCAAAGACGTACCGAAGAAACCCGGCCGGGAATCCAGGCGCAGCCGGTTTCCTCTATCTTTGGACCTTAGATCTGCGCAACCTTCCTTCATCGAATCGAAACAGCGTCCGGGAACGCTCTCAATTGACGAGCTACGTACGGATGTATCGACGCCGAACAAAAGCCAAAGCTTACCTGTTGGAAAGGAGGGAAGAGCTACACCTTCGGTCGATCCATTCGATGGTCGTCCAACTCCAAACAATCAGTTGGCTTCTCCCATCGCCCTTGACTCAGTGCGTAAACCTGATCGAAGAAAGACGCACAGGGTGTCTCTTCCGCCAGCTTTCCAAACGCCTAAGACACGAAGAAGCAGGTCTAATACCAGAACAGAGGCTCAGAATCACGCATTACAAGTTGAATACACGCGGAAGAAAGAGTATGTGTTGCTATACAATACCTTCTAAGTTTCTCAGCTTATCGAAGTCGCTTGAACAGATTACTGGATGCTCTTGTCGCACGTAATCAACGCATGAGGGCTTTACTACAGGTTGCCTCGAGGTCGATTCACGATTATGATGAGACGCAATCCTCGATGGCCCAGAAACTCGGGTTAAACTATCAACCATTACCACCTGAGGTTCTAGAGGCTGTAAAACACGATCCGTCTGCGTCAGTTGGTCATCTTCGCAGTCTGCAAGGGTGGAGAGCTGTTGAAGATATACACCTCCGACGTGAACGGCAGAAGGACGTTTTGCAACGATTTACTTCATCGCTGCAAAATTCCATTGCGCCGTTATCGTTGCCCAAAGACGGTATCTATGAGAGGACGATGGCAAGTCTTTCTGATCTCGTCGAAAGACTGCACAGCCAGCGCAGTACAGTGCTCTCACATGTTAGACAAACGCACGAACTGCTGGCCAGAGTAAAGAAGATGAGGGACGAGTTGAAGCCAGAATTCGATGAGGCAAGCAAGCATACATCTGCAAACTATCCAGAAGTACGTTTCTTCATAATTTAGGTACTTTATCTGTCTGACATATCTTTATGAAGCTCGTTCAATTAGAATCTCTTCTCGATGAAATCGTCAATGAGACGAATAAGCTCTGGAGACTCGCCGAGGCCTCTATATCATTCTTGCTTACTTCTGTTGCCCCGCTGATGAAGACATTTGGACGGCCTGTTTGGGACGAAGTACACGACTTCCTCGTCATTCCTTTATACCGTAACGGCTTCTCGGGTGAAGACCACTGGTACCCAGTCACTTTCCCGCGCCGAAGTCTCGTACATTGGCTTCGCCTCCTTTTCTTCTCAACCAGTGCACCATTACTCCTATACCACGGCGCTCGTTTCTTCGTCGCTCTCCTCACACACGGCTACGTCATTCGAATTCCCGTATTTATACCCACGTTTGTCGTATACGTCGTGTTTTCTGGTCTTATGTGTGCTTTCGCGTCTTTGCTTTTTGGTTTGTTCGTCGTCGTGCTTTGCGAGATGTTTATTGTTCTATGGTGGTTATTATGGTTACTACGTATTGTACGATGATGAATACTGATCTAGACAGTTCTGTGACTAGCGCTAATAGAAGAAGTAATTGAAGACAATGTAATAATTTAGAAGTCAAAACAAAATAGAAATTATGTTTCCAGAAAATGAAAGGAAATTAGGCTCTGCTAATCAAGGATTGTCACCAGCTTGTTCTGGGGGTGGTTGCGGTGTTGCAGCTTGCGGCAAAGATGCAGATGGAGCCTCGGAAGGCGGGAGCGGTGGAGGAGGAAGTGGAGGGACAGTTGTATTAATAAAGTACAATCCGCCCATCGCAGGAGGGGCTGGCTTGGGCGTTGCCTTTGATACTGTTCGCCGCCGCTTGGACGAAGTCTCCTGCATGGTAGATGGATCTTCCGTGCCTGTTGCAGGTGTCATCCGTGCGTCGCTACCAGTGCTGTCCATTTCGAGAGAAGCCTTCGCAAGTTTTGCAGCTTGTGATTGAGCTCTACGCGAACGATTGCGTTTACTGCTCGCGGTCTCTGACGCTGTGCTTGGTTTAATCGACTTCATTGTATAGCCGTTACTACATGCCTATATAGTAGCAAAAAGCGAATCAGGGTACGGTATGAGGTAGAGGAGGGCAAAAGACTTACCGCTTTCAATTGAGACAGCAATTCACCATTCGGTATACGATACTGTAAGTACGTCCTCGGATCAGAAACCTCCGTCTATACCAACGTCATAAGCGTGCATGAATTGAAATCATATATCCTGCAACGCACTTTATCATAGAAAGACTCCCATGCATCCGATCGTTTCGCCTCTTCGTTCACCCAATTTCGAATAGACTCCCAAAGCGCATCTGAAACACCTAGGAAACGTATGACCGAAGGTGTTCCGTCGGCTTTGTTTGAAGCCAGGAACGCCTTAAACTTGGCTTCGTCGTTTAAGAAAGGAACAAAGGTGTAGAATACGATGTCCTTCCGGAACGTCTCTGTATTAGGAATCTCTTGCTCGCATGCAATTATTTCGCGAGGAACGATGAAACGCTCGGTATGGTTTTCGCGAAACTCAAGGACGAGAGCAGATTTCTTTGGCGCTGTGTGTGGAGGTGAGTACTGAGAGGCTTCAGAAAACATATTGAATCACAAAAGAACGGCAAAACAAGACAGTGTAACTCGTACCTTGCGCGAAAGCAGATGTCGGAGTGGCTGGTTGATTTCCCAAAAAGTTAGTCGTCGGGGGCATCAGTACGGGAGCCTGTTGCTGGGCTGCGGCAAGGGACTGGATGAAGAAACCAAGCGTCCTGAGCTGGTCCATGCTTGCTTCTCCTGCGGCAGCTATCTGCAAGAGATTGTGCAAGGTGGGGTTCGTAGCAGCTGCTTCGTTCACTTGAGCAATAAGAGCCGGCGTTACATCTAGCGAAGGCTCGGGCAGAGGCGGGGGTAGATCGGAGGGAACGGATGCAGACGACGAGGCCTGGGTGCTGGGTCCGACGTAAGGGTTGTAGCCCGTCATCGGGTAAGAGTAAGTTGTTGTCTGTTGGTATGTCGGGAAAGTCCCTGTAGTATAGGGTGACGGCTCCGGTAGGTAGTGGACCTCGTATACAGACGTTTCCGGAAAGACATGCGGACCAATCTCTATGTCACATTTCGCGACAAATCGTAGGTTATGAGGAGGTTGCACAACGTCCTTCTGGCCTTTCGCTTTCGATTTTGAGGTAAACTTTGGGAACACAGTCGTGAGCCATGCATTTCTGGCTATATAAGAGTTGTCTATTTGGTATAACCGATGAGTCGATGATTAGACGTACATTGCCGCAGGGAATGGTATATTGCTGAACTGGAATTTGTTCAGCAGGCCACACATGAGAAAGGTTGGACACGCACCTTTCAAGGATATCGTTCAACTCATTTTCGCTATCACCGTCTTCCTCCCAGCCCGGTGCGTCGCCAACGGGTATCTTCGCTGCCATGGACATGAAGGATTAAGTTGCGATCTGCTCAGCTGCCTGGACATAAGAAGCGGGTTGATGACTAATGCATATCCTTTGTTTACAAGAACCATCGTCTGAATTCAACGCGTTTATAGCAGTCCACAATGTCAAGTCGAGTCCGTAAGTAGCATTCACGCGCACAATCAAATATCGTTCAACTCATTTCAATCGTGCACATAGAGAAAGGAAGTCAGAGATTTACGCCTGTTGTGAAGCCTCGGGGTCGGCCTGGCGAGGGCACTTCGAACGCCCCAAGAAAGCCACTGTCTGCTCGAGGATCGACAGTGGAAACTTTCCGGGCACAGTCCTCACAGCCGGCCAGGGAACAATCACAATCTACGCATCTTGCGTCCGTCTCAGTGGCACCCGAACCGTCTACTTCCGAGCAGAGGGATGGCTTTACCTCGGTGCAGAAGCCAACTAGTATACGCTCCACGAGGTCAAACAAACCTCCAAGTTCAAGTAGAGTTGGTGGAACAGGCGATACAACTCGAGCTGTTGAGGCACCTCCAGGAAATGGCGCAATATTCTCCGGTGCTGCTGCCGGTACGTTATTAGGCTATACTGCAACCTCATCTTACTAAATGCATATTCAAACGTATTAGGACGGTCACTAGCTGCTCGCGGCATAAATGCATCACAGGAGACCGCAGATGCTTCCTCCTCTTCGCAAATCGTATCTGGAAGCGAGCCTACACTACATTCACTGCTGCAAAGTATCCAATCAAATGGAGTCATTATCGAACCTGATGGGGCGCCCCATCACCCGCCTCAGTCTGCATCCGGTGACTCACAAAATACTGCAACACCTGTTGTCGACGGGCTTGAGCAGGGGAGCCACAAGGACATAGCCAGTCCGGTGCAGAATGGGACAAATATTGCTGTTGGAGTGGGACAAGACGATCGCGCTGTTGATGAGCGCATGACCAGAAAGCGAAGAGCATCAACAAGGGCCGGAAGAACATCTGAAGTTACTCAAGCAGATGTACAAGAAGATAGCAAAGAACACACCCTTAGGAGGACCAAGCGGGTAAGGAGATCAACACAAAAGCCGAATACTCTCGTTAAGGCGGACGCGATTTCTGAAGAGGAAAGTAGTGAAACCAAAGGACAGGTTCGGCAACGACGAAGTAAAAGGTCATCTTCATCGACACCTGCGAGGGGCAGGCGAGGTCGAAAATCGACCCCTGTTACCTTGTTCGACCCAGATGCCGATCCAGGTGAAGAACTAGATCCTACTGTCGTAACTATGGCGGCTATCTGCGATGACACTGGCCAGGGCAGAGTTAGTAGTAAAGCTGCCTTGATTCAACGCAATCATCAGGCCTGGAAGGCAGCAAACAAGCAGAAGAGGGATAGGATGCGATTGATTATGGAGGCGAAGAAATATGGGAGGAATGAGGACGAGACTAGTGGCCCAGTTGAAACTCCTCAAGCAGAAAAGAAAGGCGCCTCCGATGACGATGGATCACGAGCTGCAACTCCAGTTGAGGCTCCGACTGTAGAAGATGCAAATGGCTTTAACTATAGGGAAGCGCTTCCTGTCAGCCGCTTCAGTGCCCAAGTCAGGATAGGACCTAACGGCGAAACAATCATTGACGAAGAGAGCCTATTCGTAGAAAGGACTGAGAACGCGGATGACGGAACTGACGCTTATCAGCATGTCGAGGAGTCGGACCAGACGAAGTTTACTAACTCGGCGAGTTATGGGCGAAAACTACGTGGATCACGATGGTCTGCGGAAGAGACAGAACTATTTTACGACGTAAGTAGAGTACTCGCACAAACAACGTTCACTTTCAGATTATGAACTATTATCACGACAGGCATTATCGCAGTTCGGCGAAAATTACGAGTTGATCTCCTACGTTATTCCTGGCCGTGACCGAAAGGCATGCAAAGCCAAGTTCAAGGCTGAGGACAAGAAGAATCCGAATCGCATAACGTATTGCTTGAAAAACCGCACACCTTATGGTAAGTTTGGTCTCTCTTCAGATACAAGATTGCGAGTGCTTTGTGGCCTTGAACTTACATCATCCTTAAGATATTGAGACTCTTTCGAGGCTCACTGGAAAGGATTTCTCAGGTCCGACGCCTGAGATCATCGCTCCAGTGAAGCCGAGCATGGTTGATGAGCCACAAGAACTACAACAGCCGCATTCCGAAGCTGAATCATCGACACAAATACCGCGTAAGAAGTCCAAGACTCCTGGTTTACCTGATGATGTAGAAGTTGTTGGCGATATCGAGTCTTTTGACGGAAAGGAATCTGACGATTAACCTATCGTTTGACTTCCAGTCATATTTTATTATTAATATTGACTTCATTTTGCCGTTTGTCATGTATTAGTAGTTTCTGGAGGTTTACGATTCGGTTATGTTCTGAATAAGTATGGTATATTGAATATGGAAGTACATAATACACGATGGACGCGAAAACCTAAATAAATCTATTTTTGCCTCAAGCATTCGTCATATTGTGCTGTTCCGGACATTAAAATAATGAATAATGAATAAGTTAACCCCATAGATGTGGAGGTCTATTTTTCCTGGATCTATGTGGGGCGACTTGCTTGCAAGTGAAGCTGAAAGTCTGTGACGAAGGGTGACTCTACGCGTTGCGTGAGAACTACGCACTCATTTCACGCGTCTGCCACTGCGTTAGACTCGGACTTCATCCTCTCTCCTCTTCCTACAGCCCCGCCGTAACTGATTTCACGTAGCCGCGTAGTCACTGAAGATACACCAATGTCTCGTGCAGAAAGTCCCGACCTTGATGAGGTCCGTACTGGGAACGAATATTCAGGACACTTATTCACGTTATTGGTCAATTTCCCCAGACTCCTTTCTTTGACTCTGTCGACGAGCTCCAGCAACATGTAAGTAGATCATGGATGAAAAATATCGTGCCATCGCACGTCTTCTCATCTGCATATGCTATGTCATGGAGAATGAGCCATGCATGCCTAGCATATGTGCTGCACCGAAGTTATTGACTTCAATCCATGCATATATGTACTCACGAAACTTTCAGGGGATAAACGTTCAGGATATCCTGAAGCTCAAAGTAGGTCCTTGTGACGTTGGCTTTAACTGGTGATTATCAACTGTACCCTGCAGTCAGCATCCTTGAACACTGTTTCTGGCGTCAATATGACACCGAGACGTCAGCTGCTGAAGATCAAAGGCCTCTCTGAAGCGAAGGTTGAAAAAATAAAGGTAGTTTGTCGCGCTTTCTGACATGCTATGCCGGGGTGACTCAACTCTGGTTATATGCACGTAGGAGGCAGTCCATAAAATCATGGTGGGTCAGACTTGAATCATTACCTGCTTAATTCGCCTAACGCTTCGTTTTCTGTAGGGTTCCTCCTTTGCCACAGGATTGGAGGTGGCTGACAAGCGCAAGCGCGTTCTTGTGATCAGTACCGGAAGCAAATCAGTCGATGCGATTCTTGGAGGTACGCAATTAGAGACATCCCGAAGAGACATCCCGAAGAATGTACGGTTAATTCCGTGTTTCTACCTCAGGAGGGATTATGTCTCAATCCATTACCGAAGGTACAGTAAGTCTTGTCAAGGGTCACATTTTATTCATCCCTTCTGTATGTCAGTGTATGGAGAATTCCGAACAGGAAAAACTCAACTCGCGCATACAATGAGTGTTGTCGCCCAGCTCCCAACTGACCTTGGTGGTGCTGCTGGAAAGGTGAGGGCTATCTTTGCGTTCAAAGAACTTAGCCTTACGGTCGGTCGGAATGGAGATCGCATATATCGACACTGAAGGCACTTTTCGTCCGGATCGTATAAGGTCGATTGCGGATCGCTTTGGAGTTGATGGCAGCATGGCTCTCGAGAATATTCTTTACGGTGTGTATTCACGCCGATATCTAGTTCACCGGTCAAAGATTCTCTTAACATCTACGGACACTTCGATTAGCTCGCGCGTTCAATAGCGAGCATCAGGTAGATTCCTTGAATATTCTCACTTACGTTCCAGCTGATTGTATTTAGCTGGAATTGATTAACGAATGCTCGAATCGTTTTGCTGAAGACAAGGACTTCAGGCTACTGGTATTCAATTGTTTTTTATTTGCTATTTGGCATACATTATAAATTAGCTCCGAAGATTGTTGACAGCATCATGGCGCTCTTCCGTACCGACTATTCTGGACGTGGGGAGCTGAGTGAGAGGCAACAGAAGGTATGTCAGTTCTCTTCTTGCTTCAGACCATTACTTCACGTTGTTCCAGCTCGCACAAGTGCTGTCGCGATTGACAAAGCTGTCAGAAGAATACAACGTACGTATAAAGTTTCTAACCAGGGCTCTGGTAAACCTCTGACACGTATTCATACCAATAGATCGCCATTCTCTTAACAAACCAAGTTCAATGTAAGTCTGAAGTACAGCAAGAGCTTCATCTTCCGAGGTTTATGATGCGACACAGCCGATCCTGGTGCAACAATGACCTTCGTGGCTGGTGGAGCACTTAAACCCATCGGTGGGCATATTCTGTCCCATGCATCTGCCACGCGCATGTTCCTACGAAAAGGTCATATCACGTTTTTTACGCCTCAGAATGGTACTGAAATATTATTCTAGGACGAGCTGAAGAACGTGTTGCAAAGCTCGTTGATAGCCCTGATAGACCGGAAAGCGAAGCTTCTTACAAACTTGATGAAGGTGGCTGGTCTGACGTCTAGCCTTCTCCTTGTTCGACTTTGACTCGCTAAAACTCTGCGACTGACTCTTAACTCCGATGCGACTCATGAGACCTGTTGCCTCGGAGTGTCTAATATCCATCTAATACTCTGCCTGCTCGTTTCAGTCTCTTCCTCGCTTGCCCTTCGTATCATTATCTGCTGTCCGATCTCACGGCGCCCGAAAATGCGCAATTGCTATTGTTCTCCTTACCCTAGTCTTATACTGCATCACTTACTCTCTTCTACATCCCTCCTCTGTGTCTGTTGGTATCTGTTTCAACGAACAGCACGATGTCTACAACTAAGTATGTTATCCTTATAGCTTAACAGACATAATTGTATCACTCAGCAATAATTATATAGGATGTCCAAATAGAATTGCTTTCGTTGCATATATCTAAAATGTACTCAATTGAATTCTGGGCCTCATGCATTTCTATCCTGAGTGAAGGTGCGTATGACTTAGCTTTGTTGGTGGAAGGGGGGTAATAGTTACTTAACGCTCCAGCACGTACTCAATAAATTCTGTAATAGTTACCCGCACTAAAGTGATTATGTGCGTAGAATGTGACGTGTATTAGTCTCGCCCGTGACTATAAAAAGCATATTTCCCGGCCGATACTGATTCCAACTAATGACATGATACCTATGCTCGAGGCATCCTCTTCGTAGGTGCTTTGGCTCGTTTCTTAAGTAGTGTGACGAACATGAAAGCAGTTAATGCTGATAATGAATACCTGAAGGAGAATATAACGTTCTATAAGTGTCTAATTGTCGGCTTACGAACAGAACTCACCATGTAAAGACATAAGCCGCATGAGAGTTCCTAACTTCTACGGTCGGCGCACGGCCTACCGGAACACCTCGTGAAATGTTTAGCTGTGCGTCACCAGTGTGCCCTTCTGAGAGTGCAAACTTCAAATTAATAAGGATACTCGATCTCATGCAATAGCGTACCAAATATAGCTTCTATGAAGACAGGTTGAACACCTGCGGCTTCGCCCCCAGCATAGTCTGCAAGTGCATTCACATCGACCCAATACCATTCCCCCTTTTCAGGATGATTGTCTGGAGTGAATCTGTTTCGCTTCTGGGACGTTCGCAGCATCCCATTGATCTCCACTTCTTCATTATTATTCTGTGAGGATTTCCAGTGCTCCGGTTTTGCGTATTCATCAGAGACGAACCCTCGGTCGACGAGTATAGTTGAACCATCCGATCGAATAAGTGGAGTTATTACGTTGACTCCTTTCGTCCCGTCTCGCACTCTTGGACCGATGAGGATTGTGTGTGCATGGTCCAATCGTCCCTTTACGCGTACTTTACGGAATGCAAAATCGTCGAGCACGTCGAGGCTAATGCACGTCAGCAGGAGATTCACAACAAGAAATAATAAGTAATAAACACACTTGACATAGTCCGGAAGGTCCATCGGCGCACGCTGGAGTTTCTCTTCCAGTTCGTCGATAAGATTAACTTTCCACTTCAGTCGTTGAATTTGCCATGTCCCAAGTGCGAATGTAAGTATAGGCATGACGCCTAAAAGTATCATCGTCGGCGTCAATCTGGACGTTTGTTTCGCCCTGTATTGTTGCTGCTGCTGTTCATGTGCGATATTCCGTAGACAATTTCCACGAGAGAAAAGTCTTCGAGAGTGTAGTATATTTCGTGGTGCATTTGAGCGCAATGAAGTTGTCCTCGCTGAGCGGGAGAATAATGAGAGGAAAGAAGCCATAATTTTCAATTTATTTCGACGAAGTGACTACTGGATCATGCGATACGATCGACGTTCGGCAGGGCCACCACTCACACCACTCGCGTCACCTGCTGCGCGCCGTTTCTTTACCTTACCCAATCTCACACCATGTACGTACGGAGGACTTCAATGCTCATGTTATTGCTCTAATAGTCTACTGCTCAAGGTACTCCAACCAGCGAAGGGGAGGTGGTGGTTACGACATCGACGGCGATGACGTCCACTATCCCACCCGTCCCGTTGACAAGGACAAGGCAGACCACGAACTCGTCATAAACATCAAGAAAGCTACAAGTCCGGAAGAGTCTGCTCCTAAACAGAAGCATGTTCGAAGTATGTCCTCAGTTATGTGTCCTGTATTCGTATTCTGTCTGACAGAGTTATTCCAGAATGCATTGTCTACACATGGGACTATCACAGTTCTATGGCCTTCTGGACAGGACTTCGAGTCCAACCGATCTTATCAGACGAAGTACAAACGTTCAAGGCGTTGATTACTGTGCACAAAGTACTCCAGGAGGGGCATCCAGTTGTGCGTTGGCATGTTTAGCCGCTGGTTCGCTAATTGTCTGATGATGCTTTCCATTTAGACAATTAAAGAAGCGCATGGTCAGACCGGCTGGCTCGAGACTTGCGCACGAAGTGTAGGAGCTGATGGAATGCGAGGTAAGCAAACGTTGCATATGTTTCTGGGGAGACATGCTCAAACCATTCGTCAGGTTATGGGGCACTAATTCGGACATACGTTGCGTTCCTTTTGTCCAAGCTGAGGTTCCATCGCGTGAGACCAGAGTTCAATGGTCTCTTTGAATACGAAGAATATGTCACGCTCAAAGGGATTGACGATCCAAATGAAGGGTAAGTTGTTCAAGGCCGTTTGGACGTGGTCTTAGCTTACTCGTAACTACAAGTTATGAGACTATCTCCGATCTTATGGGCCTGCAAGATCAGATTGACTCCTTCCAACGCATGGTATTTGCCCATTTCCGCAATTCTGCCAACAACGAATGCCGCATTTCGGCATTGGTACCCCTTGTCAAGGAGAGTTGGGGGATATACCGATTCATTACTAGCATGCTACGTGCGATGCACCGACGTAAGCAGTTTTGTCCAATGCCAAGAGAAAGTATGTTCTTATTGGTTCTATAGGGGCGGATGATGTCGATGCTTTGGAGCCATTACGCGCCCGTTATGCCGCACAACACCACAATCTACGCAAGTTCTACTACGAATGTTCCAATCTAAAATACTTGACTGGCCTAATTAATGTTCCGAAGCTCGGTCAGGCAAGTGAAATAAGGATGAAACATCACTAGCTATTTTGCTAACTTCCGACTTTTAGGAACCACCGAATCTCATGGACAACGGCAACGCGCCAGATTTACCCGCTCGGCCTACAACGACCGCAGTTAAGACACCGCCTCCCGCCACCCCTGCACCTGACGTCAATGAGCAGGCCCGTATACTGAAGCAATACGAAGAACAGCAGGCTGCTCTTCAAGCGCAACGAGACGCTGATGATCGTGCTCGTCAGGAGCGGGAGCTCGCTCAGCAGAGAGAATTCGAGGCTCGCCAGCGAGAACAGGTGGAACGCGAAAGACTCGCCCAAGAACAACTCATGCAGCAACAATTGGCTCAGTACAGCAATCAGGCTGCACAACGGGTCAATGAACTTGAGCGCGAACTACTTGGCATGCGTGGACAGTATGAAAGGGATCAGTTGCTTCTTGAACAATATGATCGGGTAAGGTCCTTACTTACTTACAATTGATGTATCACACCCTAACCACCGTTTATAGAGAGTAAAAGCACTAGAAGGCGAGATGAGCTCTATGAGCATGAACGTCGGGTCTCAGATGGCCTCAAAGGACGAGCTAATCAAGCAGCTCCAAGATCAAGTCACGCTTTGGCGTAACAAGTATGAGGCACTTGCTAAGTTGTACAGCCAACTTCGCACGGAGCACCTGGACATGCTTTCCAAGTTCAAACAGCTGCAGCTCAAGGCCAACTCGGCTCAGGAGGCTGTCGATAAGATGGAGCGTATGGAGCGCGACATTAAAGCGAAAAATCTTGAATTAGCGGATATGATTCGTGAGAGAGACCGTGCACGTTTTGATCTAGATCGTCAAAAAGCCAGCCATAAAGACGAGCTTGACCGCCTGAAACGCGAGATCAACTTTGCAAACGAACGTGCAGAGGATGCGACGAGATCACGAAGCTCTGAGGTGTCGAGTGTGCTTAGTAAATACAACAGGCAACTGACCGAGCTTGAAGATTCTCTGAGGGTGAGATACCTTCGCATCTTTCATCTCCTGTTCCTTGTTCTCACTTCTTGCTTCGCAGGCTAAGCAAATTCAGATCGATGACCTCCTGAAGAAGATTGATGACTCCAGCCTGGAGGCCGACCGTATCCGTGAGGAAAAGGACCAGGAGATCGCCATTCTCCAAGAAGGCATGGACGCCACTATTCAACAACTCCATGAAGCGCAGCAGGTTCGTTGTTACTATTCTTGTTGAAGATGTATCACCATCTAACTGGCTATGCGCTAGACTCAGGGCATCGTTGATCAAACCACAAATGCACAGATTGATACTCTGATCCTAGACAACAGGAAGAAGCTTAACCAGATAATCGGTACGTTTCAGCAACTGAGCTACGATCGGACTTGCCCGTTGACCGCGTGCGTGTCGTACAGATTCCATATTGCAGGCGTGCGTACAGAAGATTGACGACGCGATTTATGAGTTGGAATCCCCGGCCCAAGCGGGCAACCTTAATTCGACTCCAGAGTATACGCTATCCATGATTGAGAAGGCTGTGAATAATGCGACTGATTTTGCCACTGTTTACAACCTCTATATCGGGGGCGAGGTTGGCGGGGATCATGTGGAAGTCATCAAGACTGCGAATGAGTTTGCTCAGTCCTTGTCTGACGTACTGATCAATACGAAGGGCGTTACTCGTCTGGCTAACGATGACGATGCTTCCGACAAAATTGTGAACGTGGCCAAGACTGCTGGCGATGTCGGACTACGGTTCTTCCTTAACCTGCAGTCATACAAAATGGAATTAGTGCCCAAGGGTCAGAAACACGATATTGCAACTCGCAATAATGTCGAGACAAGGGGTGCATTAGCCAAGCTATCAGAACTAATCGATAATCTCATTCCAAAAGGTACCAAAGGCGGAGCACTTGCTAAGGCGAACGGTGATATCGGCGACCTCGTCGAGAGGGAAATGTTGGGTGCTGCTCAAGCAATTGAAGCCGCTACAGCGCGCCTGCAAGAACTTATGGCCCGACCACGGGACTCTTCACGTTTCAGCGTTGTTGACTTGCAAGTACACGACTCGATTCTATCGGCTGCAATGGCGATTACAAACGCTATCGCGAGGCTCATACAGGCTGCGACGGAGTCACAGCAGGAAATCGTTGCTCAAGGAAGAGGGTCTAGTACAAAGCAGCAGTTCTACAAACGGAACAACCGATGGACGGAGGGTCTCATCTCCGCCGCAAAGGCCGTCGCTTTCGCTACAAACCTACTCATCGAGAGCGCAGACGGTGTACTCTCCGGTACTCACTCTCTCGAGCAACTCATCGTCGCATCAAACGAAGTAGCCGCCGCGACTGCCCAACTCGTCGCCGCCTCTCGCGTGAAAGCCTCTCTGATGTCCAAGACGCAAGAACGTCTCGAGTTGGCTGCGAAGGCAGTGACAGAGGCCTGCAAGGCACTCGTGCGGCAAGTCAAGGCCGTATCTACAAAGCAAGCCGAGGAAGACATTCCAGACTTCAAGAACATGGCTGTTCTAGAGTTCAAGCGCCGGGAGATGGAACAGCAGGTCGAGATTCTCAAGTTGGAGAAGGAACTTGGTGCCGCTCGGCATCGTTTGGGTGCTATGAGAAGGGCTGGGTATCACACGGACGAGACCGATTGAGAAGCAGGAACTTAAGGAACAAGGGGATAATTGGAAGTGTGGGGAGGGAAAAGAACTCTTCTTACGAATCACATATTTCATACTCTTTAATCTTGGCTCTGTTTTTTTCTTCATCTTCCTTCCTTCCTTTCGTCATGTAACGTACAAGTCTAAAACGGAGTATCTTCTCATCAATTTATCCTTTTCCTTACGTTTAAGTTCGTCCCAGTGAAAGTTTTACATCACATCGAGAGAAAAGAATCGAAGCAAGGTATAAGGTATGTGTGTATGTAAGTTGTAACTTGTGGAAAAACCCCCTCTGGTCAGTCACATTTCAAACAGCCGTAAGCGTAAGCGATAGGTAAAGAAAAGAATCCTCGTTGCAGCCATTAATGCATTGAGATATGTGTCCCTGAGCCAAAATGGGACACATGTCGAGATGCTTGTTGTACAAATATATGAAAAAAAGGGGAAGAGTAAGTATATGTCTAGCGACTGACGAAGAAGAAAAGGGAAGCTCTCTCTCAAGAAACTAGAAGGATGGTAGTGCTGACAGTAGAAAATATGTGGAATATAAGGTGAATGGTTTGAACGAGCGAATAAGCAGTATGGTAGACAGACCTACGTATATATATAAATTACAGGTGGAGTGAAGAGAGTAATGAAAGGGAGTGAAGCGAGAGATGGGGCCAGTCCTACAATTTAAGAATAAACAAAGGATGAACAAAAAAGGAGAAGTGAGCGGGAAGGAAAATCAACTAACGGATGATGGGAAAGGATCAAGATATCCCAGTGGAAAACAAAGTGTCAAAAGAGGACAAAAGAAAAAGAAAAGTCATCCAGATCAGTTTCACAGAGGACGTTTCAGCTTGTGTTACTGTTGTCAGTCAGAGATCATGAGAGACGCGACTGAGGTCTAATGAATCTTTCCCGTGTTCGAGAATAAGGAAGCTGTCCTCGGGTACAGTCGACATGGGAGCTTTGTCCACCCCATTCCCCTGTTCGGCGAATTCATCATCAATGTTGAGGAACGAGGGCTTCCGGAAGATGGACCCGCGGTTCGGGTTGTACGAGGTTATTGTTTCATGAGATGGAAGGCGCTGCAAACCCTGGTGCGGGAATTGATTCTCAAACGATGGTAACCGTTGCAACCGTGTGGGTGTGTTTCTAGGCGGCGGCGGTGACAACGGATTTATCTCCGGCTCCTCGATCTCGAACTGATTGGCTGTGGGAGTGGATATTGCCGCTCCCTTTCGTCGAGGCGGGGGTGGTAACCCAATAGGCGTACAGTAGCCATCTGAAGAAGTATCATGTAGTGACACATCCCGCATTGAAGACAGTGGGTCTGCAGTAGAGGGGCGCACAGCGGACGAGTTCGATATCCGGGAACGACCCGACATTCCGCTAAAATCACGAGTTGGAAGGCGCGACCCTGTGGACGGGCGATCGTTCCGGAGCCGTTCATGTATCGAGCCCGAAGCGTTCGCGAAGTGCCGCGTCGTCGTTGACATCGGCAAAGAACCTGAGTCTCCTCTAGTTAAAACACCATTCTCATCGGTACCCGAAGTAATAGACGTCCCGCTAATGGAGTTAATGCGCGAGCGCATGCTAAACTGGTCTGAAGTCATGATGCTTGACCCTTCCCAATAATCGTCATCTACCTCGCTCTCAAGGCCACGATCTGAGAATTGAGGGGGAGAAGAGGGTTCCTCCATATCAGCCAGAGCCTCCATCTGATACGCAAGTTCCTTCGGTGGCAAGATGTGTTGGTCCAGGTGCTCAACAGCATTGTTAGGAGGGTCGTTGCTAGTACGTGGCGCGTTATATACGTCTTCCGGAGGCGAAGAAGGGCGGGGCGGCTCTTGTACATGTTCGGTTACACCTGGTATATGCGAAGGCGTCGAGTGAGGCGAGAAATGCCCAGAGAATAAACCAAGTCCGATTACGTGCGATTTCTTCTTGTCAATGTGCTGCTGCGCATCCGGTGAATATGTAGCACCTGAGACATCCTGCTTATCACGCTCCTGAGCATGACCTGACTCTCGCTTGTCTCGGTCACGAGAATGAGACGAGAAAATTGAGCGTTTCTTCTGTGTCTGCGGTGTCGTTGGCGTGACCACAAGCGAATTGCCTGCAGTCGAACCCTGCGATGATGAATAGGCCGAACGTCGCTGAGATCCAAAGGGGGAATTGAAACTATCGCCTTTGGCAACCACCGAGGACCCACTCCCAGAAGCTTCGCTCATGGGCGCCGTATTGAAGGAGCTAGCATGTCGAAGTGTCTGAGGAAGGGGCGGAATAGCGAGGGATCCTCCAGGAGCGCGAGTGTTGTGCATCGACCGTTGTTTGCGTAGCGTCCTCATGCCATTCAACACAGATGCTGGATTTTCCTCCAGCATTAAATTTCCAGACGTAATACTTGTTTCAGAATCAACACGTTGCCGTCCACCGCGTCCGTTTCTGTCAAATGTAATCGACGATTGGGAGATGCTTTTTCTCACCGACCGTTGCATAGGGGTTTCACTCCGTGTTCCAAAGGCGCTCGTCAGGGTATGATTCGAGGACATGGAAGATTTCGCCGTGTGTGTTGGCGACGTCGCAGCTCGATGCGGTGGTTGCTCGTGCCTATGCAAGCGCCCGGAATTTGTGCTCCGAATATCACGTTGCGCCCTCGGAAGAGTTGATCTGAGGCCGAGGTCAATGTCACTGAGTGTTGACGCCTGTACGGTTGGTGCAAAGCAGAGGCTCACTGACGAAGCATTGGAAGAGGGTGTAGATGGTGGTAGGTCAAACGTCAGAATGGAGGGATCATCGCTTGGCGAATTCGGCGAGTTCAGGAGCGAAGACGTGCTCACGTTCTTCGGAGAACGGAATGTAAGCGGCGACGGGGTGCGGTCTTGAGGAGTCGGAGGGAGGGTTGCCTTGGGTGGAGGATTTCGCGAAGGAGGAACGGGACGCATTCGCGAGATGGAATGCTGCCGTCCAACGGCGCCCGCCACCGAGCCGACTGAACTACTGGTACCTGAAGTAACCGACGCGTTACGCGACAGGGATGTTGCCGAAGGAAATGACGTTACAATTGAAGGCGAAGGACGCCCAGACGCGTTAGACCCACTAAGCGAGCCAACTGATACGCTCGCTGCTTTCGGTCTTATCGTGGGCGAGAGGCGGGCCGAGGACGTGGGCGAACGATCATTCGCTGGCGCATCTCCGTTTCGCAAATTTGCGACTCGATCTTTGCCAAACCGTTCGTCATCACGAACGGGGCTGTATCCGTTCGCCGATACAGGAGACGCCGTCCGTGACTCTGATCTTGATACTGACGTTTTTCCCATCGCCACAATTTCAGAAGGCGACTTCTGGAGATTTTGTCTCTGACCAGTCATCACTAGTGATGCAGATACTTTGGGCACTGCAGGTATTCCGAGATCCGAATGTCGATGATCTCGCATATGTAGCTCGGTAGATTCCTTCTGACTGTTATTCGCCTCATTGTCCGATGTCAAATCTATTTCCTTGCTCACTCTGCTCTCTCTAAAAATAAAACATATTTAACATAAAATTTCCTTTTTTGACTAAGTGAAGAAAATAGAAGCACATACGCCGATGATTTTCGTCTTTCCAAGCTGTCCCTATGATCAAGGAAATTATTCGACATTCTCCCTGCGAAACCTTTCTGTTCAGGATAGTAAGACGATGCCGAAATTCTGGAAGACCGAAATGGTTGTTCCCTCTTCATATGCGGATCAATGACAGAGGGGTCGGACATGATAGAGATTCTTCGTCCATCCGACGGCGAGTGCCGCACACCTAATCCATCGCCAAACCTCAAGGCGTACGCGCTTTGATCTTGTTGTTCGGCAAACGTGAAGAGTGACGGTTGATACGAAGTGCGATGACGAGAGAACTGGTCAGAGGGCGTCATTGGCTCATGCGCCTCCTCGGACGAGGGATACGTGTACACTGACGGTTCGCCTGGTGATTTGGGATCATACTGATATGACGAAGTCGAACTGGCTGTTACGGGCCTGCTGGAGAGTGGCGTCTGAACAATAGGATCCCGAGAGACTGGCGGGCCTGCTGGAGGTGGGCTTTGGAACGGAAGCGGAGGAGAGTTAGGGCCAGGTGGGATATTGATCGTCGGATGAGACTTCTTTGACTTGAATCCTATGACGGAAGCCAACGTATTGAACTTCTTCGACTGCTTGGTCCCACGCAGTGACTTGTCGTCGTACATTTGTGATGCGCTTGATGTAGTTGTAATTGGAGTGGTGGCGCGAGAGGACTCAAGAGAGCGGTAAGGTGGCACTGTTGACGACTTGGACGCAGACGGTCGTGACCACCATTGCCTAGTGTTCTGAGTCTGAGGCGGGTGGAGGGCGAAAGACATGAGAATTCTTGGGAGGCGACGATCGAGGTAGAGAGGAAACGAGCAAGTTAAGCGTGTCAGAGCCTAGAGATGAGAATCAGGGCGGCGGGGACGTCGTGAGATAGAGAGGGCGAAGCTGTACAACGTGCTATTTGCAACTGCCTTTGGTGATTGCGGGCGGCGTTGCACAACGCGACGAGGACGAAAAACGATCAGACTGAAATTGATATGAGGACAAAAGGAGGAAAAATTGCAAAGAACGGAAGTCAGAGGATGCGTATGGTAACTAAGAGAGCGCGATCAAAACCTACAGGTGCGCGGCTCGCGCGGACGAGTGGACAGGTTGCTCCTTTCGACCGACGGAGGGATATGGACGAAGCGGGGGCGGGTGGCGACGTTGCTCATCGACGAACGTCGATGCTGCCTTGGGATTAACGGACAAGGGTCGCGGTACGGAAGAGAGGACGAGCCAGCAACGAGGGACGGGCTGTCGGTCGGGTAACGTGCCTCCCGCGTAGAGTCAAATTCAAAGTTCACGGCAACTCCTTTCTGATCTCTCTCTTCTAACTGCGCTCAACCCTCCTCCCTGCTTACCTTGGTATCTCACCTTCCGCTTTTCTCTATGTTATTTCTCTGCCCCACTGCAAATTTATCTAGTCGCAAACACCCCATAATTTGTCGAATATTCTTCACAAGCGGTCAAGCAGTCCGGACGCAGTGGGAATGAATAGCCGGAAAGAGCATGATTTCGTGATTCTTTGACTTGCCTTTTCCGACCGACGATTTTCTGTTTCTGTCGGCCCCGCATTTATTTGTTTCTGCCCGCGCCAATCGGTGCAGCTTGTTTTCACTCCGTTCCGAAATGAAAAAGAATCTCTGCGAAGCTGTCTTTCCCCTCATCTCCGTACCGTCATTTCGTTGCTACTGGTGCTTTGCATTCGTCGACGTCTCGTCAAGCAACCTCTCACGTCCTCGGCATTTTCTTGCCGATTGTTTTCCTGGGGACTTCGTCCGAGGCTATCTGCGACTATGCTTTTCTATTATGAAAGTCTGATGAACCTGAAATTGCAACCGCTTGGGGAACACAAAGAACTTTATTGAAATACTTCCGCGGTGCTTTTTTGTTTGTCCTATCACTCTCTCTTGACATATCAAATATGCATAAGCCGCAAAGTGGTCCGAAATTTTCGTTCTTTTCTCCCGCTGTACATCTCGACTCGTCCCACACTCTCACATCCAACTCATTGTGGCATGTATGTGATGCCTGTCTGCCGCACGTGAAACGATGAACCACTCAATCAGTCAGTCTGCCGGAGGCTAAATTTACAACTCTTTGTGGTCCCATGGTCCCTTCAACTTACTCAGCCAACTCTAATCTAATGATACTACTGGCAATCCCAGGCCGACGACGATGCAGACAACTCACAGTCTCAACCAACCATGAGCTCGAAAGGTCTCCTCCTAGTCTTCGCCGAGGTTGGCAACCAGGTCTCGGAGGCTGAATTCCACGACTGGTACGACCACGAGCACATCCCGCTTCGCACCGCGCTTCCAGGTTTCCACTCTGCGACGCGTGCTATCCAGGCGGACGACCAGAAGCCTACATGGGCTGCTCTGTACGACTTGTCTTCTGTTGAATACCTCGAAAAGGATGAATATGCGAACCTAGCGAAGACGCGTAGCGCACGCGAGGCCGACGTCTTGTCAAAGGTCGGAGTGCTCCAGCGGCGTATCTATAAACTCAACGAGGAGGCGCCCAAGGCGGTCAGCCCAAACTTCACAGGTCACAAGGAGGGAATGACACTCATCATCGTCTCAATGGACGTTGAGCCTGAGTTTGAAGAAGAATTGCATAGGTAGTGCACATTCCCTGTACCCAGATTCGCAATTACAAACGTCATTCGCACAACAGATGGTACAACGAGGAACATACCGACATGCTTTCAAAGGTAAGGCTCGGAAACAGGGGCTATCAGTGCGGGAAGTAGCTTATGAAATCCCTCTGACAGGTTCCTGGCTGGCTGCGTTCACGGCGCTACACCCTAGTCGAAACAGGCGTAACTGGGACGTCAAAGGAAGTCAGTGAATACAAGAAGCCAGCAAAGTTCCTTGCGGTGCATGAATATTCAAGGATCAGTCCCGACCTGTTCGAAGCCGAGGAGTTCAAAGCTGCGATATCAACGCCATGGCGTAAGAGGATTTGGGAGAATAACAAGAACACCGAGAGACGCGTATTCAAGGTTTACAAAACGTTTTGATGTTTTGAACCCGAATGGAAAAGGTGTGCTTCCCGATCATTCACTAAGACTGAATGGTGCTGAGATAGGGATCGTAATAAGTTATCCACGATATACATTATAAGGAGTCGAGTAAGGATATTGGAACAGTAGGATGAAGATGAAGAGAAAACTGTGATATGCATAGTGTGAACTGAAATTAAGAATGGAAAAATGCAAACATGTCCGTTAGGAAATTCGGACCGTCCGAACCGTATGCTCTAGACGTCACAAGCCCGCCCACAAGTCTTCCTGGTCTCGATCGTCGATGACAGGTGGTTTATTGGGCTTCGGAGGTGGGGGCGGTGGAATTAGGCCTTCTTCCTCATCTCGTCCTTGGGCATCAAAAAGTACCGGATTTCGGGTCCTTGAGCGAGCCAACTCCTCTTCTGCGTCTTCAGGCAGGTCTAGATCTAAACTGAATCCCGCTCGTCTCGCTGCGGTCAAATCTATTGGCCGAGGTCGAGAGAAAATTGACTGTCCAGATCTATAGTGAATTTAAAAAAAGAACAAGAGAAATGAAAACCGGTAGGGAGCATGTTGGAGCGATAATACGTACTGCCGCATTACCGCAGCTAAGCGAATGAACTGAAGCACGTTCCGGCCCACTAGAAGCAGAGTATCCAATAATTCCTCTTCTTTGCTGGTCGAACCGCAGCCCGCAAAGACTATCGTAAGGACCGTGATCACGCAGAAGAATGTTAGAACAAGGTCGATCACGTTAAACGGCGACTTCCAAAAGCGCTGTATGCAAACAATGGTTAAGTGCTGCTGTTGTTTCCGCCGTAGGAATAAAGGAACTAAGAGAACATACCCTGCCGAATGCCACAAAACGAATGCTGACTTCTGCGATCATCGTGGTGTTGATAATGAGCTCCAGGATATAAAATGCCAGTCCTGGACAACCATCCTGTAGACTAAGAATGACCGTTGTAATGGACAGAGCGGCCATGCCCAGGTAGAGGAATATGTACGTCCGTGAGTGGACGAAGCGATTCGCGATCCCGCGCGTGATTTCTTCTCGAGTGAGAGCATAGAGCGAGCGTGTAGGTCTGCGATAACGCATAGAAGTACCGTCAGAGTCTTGTAGTAACCGAAACAAAGTGGTACAGACACTGGTTGGGTAATCTCGGGGTCAGGCTGATGCAACGGCTCTCGCTCGCCAGCGTCGAAGTCCTCAAGAGGCTCATCCGCATCAGGATCTGGACGCCTATTTGGGCCCATGATGACAGAAAATTTCGTGTTCCGAGGCAGAGCCGAGTCTACGTGGAGAGGGTACACGACAGCAACGAGCGTGTCCAACAGAGCAGCTCACGTTGCATGACGGATGCTGAGACGCCGCGCGTCGATCATAGTATCCATTTCGAGAAGGAGCTTTAGAGTGACATTTTGTCACAATCCCTTAATGAACAGTCACTTTGTCACTTTGTCAGTCAGCAGCGCACTAAGTCTACCGTTCTGCAACTCTTTCCTCTTCTCCACGACGTCCTTCCCCTCGTCTTGATCATCGGCGCAGCTGTTCTCGCTACTTACAGCTACCTGTTACTTTACTTATCCGTTGAAGGCTTGCCAAGATGGGTGGAGGTGACTTGAACATGAAAAAGTCCTGGCATCCGCTCCTGATGAAGAATCAGGAGCGGGTGTGGCTCGAGGAGAAGAAAGCTGTATGTCACTTTTCTCATGCATATAGGAACTTCTACTAATATTTTCGATGCTTTGCTTTGTGCTTAGCTTGAAGAGAAGAAGAAATTTGACCAGCTGCGGAAGGAAAAGGAAGAGGAACGGCAGATGCAAGAACTCCAGCGTCTACAAGAGGAGTCAACGGGAAGGAAACGTACAGAGAAGCTAGAATGGATGTATGCCACGCCGGCTACGGGAAGTAGCGCAAATAAGAATGATCTGGAGGACTATCTTCTCGGGAAGAAGAGAGTGGACAAACTTCTCACGGGTGATGAGAACGAAAAGGTACGCTGACTTTGCTTTGTTTTTGGGGAACTTCTAAGACGTACTGATCCGCAAATTCTACATAGATTGGTGCAGCGCACAAGAACTTCATAGCTGTCCAGAATGCCAATACAGTGCGAGACATCACCTCGAAGATACGGGAAGACCCTCTCCTTGCAATTAAGCAGCAGGAACAGGCGGCTTATGAGTCCTTGATGAGTAATCCTCTGCGGTTAAAGGAGATGCAAAAGGCGGCAGGGATTAAAGTTGACAAGGACAAGAAAGCAAAGAAGGACAAGAAGGACAAGAAGGACAAGAAGGACAAGAAGTCGAAGAAACACAAACACCAGGATGAGCAGGACGACTACTATGATGATAAATACAATGACCGCGGAAGGAGTTATTCGCGTTCTCGTTCACCGAATGATCGTTACGAAAGATATCGGGGCAGCCGCTCTCCAGTCCGAAGGACGCATCGGCATAGGAGCAGGTCTCACAGTGCTGAAGCAAGGCCCAGATCAAGCAGGAGCCCGATTAGCTTCAGAGATGATCATGCCCGTCGGTCGAGCTACGGAGACAGACGGCGGAGCCGAAGTCCGCGCGACAGATACGAGCGGGAGCGAGTACCACGCTACCCTTACTCAGACGAAACGTCCTCGGAAGAACGGCGGCGAGACAGGAGCCGTGGTTTCGAGCAGCGTCGATATTCAGACGCTTATGACAGAAAGCGAGATCGGAGTGTTTCGCCTCCTGGTTACGCAAAGCGTTCTCGCATGCATTCACCGCCGAGACCGTACAGCAATCAGACTCGCCCTTCGCGTTTCGTAAACGGTGGCCCATCTGCTAATGGTTACTCCGCTTCGGCAGACGACCGTGCCGCACGTCTTGCTGCCATGTCGGTTAATGCCTCATCTCTCACTACTGAACGTAAGGAGCATCTATCGAAGCTACTTGCCGAGGAAAAGGCAGAGCTCGAGGCCGAAAAAAAGGCTCGTGCTAAGTCAGGGGGGATGGGTAGCTTCTTGAGTCAGGAGCAGAAGAAGGTTTTCAGTGGAGCTGGAGGCATTGAGGAAAGGATTCGAAGGGGGAAGAGTGGATTGGTTGCTGAAGCGGACTAGTATTCGTCAGTTTTCTCTATTTCCTACCATGTTATTAGTATGTTGTCATTGCAATTCTAACTTATCAAAAATGGGGTCACTGTTTCCGCTGGTATAATGTAGCATCTGCCGCGCAAACCGGGACAAAGAACAATTGAGATACAGTGGAACGAACCAGAACAGTAGATTGCTTTGTCGTGTATGATGCGAACCAACTACAAAACAGATAGGCGAAATGAGAACGGATGAAAAAAAAGAGGGTTGCCTCAAGTACACGGGGAGGCAGGATGCTATGGGAGCGAAAGCGAACGTGATAGAGTAGGGCGCATGAAGGGTTCCCTCCCTCTCCAGAAACTAGTTTGACCAGCGCTTTCGATGACCTGTTGGGAACGCCTGACAAGATGCTCCCTCAAAGCCTATCAATATACATCACGTACAAAGATATGAGATTGTGTCGTGCAAGAGAAATTTTGTAAATGTATCCGAGCTTACGCACCTCACGAAAACTGTCCAGCTTGTTGTGCGGGACGCGGATCAGCAAGGCCGTTCCCGGGTTGGCACCGGTAGTATGAGCACTAGCTAGATTCTCTACCACCCTCCGCGCGTCGAACGTGTCATCGTCTCCAATGATCGTCTACCAGTAGCAAATTTACGTGGAGATGAGCCACGCGCAAAGACAGACAACCCCAGATCTTACAAAGGTGACGTCGCGTCCCAGTATTAGTTGTGCGTCTTCAAGGCACTGATCGCCCTGGTGGTAGCAATAGGCTTAGCATAAGTTAAGATACTCAATCCACGAAGGGGCACCTACGTCATTTGATACCGGTACATTGACGTTATTCTGTGCGCTGTTTGTCGGTGGGTGGTGTCGATATCCATGGATGTGGCCGTCTGGAAAGTTATTGGGCAAACGCCTTTCTTCCATTACCAAGGAAATCGAGAAGTAGCCAGGAAGGTGACTAGCGTCCATTAAAAAGACGACAAGACAGAAGGGAGAGGGTAGGAAACAAGGTGATAGCACAATGGTTTAAAAGGTAAAAGGTATGCTCGGGAATGCCTCTGGTGAAGGCAGGTACAGACGCGCTTTTATTGGGGACCCTCACAAATTGGAAAAATGTAAGAATACACATTTCGCGAACTTGCGAGGAGCGTAGGGAATGCCATCATAGGGATGACGGCAGCATGCCCCAGATCCAAAGTGCGCCTTTTATGATGCCAGAGAACTCTATGAACGTAAGAATGCTGTCGGTTCTAAGCACAATAAATAGGTTCGGCCGCCTCCCTCACTGATAGAAGTGTCCCCACGATTTCCGATTCACGCCGAGCTGCTCCTCTATTGAGGTGATGAGTTTAGGTTCATCACTCGCTCGCTTGCCATCGTTGCACGAACTAGACTTATGGACCTGGTTCGGTTTTGGCGACGATACGGTTCGGCGCTTCTTTATGCTTCACGGGTTTCCCAGCAACATCCTAAAAGCAGTTCTCCAAGCAGTTTATCCTCCTGTTCCCTTCTTGCCTCTGGACCTCTGGAGATAAAAGGCAGGTAGAAGCCGAAGCTGAGAAACAACGAGCTCATGAAATCTCCAAGCGTGAACCTCTTCTCATAGCCGTGGCTCGAATCAATGGAAGAACGGCTGCACGCTCCAACACAGCCGATGTACAACAGCATTCAATCTATAAGGTACGACCTGCTGATTCCGCTGGCAGTATAACTCATCAGGGAACGCGTACGTCCTATTCACAGTCTACTCAAATGTGTACGGCAGAAGACTCACGTGATTTAATCCTTTTATTTTCGGAAGCGTGGATTGACGTAATCGATCACCAGATCTGCCTGCCACAACCGCACGCAAACTCAGATAGTCTGCACATTTTCTCTGTTTTCATGCAGAATAATGTCTAGCGCTCCAATACAAGAGCTTGAATGGAACCCATTAATGAGTTAGGATACGAATGCAAAATGGAAGCGAATGGTTGAACCAACTTGTTCTTCCCCCACAAAACCGAGTGGCCGAGGTGCTTCACGAATTGTATTGATTCTGTGTTCGGCGATTAGACCAGGTACTTGGTGCAAATGATGTCCTTCCCCACATACGGACGTTTGTCTAGAGAGGTTTGACACTGCTGAGCCAAAGTATTGAATGAAGGTCATTGTCAGGTAGCGAACCTTGATTGTGGGATATCTGCAGTGTATGTCTGATGGGCTTGTCAGGCTGTGAAGGCTCAAAACCCACGCCGGACGTGTGCGTCTTCTTTCTCTGCGCAAATCGACCTTCACATCAACTTAAGAACTTCACGACTCGACAAATCGGCGCACCCACGAGTTGCCAGAAAAGTAGATCTACTATCCTCCATGTCACCATCATGCCAATTGCCCTTTCTTCCCAGAGACAGGCATCCCTGAGTACGTTCTGTTGTCCAATCATTTAGACGAGTTATTCTGAAAAGTTTTCTCGACTCACGAGTATGGCATTAAAAGCCCACCTCGAGAACCCTTTGTTGAGGTTGCAAGACGGATCAAAGTGACCCGTGTTGGTTTACAGTCAATGATAATCGGAGGAATCTAAAGGCCATCTATTGCTGCAATAGCGCCCAACGCGAATGTTCTCGATGATTGGGAATGATATCGGACGGAGGAACGAGCTGCCAGATTGGTCGAGGTTGGATGCTGGCTCACGGCCTTCTCCCGGCGGCCTCGCGTGACACATGTCGGTTCCCCCAGCGATCCATCAACAATGTTACAACTTACATGCAATTTTTGCATCCACCGTGCACAACTCCCTACTTGTTATTGTCCTACCTCTATGTGCGGTCCGTCGGCATCGCTGGCACCGAGGCTTCTTCGTCGTGTTTCTCCCGCTACCGGCCCGCGTGTACTACAACTTACTCCAAGCTGGACTGCTGCAGTCGCTGCTATTACCTTTCATTACCACGCCTCTTCCACCTTCGTGTCTATCTTATCACTGACATTCTTAAGATGACGTGTAACGGTGCCTTTTTGCCCTTGGTTATTACGCTGCCATAGGAGCCCTCCACGTCGTTCGAGATCGTCTCCTTCCCGTCAACAAGACGCCGCATCTTCAGATCGCCTCACCTACCATCGATTCTTCTTCGGGGACATCCATGAGCAGGCCGGATTTAAGAACCGAATGGAAGGCTTAGCATGCCTTGTAAGAGAGCAATTATTCTGGCTCCACGATCTCGAGGATTCCTCATCTTCTCTCCTCGGCATGCCCGTACAAGACGATGCCTAAGCCATCATATGGTTCCAAGATGTCTGGTCTAGGGAACCTCTTAGACTACGGGGACGGATTCTCCTTCATAGTTCCGTTAATAGTGTGAACCTTCACATTGCATGAATGTGTGTCCACACAGTTAACCCGCTATCCATAGAGTTCTACCGCAAAGTTAAGAGTAGGTGATGAGATGAGTTAGGAGTCGTATGCACTCCACTGTGGACGTAGAATGGCCTAAGCATATTTCCATATGTACAAAAAAAAACGACGTCAGACAGTCCCTTCGGAAGCATTAAATTAGGTAGGCTTTTAGCATTGCCTCGATCTCGGGAAGCCTCATATTTAATTACCTTCTCCCGTAATCAGCTCCATCACTCTATGAGTTGGCTCAATAATTATATAGGAATATTTTGAAGCCGCCATGGATAAACGTTTAGCTACCGTGGTCATGATCATTACGAGAAAAGACAAAGGAATAATCTAGGTAAGCAGCCCATAATAATTTATGCAAAAACGCCCGATACTGAAGTCGTTAGCTCATGAAGATGTCTCTCTTGCCTTCCGATTACGCTCCTCCCGCCGCCTTCTCCAAGTTGGACCCATCTTCAACTCTACAAGTAATAGAGGCCATGTTAGGAAACAAAGTCCTCCACACAGTGTATATGTCCACCCCGCTCCTATCGCATTTATAATTATATTGATCACTGATACCGTTGCAGCACCCATTAGGCATCTAACAAGATTAAACTGTAAAGACATAAGTTGGTGGGTAAAAATCAAGGACCCTGTGATCACTCACTGCGGCTGTAACCGAGGACCCCTGCAATGGAAAGAAGTCTATGATTATCGTTTGTATGTTCGTCATTGATGCAGTCATGCAAAATCCCACTAAGGTGTCCTTGATAAGTAAGTGACTTCATTTTGACGTAATATTTACTCACAGAAGAATTGCAAGATAAGTGGTACAGCAATACTCGTCTTTGATTGCAACGACCAACCGTAACCAATGGTACATATTGAGAAAAGAACGATCCAAACGTGCTGCGTCTGCAAGCAGGCCTTCTCAAGCGGGAAATTGTCATACGCGCTCAACGAGGAAGCGACGTCACGAGTCTCGGCAGAGTCGCGATTCTTTTCCGAGTCATGTTTCTGGGAAGCCTCGAACTTCCTTTTCACCCTCCGGAACTGCCAATCAAGAAGTCGACCTGCAGTGACCGTCCCGAAAATGCATCCACCTCCAATACTACAAATGTCTTAGTGAATCCAGTAACGTGCCGAACGTGAGAAGAACTCTTACCTCAGGAAGCACAGACCAATTTCCGTCTCATTAAGGAATGAGTAGTCATCGGCAAAAATCGAGGAGATGGAAACGGTGATACCGTAAAAGGTAGAATATACGACAGACGTGGCGAACATGATCAGCATCAAGTCCGGCTCTTTAAATAATTTGAAAGGGTTGGGAAGAGGCCTGGGAGGTGGTCTTTCGCTTTCCATGTCAAGTGATGAGCGTCCAATTATGGGGATAATCGCCCGGTTCCATTTTGGTGCAGGAATCGAGCCATTACCAACTTGACTGCGTAGAGTCTCGGGAAAGAAGCTTCAACCAATGAAGAATTCCTGTCAAAGAGCTTTGATACGATTAGAGATAGACAACTTACAGTATGAACAGGAACATGCTACTCCCTGATGCGATTGCAAGGAACCAGAAGATGGACCTAACAGATAAATTAATCGGAATGAACGAGGTTGGATAGAAGTTCATATATTTACCTCCATCCCAGTTTTTCAGACAGAACACCGCCTATTACGGGCCCAACTGCAGGACCAACCTAAAATTGGAGACAGCGGCGTGAGGCATAGAATGAACAACATTATCATTTCCTTCATACCAGTGGTCCAACATTTATAATTCCTGTATAGCCGCCGCGTCGCTCCACTGGAATGATGTCTGCAATCACACCTGCGGCTGTGGGAATAGATAGCCATCAAGTTCTGAATGATCCCTTATAAGACAAGCGTTAAACACGTACAGAGAGCAACAGTACTTGCGGATCCTGCTGCTTGCACACAACGAAGGACGACGAGTAACCAGTACGCAGATGTCGGCATCAGAGCAAGACCGATACAGGATAATAACAGGATTAGGAGACAGAAGATGAACGATGGTCTTCGTCCTTTCCGGTCCGCTATGGAACCCCAGACGGACGGAGCTAAATAGCCGTGAGATCTCGATATTATAAAGCAGTGTGCTTAACGCCTACATATCCCTTGGAGGATCATATACACGGTCACAGTTAAATTGATATTCTCAATCGATTCATGGAAGGCCTTAGAGATTGTCTGACGAATTAAGCCAAGTTAATAAGTGCATTTTAAGCCTAACTGTCTGTACTGACTGGAATGGCTGGGAAATATACATTTGCACTAAGAGGGCTGCACAAGAAACCATTTAATGCATGAACGCCGCATTTAAAGCCATTTACTGACCTGAACAGACTTCCAAGCGCAGCCATCCCTGCCACAGTCCATGTCTCCCATGTCAAGAGCACGCTGTATGGGACCGACTGCTGTGGTGCATGAGTTGGAGACGACGGCCGGCTCCTATCTTGTCGTTCTACGTCTTGAATGAGCGCATGATCCGACTTCTCATTAGTGGTCATCGTCCAGGACACTGGGGTCGTTCGCAGGAGCGGAACCTCATGGTGGAGGCGCTGTTATCGTATATATATAATCCGAAGAGAATTATTTCCAAAGTCACGGTTTCGTATTTGATCTCAAGCCGAGAGACCGTGACTTTCTATCGTGGGATGGCGAGTTTATTTTGGAAGTTTCGTCGGAACCTCGGAGACAACGGACCTTTCTTCACGTGTCCCTTTACCGCGCCGATCATGCTAAATGCAGCACACAAGGACTCACAATCCACTTCCTCTAATTCTAAAGGTCGATCTGGGCTCGCGGACTTTCAGGAATAAGAATAAGTAGAGTCTGGACAAGTCCTGAAATTTTGCTTTGAATGTATTATTCAAGAAGCGCTCCCAGGTCAAATCCGTAAACGGTGCCGTTACCATTTGGATGCGTTGTAACCTGTTACACGCTAGCAGCACGTCAATGTCGCCTTGTTTCGGGAGACCCGAACTCGTAAGAGCTGTCCTTGCTCGTTGATGTGCCGACGCGGTAATCAGGTGAGTAAATCGACGCCGCCGTATGTATGGCGCTTGTGAAATGCTGATCGGCTAAAATGTCAACCTGCGCCGGAACGCAGGCTTGCTTCTGCATTGTCCAGCCAACTTTAAATTACCGCAGGATCATTCAACACGTCACTTGAAGGGCGTGCCACTGTGAAAGACAATCGCACAGTTTGGCCCGTCTAAGTCCGCCGCCGGCAAGGAAAGCTTCCGCGTCGCGCTAGCATCTCAGGCAAACAAGCTACAACACTGCAATAATCATTGGTACATCATAGGGATCAGACTGCCTATTTGTTCAATTTTCGCCACAACGCTTGTGCCAGTGGTTTGCTGCGCAGTCCCCATCGTATCCTGACTATTCCTGTTTCATCTAACAGCTTCGTTCAGCAAAGCGCTCAGCCTCGTGTTTGCATCACGCACTGACGAACATGCACGGCTTTCCCCTTCCAGAGCGGCGTTCCACTCCCACGGGACGGAGAGGTGTTCTCTTGAAGATTAGATCGAACGAACAGGAAAGGGTCTTTCCTTTTCCTTTGTTAATTACCCGATGTCCACTTATCTATTCCTTTTCTTCGATAATTTTTCGTGCCCCCTTCTCCTGAACAGACACGATGTCCATCCCGCACCGAGCTATCGGAAGAACCCGACATCCCTGCTGTTATGGTATATAGTAATTCAGTTTCCTTCATTGGCGTCCGAACGGAATGTGCCTGTCGCCTTTTCGATTGCTGACTTCGCTCTCGGTCCGCGTCAGCTTGACTATATCTTTGTGTCGGCTGCAGTTTAGCGAGCAGCCAGTCCCTCCCCTGACCTGCTTTCCTCTTCCGCGATCCACTTGAATAAGAATAATCCACGTCGCGGAAGCAAATTCACGGCGCTGTAGAGCATCGCGGGATAAGACCCTTTCCCCCTAATAAATGGAGCGCGATGATCATCAACCATGCAACGAGGTGACCATTCATTGGGGAAAGGCCTTTTGCTTTGCGACTTACAACGTTTTTCAGAACGCGTGTGTCATTCCAAGGGGTCCAAACGTGCAGATAGTAAGAACACTCCTCCCATTTTACCTCTAAATCATAATGTTGCTGTGCAGGTCTTCATCGGCCCGACACCTGGAATCGAAATTGAGGACGTCGTCAACGGACTTCTAAGGCCACTCAGACAAGGCGAATGGCGCTTCGTCTTCATACCTAACAATATGCTTGTCGATGTCGTAAGGGTCAGTCTCGCCATTACTTCAGCTAACCTTTTATTCGTGCTACTGACTCAGGTGCGTAGGAACTTCGAACCTTCCTGGCACTTGAGTCGCTGCGAGACAGCATTGTCCGCCTAGCTTTCGATGATTGAAACATTCTGGTTTTTGTTCCTCCAATATATGTTGCTCACTCCATCTTTGTCTGTAATTTTCACGGACTACGTATTCTTGTTACTTTGCTAATTTTCTCCCTACCGCCTGCTACTAGCACGGACACTTCATATTATTGAATGCATGTCTGTGGTTTGTTCTCTATAATAGTAGTTCATATACAAGAACACCGATGTATATTAAACAATGTATGCCGATTACGCATGGCTAATAGCTCAGATAGTAGATGTGCTTCGCTTTCTCGATGCTATCACAAAGTATGAGCAAGTAAATAGAGGACTCGTCAAAACAAAAAGCCGTTGGGTACAGTTACGAGCACCCGAAAAGATGATGGTAAAGACTCCGAGCTTTGAGCTCCACCTGCGAGAGGGCGGACTGCACGTATATCAGACCTGCTTCATGCACCTTGCAAGTAGCAGAGCGTAAGATCCGTACCTTCGTCACGGAGTACACTCTCCTTAAGACACCCTCCTGCGCGGGCTTCTCCGACCTATCCCTGTCCTCCTCTACGACATTGAAATCCAGAGATTCGACTGAGTAATTAAGCGGGTCGAAGGGGTGAAAGAATAGGACTTCGGTGTTTTCATCGATCTGGTATGACAGCCGGCCGTTAGACATTTATGTGGGGGAATGGTGCTAGAAACTCACCGTTTGTAAGCGTTTACGGTCGAAGAATTGGTCTTCCGTACGTGTATCGAACGTCGTCTACACTGTCATCAGCACGCGCTTCAGCTGTCCGTGAAAGTCCATCCGCACCATTGCCCAATCAGTACCTACAACATATCCATGTCCTGACATTCTCAAATGGAAATCCTTCCAGGGAAAATGATCCATCGGACGGTTTGCATATCGCTTCTGGCATTGCTGGCATGTAACTACGAGCTGAGAGGGCTGAGGACGAGCGGTTGGGGTAGAGGTAGTACGTTGTATCATTTTTACGTGTTGAAATAGAGTATAGAAGACAGGGGCAGCGAGAATGAAGGGGAAAAAATGTGAGATGAGCTAAGGAAAGAGAGAACGAGTGAAAATTGCTTCAAGCAAGCACGTAGAAAGGTAGAGAAAGGCGGGGACGGAGAGGTTGAGGCAGTAGAAGCATTCTAGGTTGTCCAGAATGAATTTACCATTAACAAAATACACTAAACAATTTCAACATGTGTGTCCACAGGCTCGAAGTATGTAAAAAAGAAGGTCTTTACAGGGAGGAGTGACAAAATGCGGTGAGAGAGAAGCGATTGATAGAAGGACCTCTCAAATGGTAGGCTGGACTAAAACTGTGGTGGAAAACCTGCAGCAAGCAGGAGAAAACCGATCCACAGAAACCATGCCTATAGTGAATTGAGGCCAAGCGATGAGGGCGTTGTCCGTTTTCAGCACCGCCTCGATCGCGAGAAACAAAACAGGACTGCGAATCCGGCGGAGGCAAATCATCTCTTGTATAATCTGCTTCCGTTGGATTCTTTAGCATCCCGCAAGTCCCTCGAGGCGATTTTAAACCGATTAGAAAATCGGATTAAATACCGAAGATACGCCAGGTGGACTCTACAGTCAAGGTAAACATCAACAGGGAGTAAAGACGGACGTACTGGTCACATGCGTTGTTCTTCAGTTGCTCTCCATCACCTCAGAAACTCTGCACCCTCCCCGCCACATCTCTTCCCTCTCTTCCCTTCTTCCCTTCTCTTTCCGCTCCATAACACCTGATATGCCTTCCATACAGGATGTGCGGCAAGAACGATTATGGCCATCGCAAAAGCCCTGTCGATCGGTGAAGCGCAATGAACGAAGCAAGGTGTCTTGCAGTTCTGTTGCAATTGTGTTGCAATTTAAATTCTAAGCCTGCTTGACTTGGGAACCCTCTTGCACGGAAAGTTTCTGCATCCTAGGAAGTCTGGCTATAGTTTCTCGCTAAGTATACGTCGTTCTCAAGGTGCATGCGTAGTTCGTGCTCTACAGTATCCAACAACTTTGGCTTTCTTCTTCATGGAGCTCCTCGTGCATTCCTCACTGCTGCATCCTTGCTTGCATCCTATGGTCTTTCAATTGGTTCTCAGAGCTCGTCTTGTGCCGTCCCACGCTTTCAGAAACCCGTTCAAGAGTACAGAGCATAACCGTGTCCATAGCATAGGCATTGGCAGAAAATGTACTAATATGGAAAGGGTGAGTCAGCAGGAGTTTTGATGGGTTCGGACAATAGACAAAACGTACACTCCGCGCTGAATATCATTCCCAGATACCATGATGTTACTCAACCTCAGCCGTTCCGTGTATCCTTTGCACCTTTGCACCTTTGCAATGCAATGCAAAAGCAAACCCCAAGGTGGACTGCATCAAAGTCGACTCATCCTTAGCAAATAGGGTGATAACCTGAACAGAGAATCTTCAAAAACCGTCAAGTCGTCAAGCTACTGGAGACTGAAAGTCCACACCATGACAAGATCAATATGAAGGCTTATACCGGTATCAGTACCTCAAGACCAAGAAGAGAGATAGAATGACTCCACCTAAGGAAATCCTAGGTCCTACGATGGTTCCTATGTCAAGATCTGTCTTCAAATTCTGACAGCCTGTCCAAGTGACATCTCCCCTAAGGTGAACAAGTAGTACCAGAACACAACGAAAGGCTTCTTAAAAAGAAACGGCTCGAGTAATGAATTTCGTGCTTGCCAATAAACGAACTGGAGACCCTGCGTTGCGTGGCTCGGCTTATCCATCCCATCTCCACCGAATCAAAATCAAACCGCAAGACAATCCGACAACTTGCTTGAATACATGGTCGACTTTCAAGCTTGCTCGTGAATGATCGGACAGCAATTTTTGTGAGCAAGGCGCACCTCAACGCATCAACGCCTACACCTCCTCTTGAACAAAACAAGACCAACTTCTTTTATCAATCCTACCCTTCCCCCCTCGACCCGGTCCCCCATTTCCCCCCTTCTCGATCCGCATTTATCTCGAAGTCATTAAAGGACGTGGTACAGACGTAAAAAGGACGGCGATTCGGGTGCAATCTGGTCCAAGAGTCCAAGACAGGACGCGACTCGCTCGGTCAGCACTCTTCTTGAGCCTTCGGAATCTCCCAGCCACTCGCTTAGTTCCCGCTTTCAGCCCACCTTCAGGAAAGTCGACCCGCCATATCTTCTCGTCCTCACCGAGAAGTTTCGGCTGTTGTAGGCTCCTCTCAATTTAACTCGATTTATGCCAGTTTTTTTTTGAGCGTATCTCGAGTGATTCGGAAGACGGACTTGAACCGCACTCAAAGAGGACAGCAAACGCTTACAAGTCACGCGAATGCACGTCGCTGGTGCTGGATAGTCCATATTTCTTATCGTGCAAAATGTGACGGAAGATAAGCACTATATTCAAAACAAGAAGATGACGGCAGGGAGGAACGACTGGGTGAGGATGGCTCAAGGATGGACGAGTGAGGCCCTCGTGTACGCTCGCTTTCCGTAATTATTTCCGATGCAGTCGTGTTGCTGGAGGCTTTTCAGCTTCCCCCCACACCAGGTACAATGTGTGTGATAAGAACTTAACCGGACGTCAAAGGCCCAGCAAGTTACCTAGGATTCGGTGTGGGACCGAATTCTCAGAATTCTCTCGTTTACCAAATCTCTTATTTGTCTCACCTAGACATTTCTATCTAATTCAATTGAGTTGAATACGTGAGCGGAGATTTGTCTCTCAACATCTCATAAATGGGGTAGGTTTTCCGAATCCTCAACAGAATACGGAAACTTCGGCAACCTTTGTTCTGGTGGATGACCAATATGCTTGTCGGGAGAATAGTAACCGATTTCTTACCAGTTGTTCAGTCTTATCTTAGGCAGATAGATCCATAGGCAGTCTGTCGAAATAACATTCGGGAATTTCCTCAGCTGTTATAGCTCTTGTCTCCAGAAGGCATGTTGGTACCGATTGAGAAATTGTCCCTGGAAATTGGCGAAACACAGGACCGTAGATGCTCTGGAGGTAGAGATAATTCTTTTGCTATAGCTTGTCCGTGAAGTTCAACTTTGGCACTTCAATTCAATCCTAGTGCAATAATCCAAGTGGAAAAATGATCAAGTGTGTAGACTATTTCTGTACTAAAATGCATATGTTAGTATTATGAGCAACATGGATGGACAGGGCACAAAATATTTGCGAATTCTGCATATGACAAGTAGTCATGTGCGCACTGAATCAGGCTGAAATACGAGGCTCGGCTTCCGCCGATTGATCGCGGAATGACGTCAGGCAAATTCAAAATAGTCTGAATCTGGTATTGACTGCTGGTGGCATTGAATATTCATTCAAGGGTCCTGTCCGCTGTGCAAGTTACCACCATGCCCCAAAAGATCGTTATATGTGGTGCAGGCTTCCTAGGTAGATATCAATAATACCGTTGGTGCTTTGCCCTCTTAGGTATTACCACTGACACCGATTTTTGTAGGTTCGTACATTGCTAAAGCAATTGCCGCAAGCTCAACGACCAAACTGCCACGCCATATTCAACTGACTTCGCGCAAGCCCGACAGTCTATACAACAAATTACAGCCTGGAATTGGGGATGGCAAGATGCTTTCCGCCGTGCCAGCAGACATCACAAAACCAGACACATTAAAATCGGCATTCGAAGGGGCGAACGTAGTTGTATCTCTTGTCGGGGTTCTGCATGGCACACCCAAGATGTTTGAAGAAATTCAATGGAAAGGTGCCGGCAACGTTGCACAGGCGGCAAAATTCCACGGAGCGAAAATCATACATTTCAGTGCCATTGGGGCGGATGAATCGAGTCATATTCCATATGCACGGACGAAAGCGCTTGGCGAGAATGCTGTAAGGGAAATTTGCTCGGATGCAACAATCATACGGCCAAGCCTCGTCTTCGGTCCAGGTGACGGCTTCTTTGCTGTGAGTGTTCAGGAACTCTATTATACATTTTTGTTGCTGAATAGTATCGGCGCTTGTCTCCTAGCGCTTCGCGACCCTTTCCACGTTTTTGCCTTTCATGCCAGTCTTTGGTGGGGGAACAACGAAATTCCAGCCTGTTTATGCAGGAGACATTGCTCGTGCTGTAGAAATTGCCTCTCGGAGTGAGGACCAAGCTATGAAAGCAACCAGTGGTAAGGTCTTCGAGGCAGGCGGACCAGATAGTACGTGCGATCGCTTAGATTATTCAGCTTTCATATACTAATAGATGAATTTTTAGTATTCACGTACAAGGAAATGATGAGACTCGTATTGAAGTATACTGGACGTCGTCGACCGATTCTATCGCTTCCATATGCAGTTGGAAAGATGCAAGGACTCGTCCTCGAACAGCTCCCACCGAATGTCCTAACGCTGACACGAGATCAGGTGAGTCTTCGAGACAAGTGTCGAATGTCAGACATGAACCTCATCCATTCAGGTTGAGCAACTAAAAATCGATAACATTGTTAATACGTCGCCCCCTTCAGACCATGCGTCATTTGCAGAGCTTCTGGAGAAATTCGGGGGAGGCCCAAGGAAGACAGTTGATGAAGTCCTTCCGCAATACCTGTAACTGTAACTCATGAACATGCAGCCCATCCGTCTCAATCTGGGAGCCCTGCAACACGCCGTAGTCATATGCAACACCTTTTCTGTGAAATTAGTTGTATTTATTCTTTGTTAGCTACTTTTTTGGGGGTTAATGCTATTCTAAGCCGCGAGTATACTGGGATTCATTCGCAATTAGTTATCCATCTTGAAATAAGGAAAAGAAATAATTGCAGCTACTTGTGAGCTTTGAAAAGGCTCGTTGGCTAGTTTAGACGAATTGTGCGATCTTGAGAAGGATATTGGCTGAACAAAACGACTGCCGGCACACAGCTGCTATTTGTTCGAGAGCGGCGACAATTGCGAATATGTATAATTCCGAAATTTTCTTGATATATTTTGGCTGCGATGTCGTAGACTATAGGATGTCATGAAGGGATTGCTGCGTGACGAGGGGCGAATGTGTCTATCCTCTTGCCGAGTTTGCACTAGCTTTCCACGAAACTAAATGCACGCTCCCGAAAATTCCGAAAAAAGCCAATCGGTTCATACGGCACCTTCATTTGCCAACATCGACCAACATTGACAGCTTGAATGGAGGTAGGAGGAGAAGTAGATGGCTCGCTGGAATGGTGACGAGTTGGGGAGACCTTGTCCTAAGCGAGTGGCTGGCAGATTCCGAGGGCTGACCCGCGTCCTGTCTTGACACGACTGCCCTCATCTGCAATATACCTGGTTCTTGCCAACCCTCCTCGTTACCGTGGAACCCAAGAATCGGACTGAAGGGAAGGAGAAAGCTGTCCGCAAGATGAATGAAAAGAGGGGAACAGACTCTAGGGAAACAGGACGTGGCTCTTGGAGGAGTGGGAGCAACAAGATTAGTTCTGCCCACCAACAAAAGATCTGGCCACATATTCTGGGTGGGAAGCATCCTTGATGTTGGCCTAACGTTTCACAATGGTAATGTGTGCTGCTTGACTCGTGATTATGGTTTGCTCGAGAGGGGACAAGCCACACCTTCACGGAGGCCCGGGTCTTGCGAAATGTCATACGCGATAATCATTGCTCAAATCTCTTGGACTGTCGGCAAATAGAGAAGACGTGAATTTTGGACCATGTTCTTGCTCCTTGCTGGAGGGGATATCAGAGGTTTAGCATGTATCGTAGTATCGGAGGCATCTTGAGGTCATTGGGCTCGTCAGGTAAAGAGTCGATTCCCTCTTGTTCCTACTTGTTCTGAAACGCTGCTAAAGTTGACAGTTTTCGATTTGGTTTTTGCGCAGCCCCTCCTCAGTATTTCATTGCTTCATTTCGACTTGATCTTGCGTTGTTTGATAGCTTGAGGATTCTTGCGAGGATCTTGACCGCTTCTCTGTTCAAGTTGGCTCCTTGTCTCTTGGAAAGTTGATCTTGATGCAATTCAACTTGATTTGGGCATATGTACTTCACTCTTGGAGGTGAAATAGGTGCATTGGAGGGTCTGGTTGAGTGACATCTCGCTATGAAAGGAGGATGTTCAAACTTCAGAGGATGTAAGTTTCTTTGCGCGACTCATCAAAACCTTGGCTGACTCACCTTCCATATTAGGTCATCACGGTCGATGTCTTGAATTGACGAAGTTTTCCTTCTGGGTTCTCGATTGGATACCGAGGAGCTTCTGAGAGTATTAGGGTAGTTGAGGCAAGCCGGCGAGAGAGGTCGTGATACAAGCAGATGCACACCAGCGAGAATATACAGCTTTTAGCGAAGGATACCGTGTATACGAACGTGGCGAGAGACGAAATCCCATAAACGAGATCGCCTTTACGTTCAACATGCTCAGCTCCAGACAGAAAGGACTGTTGAGGATGAATAGCACCCCAGAGTGAAGCAAACGTTGGGGTAAAGCGGAAGACTTCGAAATACGACACGCCGCCAGACCTACCTACCTCGTTCAACATGCTTCCCGAGAGATAGGTTTGCAAATTGATCATCGCCATCCCTTATCGTGCGCATTCATGGAAGCCGTACCCAGACCCCTGGTTTTGAAGTGAAGCGAGACCTAGATGGAAGAGGCGAGGCGTGGAAGTTGGATATCAGAAGTGATCAAGAAGAACAACGACACTGGTATGTCCGCGGTTACTCTCGCCTTAGTTCATCTCTGTTTCGGATAGCATAGGCTCAACTGAAGATACTCCATGCTAAATCCAATTTTCAGAATTGTCGAAGTTCCTCGCGAATAAGCTGCGGGACGTTTGAGGACTTAACGGAAGCAGATTTAATGAGCAGTGATTTGCCTCCGTATTCGTAGGCGCGTGCTGCGAGGTTTGGCGATCGAGTTGGTGCTGAAAACGGACGACGCCCTCGCTTGTCTGTAATTCATTCGTTGCTCCCCTAAAAGCTATGATGTCTTTACCACCCGCACCTCTCCGCCTTCGTTTCTCTTCCCCTCCTTCAGTCTGCTTGAAGTGATTCTGTCTTTCCTTTGACTCATTTCTCTTGCGTTCGTCATTTTTCACCCTCCCTCGTGTTTCCTGCCTTCGATACCCTTAGGCGATGCGTGAAGAATGACACTTTCTGTTCCCCCTACCCCACCTGTTCGTCCTCGACCTGCACATCTCGCAACTGCGTCCCGTGAGGCCCGAAGATGCAATGACAGCCATCCGGTCGACAAATTTCCTTGGGAGGATTTGAGAATGTCGCGTCATGGTTTTCTCGTCGGGGCTGATTGGGCGATGGTACGGTTCGGTCGCTCGGCTCTGTACCGTTCGAAATGACAAGCGAGCATGTTTTAGACAACGTTTGATACTCGCAGAAATGATCAATTCTTTGATCCAAAACGTTTACAAACTGTATGCTGAGTTTAGCGTACTGTACGCTTTGAATTTGACCTAACTCTGATCCTGCTAGATAAACGAAGGGACAGAAGTGCGATTCTTCCACCCCTGCGAACCACTTGGATACTCAAGAGACGGCGTGGACCTCACTGTCTTAGAAGAGATCCGCCAGTTGGATATGAATAGACGCGAAGGCGTCGTGAAGAGGCTCTTCGTAGCAACAAAAGTGCGTGGCTAGTGCTCCTTCCATGTTCTACATATCATTTACTGCCCACGATGTAGTCTGCCGTTAATCGGTTTGTTCGTGGTGTTTGCGATTTTTGTGGAAAATTATTTGGTTGCTTTTAGTCGAAAAATCACCATTCGGTAATTGGGCTTTGGGTTCATTTTCTGGTAGCATCTATGTGCAATTTCTTTCGTTTCTCTTATTCAAACCATCTAGGAATGTTCACTTGTATCATAGTATTGCTGTTGTTTCGACTACTTTATCGCACGGGTTAGCCTTCCGCCTACCACCTGTTGCTGGCGCGGACACTTTATATGAACGAATGCATGCTTGTTGCTTGCTTATTATTAATTCAGATACAAGAACGAAGTTCTATAATATGTACAATCTACACCAATTACGCATAGCTAATAGCTCAAGTAGTAGATATATTTTGCTTCCTCTGTGCTATTACGGGGAATGAGTCAAGGAATAGTGGAGTACAGTTACGAACGCCCGAAAAGATGATAGTAGAGGCTCCGAGCTCTAAGCTCAATCTACGAGAGGGCGGACTAAGTGTATATCAGAATTAGTTAATCCAAAATCCATCTCCAACAAGGAGATTTTAACAACACAATCGCACCTTTGTCCCAACGTATACTCTCCTGCAAACGCTTTCCTGTACAGGCTTGAGTGACTGATCCCTAGTGCCCTCCGCTACATTAAGATCCAGAGAACCACTTGAGTACTTAAGTGGGTCGAACAGGTGAAAGAATAGGACTTCAGTGTCTTCATCGATCTGGTTTGACGGCTAGTCATTAGCCTGAGGATTTCAGAGTGGACTACGTGATACTAAAAACCCACCGTCGGTAAGCGTTTACGGTCAAAGAACTGGTCGTCCGTACGCGTATCGAACATTGTCTATCACCTTAATCAACGATTGCTTAACTATTGGAGAGAAAGACCATTCGCACCATTGCCCAATCAGTGCCCACAACATATCCATGTCCTGACATTTTCAAATGGAAATCCTTCCAAGGAAAATGATCTACCGGGCGATTCGCATACCGCCTCTGGCATTTCTGAATTGTGATCGCAAGCTGGGGCGGCTGAGGACGGGAAGGTGGGGCACAAGTAACACGTGTCATTTTTTAGGTGTTGATAGAGTATGGAAGACAGGAGCGGCAGAAAAACAAAGGGAAAGAACGTGGATTAAGTTTAAAAAAGAGGGCGCAAGGAAGAAAGTTGCTTCAAGCAAGCCGGGTGAGAGGGGGGTGACGGAGAGGTTTGGGGTGGTAGAAGCATTCTAGGTCGACAGAAAATGTATTTGCCATTATCAAAATAAACTAAACAATTTCAACATGCGTATCTGCAGGCTCGAGGTATGTAAAAAAAAGGTCTTTCAGGGAGGAGTGACAATATGCAGTGAGAGAGAAGCAATTAATAGAAGGACCTCTCAAATGGTAGGCTGGACTAAAACTGTGGTGGAAAACCTGCAGCAAGCAGGAGAAAACCAATCCACAGAAACCATACCTATAGTGAAGCTATCTACTGCAAAACAGAGATGAAATAGACTGAGAGACAGAGCAGAGGCCTTATCCATGATCTACAGGATAGTAAGCATACATACAATATAGAATGTCTTTATAATTAGAAGAAAAGAACTTAGCGTCTAGCCAACGATCTAGCCTTTGTGGATGGTCCTTGGTCCGATTGCGAAAACGTCGTATGCGGTCGTCAAAGAGGATTCCTGGGCATCTAGTTATCCGGTGAAGAGGCGTGTCCTCGCTGTGGCAGAGCGGACATTCCTTAGAGTGGGTTTCGTTCCATCGATATGTAAAGGAACGTGTGTTGCACGTTCCGGTTTGTAAGCGAAGGTGTAGAACCTGTGCCTGTCGGGGGAGTGCAGACCGGAGAGGAAATTGCGGCTTGCGGGTTGCTCCATGGGACCGTTCTGCCCATAGCTGATCTGAATTTGTTAGGGCATGACTGCGAACTCCACGTAAGGATGATCGATTGCTGTACACAGTGTTAGTTGCCTTGAATCTGGGCATGATTGCCCGACGTGTCCATATCAGGGTGATTTGTTGCTCGTTCGCAAGAGACGACACATCTCGCGTCAGTTCGGTAGACTCATTTAATGTTAAGAGATGTTCGAGGGCTAACTTCCAGTTCGTGGCAATCGTGGAATGGAGCGGGAGGTCCTTCATGACCCTACTCATTGTATAGAGGACAGCCTGTGTGTGGCAGATGTTCTCCGGGTGTTGTACTGTGAAACACTGTGTGTGAGTTTTGACTGTGGTCGTCTGCGATTCTGGGTGATATGTGATCTGCACAGTGTCTGGCAAGTGGAGTACTCAGGCCATTTCGACAGGTTTTAGATTATCTTTGATGAGCAAGGGAGATATGGGGACATGCACCTTTGCAGCAATTATCATCTGATTTGTAGAATCGAGATGATGAATTGCCTGATTTGGGATTTTGCTTGGTAGTACCCGGCGTGCGGTTTGACCCTGTATGGCAGGACATTTGTGCCGCCGTAGGTCCCTGAACGAGAAGTGGCAATGTGTACATTTGCGTAGGGGGGCTTCCGTCCTTACGCAATTATGTCTTTTGAAATTTGTGGGGGTAAGGAATCGTTTGCAGTTGGAGCATTGCTTTGACACAATAATTGGTCTTCGATAGCTCAGGACGTTCGTCATCGGGACTTCTGAATGAGACGCATAGAGAATAGGGGCTAGCATATGTGGGTACGCTCGTCGTCTTGCGTGGAAGCAGCAAGATAGTCGCCTAATGAACAGGGGAAGGGGGAGTACCGAGAGGGTTTTCTCCATGTCCGCAGCGAGAGTTGGTTTCGGGAAGGTGCCGATGATCCTCAGAAACATGTTTTGGATCTTGACGAGTGGGCTGAGTTGGTGTTCGAGAGGATTCAGCCAGGCCTCGGCTGTATACGTCATGGTGCTTCGAACGATGTTGAAGTACGCAAGGCGTGCCTGGTAGGGGTGCATGCCGCGTGTTCATTGTATGATATGGCTCGTCATCGTGGTTAGTTTCGAGGCTTTTTGTGCGACCTTGGCAATCTGGTCAGAGGGCGAAAGGTCGGATCGTAAACTGTAGCCAAGCCATGTCGCTTTGGTTTTGACGTGGATGATCTGGTCCTGAACACGGAGAGTCCATGCTGTTCTAGAATGGAACTGGATTGCATTGATCTGTGGGTCGAGTTGGAGTCCAATGTCGTGAAGACGGTTTCTGAGGAAACGGAGGAAAACGTTAACTTGTGACGTTAGTGATTTCCTGTTTGCACCGAAAAAGACGAACGCCCAGTCGTCAAGGTAGGTCCGGATGAAGATGCCAGGGAATTGAGTTTTGATTGTGTTGATGATGTGGTATGTGGCGATCGTTGCCAGGACGGGGGAAATGGGGGAGCCTTGGGGTATTCCAACATTCGGGCAGTGTCTCAGGGGTCCTGATTGGCGGTTGAAATGGAGTAGGTACTCTCTGTCGACTACAAGGGCTCGGACCATGTTTATTAATCGAGGAGAAGCGTCGAGAGAGTGTAGGTTTTCTCGTAGTTAATCTAGAGGAATATTGTCAAAGAATCCCTGGATATCAACGAAAAGTGCGAGAGGGCAGGCATGAGACTGTTCTCGTGTCGTTCTGATGTTCTTCCTGACAAAGGCGTGTAGGTCGTATATTGCGTCCGCTGTAGAAAGATGCTTCCTTCTGCTGTATATCTCCTTCGGGAACGCTGGGTGGGTCTCCATTATTGTTGTACACTTTTCAGCATATATCTTAGCAATTGCCTTTGTGAAGGTTTCTTCAACTGAAATAGGCTGATATGCTCGAGGCGAGTCAGGTGCTCGGTCCTTCATTTTCGATATGATTGACACCTGTGTACGTCTGAGTGGAGTGGGAATATATTCCAGATCTTGTATCCATTGTAGTACATTGGCAAACATATGATCAAACGTATGGCACAGTGCTTCTGTGGGTGTACGAGTGAGTCCGGATATGCTAGGCAAAACAGACTTATTGATTTGGTGTAGAGACTCCATGAATTCTGGGAATGTGAAGTAGTCGTCAAGGCCTTCTACTTTGGGATTGTATTGTAGAGGGGCAAAGACTGTTGAGGCCCTGTCTGAAAAGTAGGCCTGTGTGAACTCCTCGTCCATTCCGAGAAAGGTATCTTTGTCGTTGATTTGTGCTATGGGACACGGATCCTTACGTTTGTACTGCCGGGCGGCCATCCAGAGAGTTCTACAGTTAGACTGATCAGCCTTCGTCAAGTAGTAGTCCTGTTTGTGGTTCAGGATGGCTCGTGTTATTGTGGCTGATGACTCGTCGGATAAACCTATGAGCTTTTCTGTAAGGTTGTCGTCCCACCATTCAAACCGGGTACATGGTCTTGAACTGTCTAAGAAGAACGTGTTGGCTGCCAGCGTGAAGATGTTCTTGAAAAACCTGTCTAAGTCCAGTTTCGTGTTCAGTGGGTGATCAAGCATAAAAGGAGGGAGAATTTGAGCAAACTTCTCGATCCACGCCCCTGTATGTCGTTCCTTTATTACTGGGGGAAGACACATCCGTGGTGGGTTATGTGTGCTGATTGCAATTACTGAGTGGTTGTAATGTCTGGACGTGAAGATATTGCAAGACACTACTGAGTGATTTGTGAATACTACGTTGGGGGAAGACATTGAATCTCTGAGTTTGTATGTGAATGGTAGGGAGGATGATAGGATAAGGAGACTGTGCTCGACCAGCCATTCAAACCATGGTGCTGCATACATAGCAAGTCTGTCTGCATGGGGAGTGCTGTCAAAGATTGGATGTTGTCTATTGATATTGCCTATCATTAAAAAGTTGTCTGGCAGATCAAGGTGATGTATGAACGTTTCATCCTCGGTTATGGGTCGTTTCACATATCTGCATAAGTACACATTGAGGATTGTCTGGGTGTTGTAGCAGATTGTGAAGATATTGTTACTGTGAGAGAATCGACTGACAATATCAACAACAACATAGTTGCGAATGAGGAACACAACATCCGGTTTCTTGCATTGCAGTAGTAGGTGGTAGTAGTTTAGTATTGCTGGAACAATAGGGTATGATTTTAGCCTGGCTCTGGTCTTGACAAACGTTTTCGCAATCAGAGGGTCTTGTAAGGCTATGATTACTGGCTGGACACTGTGAAGTTCAAGAATATGAATGAGCATATATAATGTGGAGGAACTGCAATTGCAATTGAAAGAAATAATAGGGGAGAAAGGGGACGTAGGAGGCAGGTTAATATTATAGAAAAAACTGTTCATTTAATGGTTGGTCTTGGTACGTTTATTGGCGGGGCCAGTCTTGTATTCAACACCCTCAAGCATCTCTTCTTGTTGGGTGACGTATGATAGTTCTGACTCTCTGTTACTGTTCTGGTTGTCCATCACTTTGTCCTGGTCCTGTATGAAACCGTGGGCAGGTTCTAGCATTGCTACTACAAAACGTGAGGCCTGTACCTGTTGTGCCATGTAGTGTTCTGCTGCTTCTTGCGAAATTGTCACCTGTGGAATGTCAGCAATCTGTTGTATTGTGAGTATGCTTTTGCAATTGTGGAGGATGGATGCTCTAGCCCATTGCAGTTGGCTCTTGCATTCTTGGTCAACAGCAGAGTGTTTGCCGAAGCAATTTGGGCATCTGTAGTGGTGTTTGCAGATGGGCTCGTGCTTGCATTTGGTGCACTTGGTGTGTTTGTGTGCAGAGGCAGTGTGGGTGCTGTTGCAGTACAGGCAACATAGTTGTCTGTAGCATGTATTGATGTTGTGGCCAAAGCTCTAGCATCTTGTGCATTGTACAGTGCCTGACTGGGATCGCCCTTCTTCCAGACAGCGTTTCTTGCTGAACATCCATACATAGGCATTGATGCAGGTGTCTATGAATTGCTTTATTCCGTCAGTTCGAGACATGAGTAACAGTACTTGTACTCTGCAGAATTCCCATTCTGCAAGTTTATCTGCTGGGGTGGCAAAACGAGTTGGGTAAGCCAGGACGGTTGGTTCGAATTGGTAGTTCTGTTGAACTTCGTCCCATAGCTGTGCAGGTGTGTATATCTGCTGTGTCTCGTAGTCGCGGACACGGACGTTCGGAATAAAGAGGTTGAATACCTTGGTGCAGAGAGGTTGGATTGTGAATGTGGTTTCGTATACATCGGATACGGAACGGGCGATTTCCTGTGTGTTTGCAGCAGTCGTTGCCGGGAAATCCAGGCTGAGTGTTTTGCCGTCAAGTGAAAAATGGCCTCCAGAGAGGTTGGCTTTACAATGCGTCCACAAGAACTGGCGTAGATCTTTGACGATCTTCGGGGGAACCGGAATGGGGTTTACCGCGGTCTCTGTGCGAAGGAGGATCTTCCTGTCACGGAAGGTACGTTGTGGTGCTGGGGGGGCCTTTTTTGTCGTCTTTGCTGGAGGGGCCTTGTGGGGCCGAGTTGGAAGTACGACAGTCTTCTTGGAAGGGGCTTCGGCAGCAGCGGCCTGGGCAAAGGTCCTTTGGTTGCCTCGTGGTGTCTCCGTGGTGACAGCTGTTTGCTGTTGTTGTAATGTGGGCGGACGAGGCGCCGACTCTCCCTTCTGGAGGGCTTCAATGGATTTGGCCAGCTTGTTTACGGCAGTGATGATGTCAGCTAGAGATCCGTCAGCTGGGATTCCGTGTGTTTGCCCAACTGGGGGGCTAATTGTCGGCAGGCCTGACGCAGTGCTGGTCATCATGGCAAGTTGTATCTGGGAGGACGTTGCAGCTGCGTGTTCAGGGCGGTTAGTGTAGAAACCGTTGTCCCATGCTTTGCGAAGGGCATCAGCAACCGTCTTCTTTGGGTCATGTTGCGAGATGTTGGCTAGAAGTTCGGCAAGGTTAGCGACTTTGCCCGTTAGGGCGCCGAAATTAAAGAAGATTCGGCACATTTCCTCCGTTGAGGTTTCGTCCGAAATAGGTGGCGTGAAGTGATCCTCGGCATCGAGGATGGCATCAGCCAGGCCGTTCGCATATTCGCGAACTGCAAGAAGGCCGCTTATAGCGGCCTTGCGGTGGGGGTGTGGGATAGGTGCGACAGCAGCCTGTACTGCCTCATGCCTCTCCTGTTGGCCCGTTACTGTGCGTGGGTCGTCAGTGAGGATGCTGACGTGGGGCATGGTTTCGTCCATTTCCTCAGACCAGCTGAGGCGGCGAGTGGGTGTCGGAGAAGGCGCTTCGGGCGCCGGGCTGGATGGTTGAACGACAACTGGTTCAGGGTTAGGGACTTGTGTCTGTGCAGGGGTATCGCCAGTAGCTAGGAGTGCTTTGGCGACGATTTCTCCACACTTTACAGGGGAGAGGAGGGCGTCTGCGTGTTTGACCTTGAAGTGGTCTACGCAGAGGTTTAGGGAGACCGCCTTAAAACACATAGGGCAGTCGAAGGTAGCGTGTACACCGAGTAGGTGCATCTGGCGAATGTGCGATATTGGGCCTGAGACGAACTCGTCGCACAGGCGGCACTTGGAGTTTCTCGACGCTGTCGAGAGTAATGAGTCGGTTTTCGAGTAGAACAGGGCCATTAGCTGGTCCTGGGCAGTGGGCTTCGAGTAAGGTGAGGGGACGGGCGGAGGACGCTTAACGCGAACTGCCATGGCTAGATGGTGGTGGTTGGAGAGAAAGAATGTATTGCGGCTAAGCGAGGAAGGCGTTCTCCATTTGTAGAACCCAATCGGTCGCGAGACATAAAGAACGATTGCGAATCCCGGAGGCAAATCATCACTTGTCCTGTAGAATCTGCTCCCGTCGAGGTTTGCAGCATCCCGCATGTTCCTTGCGGCGCCTGTGGACCGATTAGGATATGAGTCTAAACATTAATGTGCCAGGTGCGGCGACAGACCCTACAACCGTGGTGAACATCAACAGACAGTCACGACGGATGTACTGGCCTCTGTCTCCCGTCCCCCAGCTGCTCTTCATCACCTCCGAACCCTGCATCCTCTCTCGTCACACCTATTCACTCTTCCCCTCTTCCTACTTCCTTTCCCTCCTGGCCATTTGATATGCCTTCCATACAGGTCGTTGGACACGAACCGTCGAACCGTTACAATCATTACACAAGCACATCGATCAGTGAAGTGTGATGAGCGTGCTGCGAGGTCTTGGAAATCTGCTGCAATACAAAATTCTATGCTTGCCTGATTGCCTTGAAAATTCTCTTGCTTGAAAAGAGTCTGCATCTCCAGAAGCCTATAGTACCTTGCACCGAGGACTCGCCTTCCTTGGGGTTCATACGTATCTTGTGTGCCATCGTGGCCAACAGCTCTGGTTTCCTTCATGAAATAGCTTGTATCCTCTCGTCATTGCATCTCCGCTTCGGTCAAAAAGTCTTTTAACGGATTCTCCTATCTCCTCTTGTACTCTCAAGAGGCTTCAGAAACACGTTAAGGTGCATCGAGAGAAACTGCGTCCAGCGGTGAAGTGGCATCAGCAGAAATATCCTTATTTGGAAGGGGTGAGTCAGCTAGGGTTTTGATGGGTTCGGACAATAAGCTACACGTACCTCTGCTGAATATCATACCTAGGTATCACAATATTGCTCAAACTACAACCATTCGGTGTAGTTCATGCATCTTTACAAAGGAAGGAAAAGGCGAACTCCTCAAGGTGGGGCTGCATCAAAGTCGAAGTCTCTAAAAGCAAGGAGAAGCCTTGATTCCTGAACGAGGAACCCTCAAATATCCAAGTCGTCAAGGGACTGGAAATCGAAAATGGATCAGCAAGATCAACTTGAGGGCTGATAACAGGATTAGTGTCTCCGAAATAAGGAGAAGGCAAGTGTACTAACTTCACTGGAAGAACCCTAGCATCCAACAACGGTTCACATGTCGGGATCCATACACCAATTCTGACATCGACAACCGTTCGAATGAAACCCACTTCAAGGCGGACAAGCAATATCAAGACCTATGAAATCTTCTTGAAGGAAACAAAGGAGCAAGTAATGGATTTTGTGCTTGTCAACGAAAGAACTGGAGACTACCCCAGTAGATCAAAATCCACCCACAAGACAAAATCTGTCGACTAGCTTGAATACTCGTTCGACTTGAAGATGTTCCATATGCCATTTGTATGGCCAGGAAACGAATGTTGTAAGTAAGACGTACCTCAAGGTATCAACGACTACGTCGTTCATCTCATCAATCCAAATTCACCCTCTTCTATGGTCCCTTCTTTCCCTGCTCGACCTGGTTCCTCATTTCCCTCCTAATCCCTCCGCTTGGATCTTGAGGCGGCTGGTAGAGCTGACAAAGACGCAAAGAGACGGCAACACGAATGCAGTTTGGTTCGAGACAGGACGCGAGTCAGCCCGCTTCTTGAACAGTCGGAATCTGCCAGCCCGTGCCACTCTCGCTTAGTTCCCGCTTGCAACTCACCTTCAAGGATCCTTGCCGATTGTGTATCCTCGTCGCAGTATCACGGAATTTCGGTCTGTCCTAGGCTACACTCAATTTAACTCAATTTATGCTGAATTCCTTGGAGCGTATCTCGAGTGATTTGGAGGACGAATGCAAGCCACATTCAAAGAGGACGGCAAACGTTTACAAGCCACGCGAATACGTGTCTTTGCACTGGATAGTCCACATGTTCTATCGTACAAAATAGGAAGGATAATTAGGATAACTTTCGAGACAGGGAGATGATGTCAGGGAGGAACGAGAGTGAAGATGGGCGAAAGAGAGATGGACAACTAAGGCAGTAATGTGTGCTCGACTTCCATAATGTCTTCCGACATGTACGTGTTACCGAAAGCCTCTCAGGTCCACTCACGCTGGATACAGTGTTAGATGCACGCTTATCCTGATGTCAAAGGACTAGCAAGTGATTCTGTGTATGAGAGAATTCTCGAATTCCATCTGTACAGAATCTTTGACGTGTCTTAACTGGTTTCCCCGTCAAATCTATTCGACTTGGCGATCAAAAATATCTCTCAGCATCTGGTAAAAAGCTGTGTTTGCCGCACCCTTCAACAGAACATGAAGAATTTCATCAAGTCTCACTTCAGTGGACACTAGTACTGGATGGATTCGAAACGATGGTTCTCAGAAGCATTGTAGAAATTTTTCTTACTAGCCTTTAAGCTTTATTCTAGGTAAATAGACTAGAAGGCTAAACTTCAGATAGCACTATAGGAATTCTTTTCAACGTTTCTAGCTCTTGCCTCCAGAAGACACAGTGGTTCAATCTATTGTATTGAAGAAAGTCTCTGGAAACGAGTAAAACATCGGAAGGGGCAGCGTTCCAGAAGGTTATCACTATATATACTTTTAGAGACAGCATTGTGCTTGCTTGCAAAATTCAACTTAAGCACTTTGATTCTAGTACAATGATCCATGTGGACAAACGCTTCAGCATATCGGCCCTTTCTGTGCCACTGGACGCAAGTATTTATGAGTAACATGGTTGAACACAGCAGAAATATCTATGCGTTCTGCTTAGAATGGTCGTATACTGTTCCACATTAGAACCTCGACCGAAGCTTAATTGGCAAGCTTCCTCTGGTCGACGTGTGACGTCAACAGAATCAGAATATAAGTCCGACATGGCATTAACTGCTGGGAGCATCGAAGATTTGAGGTTACTGTCCGCTCCGCACGTTGCCACCATGACCCAAAAATTTGCTGTATGAGGTGCCGGATTTCTAAATAGTGGTTCCTTCATTTACTTTACTTTTTTCTTTCTTTTCGTGGTGACTAGAGGACGTCATCATCGTGGATTGGCGCGAGACGAGGGCTGAGTGCGATCAACTTCTTATCGAGTTTGTGGCAGCTTTCCATGGAACTAAAGGCACGCTCGCAAATCCCGAAAGAAAAAGTCGGTTCATGGGGGACTTCATTTGCCAACATTGATCAGCATTGACAGCGCAATAGAGGTAGGAGGCAAGGTGGGTGGCTTGTTGGACTAGTGACGAGTTGGGGAGAATTCATAATAAGCGAGAGGCTGGCAGATTCCGGAGAATTTCACGAAACGAGCTGACTCGCGTCTTGTCTTGAGGCGATAACCTTCATCTGCGACATGCTTCGTTTTTTCTCGCTGGTCCCTCTCGTCACTACGAATGCCAGTGTTTTGACTGAAGAAGAGGGGATGTAGGCCCACAAGGAGAAAGGAGGAAATACGATGCAGGGGGACCAACAATTAGCTATTTGGAGAAGTGGAATCGTCAAGGTGACCTCTGCTCACAAGAAATTCTGGCCACAAAATCCGGATGGGATGCAGCCTCAGCGTTGTCTCAATGTTCAGTGGCAGCGATGGGTGGTTCTTCAAGGTCTGATCTTGGTCTACTCCAGAGGGGGGGGAGCCACACGTTGCAGAGCCCGGGTTCTGCGGTCTGTTGTAAATTCAATGCTCGAATCTCTTGGGCCGCTTGCAGATAGGAAAATGTAAACCTTTGCTCTTTGTTGGAGGAGACATCGGAATTATGTGTGAATCTCAGTATCGGAGGCATCTCGGAGTCATAATGCGTCTTCAGGTAAACTCGCATTTCTGTCATTCTTGCCCGGAAATACTGATAAACTTATAGTTTTCGATTTGGTCTTTGTGTGTCTCTCCTGCAGGCTTCATCGCTTCACTTTGATCTGGTCTGGCGCTGTTTGATGGCTTGATGGCCTAGAGGGTCTTGATGGTCCTGAATCTTGAATCTTGAAGGCATCTCTGTTCAAGTTGACTCCTTGTCTCTTGCAAATCGATCTTGATGCAGTTCAGCTTGATTCAGGAATATCTAGTCCATTTATGGGGGTGAAAACAGTGCATTGGAGTGGTTTGGTCAAGCGATATGTCGGTATCTAAGAATGATATTCAAGTGTAAGAGTCTTTTGTGCGACCCATCAATACGCTGGCTGACTCACCTTCCATATTAGGTCATCACAGTCAATGTCATGAACAGACGAGATTTTCTTTCTGGGATTTTCAAGTGGCTATTTGAGAGGCTCTGAGAGTTCTGGAGCGGCTCGGGGTAGCTGCCTAGTGATGACCTTACGAATGCAGGTGCACTCCAGCGAGGAGTACAGAGTGTTTGACGAAGAAGACCGTATTTTACCGAACCGTACGAAAGAGGAGTCCTAAAGGAGATCATTTCTTCTTCGCTCGTGCTACTGTTACAACACAGTGTGCATTTTTTGAAAAGAAAGGCATCCTAGAACCAGGTAGCATTCAGGTCAAGCGGAGAACTTCGTAACGTGACCTCCGGCAAGATGTACTGTTGCGTTCTTCCAGCTACCGAAAGATAGGTTCGCACATCAGTCGTCGTTGCCTTTGTCCTGAATTACCGTATGGAAGCCGTAACCAGTGACCTGGATTCGGAAGTGGAATGAGGGAAGTGAGATAGACGAGGCGTGGCGTGAAAATTGTGGTCAGAAGTGTTCAAGGCGGGCAAGGACACTGGTATGTCCGCGGCTGCTGTCTCAGTTCACGTCTGCTTTGGATAGTATACGCGCAACTGGAGATGCTAAACGCTTAACTCAAACGCTGGGCCGTTGAAATTCTCTGTGGGTAATTTGTGGGGATGCTTGAGGACTTTACGGAAGTAGGTTTGACGAGCAGCGATTTGCCTCCGGCTTCGCAGACGCGTGCCGCTCGGTCTGGAAATCGAATCGCTGTTGAAAGCAGACAACGCCCTCCTCGCTTGTCTGCAATTCATTTTGTCCTTCAACCACCATCATCTAGCTATGGCGGTTCGCGTTAAACGCCCTCTGCCCGTCCCCTCACCCTACTCAAAGCCCACTGCCCAGGACCAGCTAATGGCCCTGTTCTACTCGAAAACCGAGTCGCTACTCTCAACAGCATCAAGAAACTCCAAGTGCCGCCTGTGCAACGAGTTCGTCTCAGGCCCCATATCGCACATTTGCCAAATGCACCAACTCGGTGTAAATGCTACCTTCGACTGCCCTATGTGTTTTAAGGCAGTCTCCCTAAACCTCTGCATAGACCACTTCAGGGTCAAGCACGCAGACTCCTTCCTCTCCCCTGTAAAGTGTGGGGAAATCGTTGCCAGAGCACTCCTAGCTACTGGCGACACCCCTGCACAGACGCAAGTCCCTAACCCTGAACCAGTTGGTGCTCAGCCATCCAGCCCAGCACCCGAAGTGCTTCTTCTGACACCCACTCGCTGCCTCAGCTGGTCTGAGGAAATGGACAAAACCATGCCCCATGTTGGCATCCTCACTAACGACCCACACACAGTAATGGGCCATCAGGAAAGGCATGAGGCAGTACAGGCTGCTGTTGCACCTATCCCACACCCCCACTGCAAGGCTGCTATAAGCAGCCTTCTTACAGTTTGCGAATATGCAAACAGCCTGGCTGATACCATTCTCAATGCTGAGGATCACTTCATACCCCCTATTTTGGACGAAACCTCAACAGAGGAAATGTGCCGAATCTTCTTTAATTTCGGCACCCTAACAGGCAAAGTCACTAACCTTGCTGAACTCCTAGCAAACATCTCACAACATGACTCAAAGAAGACAGTTGCTGATGCCCTTCACAAAGCATGGGACAATGGCTTTTACACTAACTGCCCTGAACATGCAGCTGTAACGTCCTCCCAGGTACAACTTGCCATGATGACCAGCACTGCATCAGGCCTGCCAACAATTAGCCCCCCAGTTGGGCAAACACACAGAATCCCAACTGACAGATCTTTAGCTGATATCATCACTACCATAAATAAGCTGGCCAAATCTGTCAAAGCCCTCCAGAAGGGAGAGTTGATGCCTTGTCTGCCTGTATTACAACAACAGCAAACAGCTGTCACCACAGAGACACCACACAGCAATCAAAGGACCTTTGCCCAGACTGCTGCTGCTAGAGCCCCTTCCAAGAAGACTGTTGTCCTTCCAACTTGGCCCTACAAGGCCCCTCTGGCAAAGACAACAAAAAAGGCCCCCCTAGCACCACAACAAACCTTCCATGACAGGAAGATTCTCCTTTGCACAGAGACTGTAGTAAACCCCATTCTGGTTCCCCTAAAGATTGTCAAAGATCTATGCCAGTTCTTGTGGATGCATTGTAAAGCCAACCTCTCTGGAGGCCATTTCTCACTTGATGGCAAAACACTCAGCCTGGATTTCCCTACAACAACTACTGCATACACACAAGAAATCACCTGTTCTGTATCTGATGTATACAAAACCACATTCACAGTCCAACCCCTCTGTACCAAGGTGTTCAACCTCTTTATTCTGAACGTCTGCATCTGTGACTACAAGACACAGTAAATATACACACCTGCACAGTTATGGGACAAAGTTCAACAGAACTACCAATTCAAACCAACTGTCCTAGCTTATCCAACTCGTTTTGCTGCCCTAACAGACAAACTTGCAGAACAGGAATTCTGCAGAGTACAAGTACTGTTGCTTATGTCTTGAACTGACAGAATAAAACAATTCATAGACACCTGCATCAATGCTTACATATGGATGTTTGGTGAGAAACACTGTCTGGAGGAAGGGCAATCCTGGTCAGGCACTGTACAATGTACAAGATGCTGGAGCTTTGGCCACAACATTAATACATGCTGTAGACAATTACATTGCCTGTACTGTAACAGCACCCACACTGTCTCTACACACAAACACACCAAGTGTGCTGAGTGTAAGGACGAGCCTATCTGCAAACACTACTACAGATGCCTGAATTGCTTTGGCAAACACTCTACTGTTGACCAAGAATGCAAAAGCCAACTGTACTAGGCTAGAGCATCTATCCTCTGCAATCACAAAAGCATACTCACAATACAACAGGTTGCCAACATTCTACAGGTGACAATTTCACAAGAGGCAGTAGAATGCTGTATTGTACAACAGGTACAGGCCTCATGTTTTGTAGCAGCAACACTGGAACCCTCTTACAGTTTCATACAGGAACAGGACAAACTGATGGACAACCAGAGTAGTGAAGGAGAGTCAGAACTATCATACATCACCCAACAAGAAGGAATGTCTGAGGACATTGAATACAAGGCTGGCCCTGCCAATAAACATACTAAGACTAATCTTTAAATGAACAGTTTCTTCTATAATATTCACCTGCCTCCTACATCCCCTTTCTCCCCTATTATTTCTTTCAATTGCAATTGCAGTTCTGCCACATTATATATGCTCATTCATATTCTTGAACTTTACAGTGTCCAGCCAGCAATCATAGCCTTACAAGACCCTCCAATTGTAAAAACGTCTGTCAAGACCAGAGCTGGGCTAAAATCATATCCTATTGTTCCAGCAATACCAAACTACTACTACTTACTACTACAATGCAAGAAACTGGATGTTGTGTTCCTCATTCACAACCATGTTATCATTAATATTGTCAGTTGACTCTCTCACAGTAACAATATCTTCACAATCCACTACAACATACAGACAATCCTTAATGTGTACTTACACAGAAGTGTGAGACAACCTGTAACTGAGGATGAAACATTCATACATTACCTTGATCTGCTGGACAACTTCTTGATGATAGGCAATATTAATAGACAACATCCAATCTTTGACAACACTCCCTACACAGACATATTTGCTACATATACAGTACTATGGTTTGAATGGCTAGTTGAGCACAGTCTCCTTACCCTATCATCCTCCCTACTGTTCACATACAAATTCAGAGAGTCAACATCCTCCCCTGACATAGTATTCACAAACCACCCAGCAGTGTCTTACAATATCTTTGTGTCCAGACATTACAACTACTCAGTAATTGTGATCAGCACACATAACCCACCACAGATGTGTCTTCCCCCAGTAATAAAGGAAAAACATACAAGGGTGTGGATTGAGAAATTTGCTCAAATTCTCCCTCCTTTTATGCTTGATCACCTATTAGACACAAAACTGGACTTAGACAGGTTCTTCAAGAACATCTTCATGTTGGCAGCTAACATGTTCTTCTTAGACAGTTCAAGACCATGTACCTAGTTTGAATGGTGGGACAACAACCTTACAGAACAGCTCATAGAGTTATCTGACAAGTCATCAGTCACAATAACACAAGTTATCTTGAACCACAAACAAGACTACTACTTGACAAAGGCTGATCAGTCTAACTATAGAACTCTCTGGACAGCTGCCCAGCAGTACAAACACAAGGACCTGTGTCCCATAGCACAAATCAACAACAAAGATACCTTTCTCAGAATGGATGAGGAGTTCACACAGGCCTACTTTCCAGACAGGACCTCAACAGCCTTTACCCCTCTACAATACAATCCCAATGTAGAAGGCCTTGACAACTACTTCACATTCCCAGAATTCATAGAGTCTCTACACCAAATTGATAAGTCTGTCTTACCTAGCATATCTGGACTCACTCACACACCTACAGAGGCACTGTGCTATACGTTTGATCATATGTTTGCTAATGTACTATAGTGGATACAGGATCTGGAATATATTCCTACTCTACTCAGATGTACACAAGTGTCAATCATATTGAAAATGAAGGACTGAGCACTTGACTCGCCCTGAGCATATTGGCCTATTTCAGTCAAAGAAACCTTCACAAAGGTAATCACTAAGATATACATAGAAAAGTGCACAACTATAATGGAGACCCACCTGGTGTTCCTGAAGGAGATATACAGTAGAAGGAAGCATCTCTCTACAGCAGACACAATATACAATCTACATACCTTTGTCAGGAAGAACAGCAAAACAAGACAAGAACAGTCTCATACCTGCCCTCTTACACTCTTTGTTGATATCCAGGGATTCTTTGACAATATCCTCCTAGATCAACTATGAGAAAACCTACACTCTCTCAGTGCTTCTCCTTGATTAATAAACATGGTTTGAGCCCTTGTAGTTGATAGAGAGTATCTACTCTGTTTCAACCACCAGTCAGGACCCTTGAGACACTGCCTGAATGTTGGAATACCCTAGGGCTCCCCCATCTCCCCTGTCCTAGCAACAATTGCCACATACCACATTATTACTGTAATCAAAACTCAATTCCCTAGTATCTTCATCTGGACCTACCTTGACAACTAGGTGTTTGTCTTTTATGGTGCAAGCAGGAAATCACTAACATCACAAGTCAACATTTTTCTCCATTTCCTCAAAAACCATCTTCACAACATTAGACTCTAACTCAACCCACAGATCAATACAATCCAGTTCCAGTCTAGAACAGTATGGAGCCTCCCTGTTCAGGACCAGATTGTCCACATTAAAACCAAAGCTACATGGCTTGGCTACAGTTTATGATCTGACCTTTTGCCCTCTGACCAGATTGCCAAGGTTACACAAAAGGCCTCAAAACTAACCACAATGATGAGCCATATCATACAACAAACATGCAGCATGTGCCCCTACCAGGCATGCCTCACATACTTCAACATTGTTTGAAGCACTATGATGTATACAGCTAAGACCTGGCTGAATCCTCTCGAACACCAACTCAGCCCACTCGTCAAGATCCAAAACACGTTCCTGAGGATCATTGGCACCTTCCCAAAACCAACTCTCACTACAGACATGGAGAAAACCCTCTCAGTACTCCCCCTTCCTCTGTTCATTAGGCAACTATCTTGCTGCTTCCATGCAAGACAACAAGCATACCCACATATGCTAGCCCCTATTCTCTACATGTCTCATTCAGAAACCCTGATGACAAACGTCCCAAGCTATTGAAGACCAATTACTGTGTCAAAACAATGCTCCAACTGTGAACAATTCCTTACCCCCTTGAATTTCAACAAACATAGTTGTGCAAGGACAGAACTTCCCTTACACAAATGCACACATTGTCACTTCTTGTTCAGGGACCTACAGAAGCACAAATGTCCTGCCATACAGGGTCAAACTGTATGCCAGGTACTACCAAGCAAAATCCCAAATCAGGCAATTCATCATCTTGATTCAACAAATCAGATGATAATTGCTGCAAAGGTGTATGTTCCCATGTCTCCCTCACTCATCAAAGATAATCTAAAACCTGTTGAAATGGCCTGAGTACTCCACTTGCCAGACACTGTGCAGATCTGATATCACCCAGAATTGCAGACAACCACAGTCAAAACTCATACACAGTGTTTCACAGTACAACACCTGGAGAACATCTGCCACACACAGGCTGTCCTCTATATGATGAGTAGGGTCATGAATGACCTCCTGCTCCATTCCACAATTGCCACAAACTGGAAGTTAGCCCTTGAACATCTCTCAACATTAAATGAGTCTACTGAACTGACACAAGATGTGTTGTCCCTTGTGAACGAGTGACAAATCACACTGATATGGACATGTTGGGCAATCATGCCCAAATTCAAGGCAACTAACACTGTATACAGCAACTGGTTATCCCTACATGGTGTTTGCAATCATGCCCAGACAGACACAGATCAGCTATGGGCAGAACAGTCCTATGGTGCAACCTGCAAGCCACAATTTCCTCTCCAGTCTGTACTCCCCTGACAGGCACAGGTTCTACACCTTCGCTTACAAACTGGAACGTGCAACACATGTTCCTTTACATACTGCTGGAACGTAACCCACTCTAAGGAATGTCTGCTCTGCCACAGCAAGGACACGCCTCTTCACCAGATAACTAGATGCCTGGGAATCCTCTTTGACGACTGTGTACAACATTTTCGCAATCGGACCAAGGACCATCCACAAAGGCTAGATTGTTGGCTAGACACTAAGTTCTTTTCTTCTAATTATAAAAACATTTTACATTGTATGTATGCTCACTACCCTGTAGATTATGGATAAGGCCTCTGCTCTGTTTCTCAGTCTATTTCATCTCTGTTTTGCAGTAGATAGCTTCACTATAGGCATGGTTTCTGTGGATCAGCTTTCTCCTACTTGCTGTAGGTTTTCCACCACAGTTTTAGTCCAGCCTACCATTTGAGAGGTCCTTCTATCAATTGCTTCTCTCTCACTGCATTTTGTCACTCCTCCCTGTGAAGAACTTTTTTACATACTTCGAGCCTGCAGAATTGCATGTACTTGTTTAGCTTATTTGTCAATGGTAAATTCATTTGTTGTTCCCCTAAAATTGTAATGCTTTTGCCCTCCTCACCTCTCCGTCACAGTCTTTTCCTCCATCCTTCAGTCTGCTTGACGTATTCTCTCTTTCCTTTGGCTAATCGCTCTGGCATTCATATTTTTGGTCCCTCGCATTTCCTGTTTCCGATATTTTCTCTCGATACATAAAATATGACCCAGTCTGTCACCTTTATTCCACCTGTTCGTCCTCAGCCTGCCCGTCTCGCCATCGCATTCCAGGAGACTCGAAGACGCGACGTGCACCGCTCGGTCAACGTATTTCCTTGGCAGAATGTGAAAATGCCCTGTCATGGGTTTGTTGTCGGAACTGATTGGGCGATGGTGCCATTCGATCACTTGTCTCTGTACCCATCTATCTGACAAGGCATTGCTCTAGACAACGTTCGATAATCGCAGAGATGATCAATTTTCCGATTCAAAACGTTTACAAACGGTAAGCAGATTTTGTCGTGCTGTACGTTTTTGTATTCTTCTTAACTCTGATCTTGCTAGATAAACGAAGAGACGGAAGTGCGGTTCATCCATCCTTACGACTCACAAGAGTATACAAGACATCGCGTGGACTTCAATGTCTTGGAAGAGATCCGCCAGTTGAATATGCATAGACGCGAAGGATTTATGAAGAGGTTGTATGCAACAACAAAAGTATGTGACTCGTGCTCATTCTGTGGTCTACATGTCATTTACTGCTCGCTACTAGTCTGTCGTTTATCGGCTTGCTCGTGGTGTTTGCGATTGTCGTGGAAAACTATTTGGATACCTTTAGTCGAAAAATCACCATTGGGCAATTGAGCTTTGGGTTCATTTTTGGATAACATGTATCCGCAATTTCTCTTGTTTCTCTTGTCCAAAGCATCTAAAATTGTGCGCTTGTATTATAGTATTGGTGTCATTTCGACTGCTGTGTCGCGCAAGTTAATCTTCACGTACCGCCTGTTTGGCACGGACACTTCGTATGAATAAACACAGGTTTATTATTTATCCACCAATAGCGATTTATACACAAGAACGAAGCTGTATATTATACAATGTATGCCAATTATGATAGGCTAATAGATCAGATAGTAAATATGTTTCGCTTTTCTTGTGTCAACAAAGGAATGAGTAGAGGAACAGGTAAGATTCGTCAAAACAATAAGTAGTGGGTACATTTACGGACGCCCGAAAAGATGGTAGTAAAGACTCCGAGCTTTGAGCTCGACCTGTGAAAAGGCGAACTACGCGTATATTAGAATTGCTTGATTCACCATCAACTAGAAGAGCGAAGTATCCATACCTTCGCTCCGACATATAGTCTCTTTAGGACACCCTCCTGCTCAGGCTTCTCTAACTGATCCCCAGAGTCCTCTACTACATTGAAATCCAAAGAATGGTTTGAGTAGTTAAGTAGGTCGAAGGAGTGAAAGAATAGGACTTCGGTGTCTTCGTCAATCTGGTATGACCGCTGGTCTTTAGATCTTTATACGGGGAAAATGAAACAATCAAATCCCACCGCCTGCAAGCGCTTATGGTCAAAGAACTGGTCTTCTGTACACGTATCGAACGTCGTCTATCTCGTTCGTCAGCAACTGCTTCAACTGAGAGAGACAGTCCATTCGCACCGTTGCCCAATCAGTACCCACAACATATCCATGTCCTGACATTTTCAAATGGAAATCCTTCCAAGGAAAATGATCTACCGGACGATCCGCATATCGCCTCTGGCACTGCTGAAATGCGATTGCAAGCTGGGACGGCTGAGGACGGGAGAGTGAGGCACAAGTAGCTTGTTGTGTCATTTTTTACACGTTGATAGAGTATGGAAGACAGGAGCGGTACAAATCCAAAAGGAAAAATGTGAGTCGAGTTAGGAAAAGAGAGCACAAGGGAGAAATTTGCATCAAGCGAACTAAGTGAGGGGAAGAGGGTGAGAAGGGGTGACGGAGAGGTTGGGGTGGCAGAAGCATTCTAGGTCCTTCGGATTGAATTGAGGCCAAGCGAGGAGGGCGCTCTCCATTTTCAGTACCGACTCGATCGCGAGACACAAAATACGACTGCGAATCCGGAGGAAAATCATCTCGAATAATATGCTTCCGTTGGATTGCACAGCATCCCGCAAGTTCCTGGCGGCGCATTTCGACGGATTAGTATATTGGTTTAAACATTCAAGATGTACCAGGTGGAGTGACAGGCGCTACAATCGTGGTGAAAGTCAACAGAAAGTCACGACGGACGTACGGGTCCCTGTTCCTCAGCTGCTCTTCATCACATACGAAATCCTGCATCCTCTCCTCACCACACCCGTTCACCTTTCCACCTTTCCAGTCTCCTTGCCCTCCAGACCGCCTGATGCACTTTCCATACAGGACGTTGGACAAGAACGACTACGAGCACCACAGGAGCACGCCGATTGGTGAGGTGTGATGAACGTGCTGCGGTGTCTTGGAATTACAAGACAAATTCTATGCTTGCCTGCCTGCCTGCCCTGGAAATCCTCTTGCTTGGAACGCTCCTGCATCTCAAGAAGCCTATAGCACCTTGTACCAAGAGCTCGTCGTCCTTGGGGTACATGGTATCTTGTGTGCCATCGTGGACAACGACTCTGGTTTCCTTCATGAAATATTTCGTATCTTCTTTACCACAACGTCTCTGCTTCGGTCGAATGTCTTCAACGTATTCTCAAACCTCCTCTTATACTCTCTAGACGATTCGGAAACAAGTTAAGGAGCATCGAGGGGAATTGCGTCCAGCAGTAAAGTGGCATTCGTAGAAATATCCTTATTTGGAAGGGGTGAGTCAGCCAGAGTTTTGATGGGTGAACAATAGACACACACATACCTCTGCTAAATAACAATTAACATACCCAGGTATCACAATGTTGCTCAAACTTCAACCAATTCTGTGCAGTTTATACACTTAACAGAACAAGTAAATGGCAAATTCCTCAAGGTGGACTGCATCAGAGTCAAAGTCTCAAGAAACAAGGAGAGAACTTGATTCCTGAACGAGGAACTCTCAAATATCCAAGTCGTCAAGGGACTGAACATTGAAGATGGATTAGCAAGATCAAGTTGAAGACTAATAACAAGAACAGTATCTCTGCAACAAGGAGAAAACAAGTTTAACAACTTCACTGGAAGAACCCTAGCATCCAACAACGATTCCGATGAACGAGATCTATGCACGAATTCTGACATCGATATCCCCCCGAAATGAAATCTCCTTCAAGGCGAATAGGTAGCATCACGACACCATGATAAGCTCCCTGAAGGAACAACAGAGCAAGTGATGGATTCTGTGCTTGTCGACGAAAGAACTGGAGGCCCTGCTGTCCGTAGTTCGGCTCTCCATCTCGTTCCAGTAAATCAAGATCACATCATAAGGCAAGACCCGCAGACCCGCTTGAATATTTGGTCGACGTACAAGCCGTCTACCATTTATATAGCCAGAAAACGAATGTTGCAAACAAGACACACCTCAAGGCATCAACGACAACACCGTTCATCTCATCAATCCAAATTCACCCTCTTCTATGGTCCCTTCTTTCCCTGCTCGACCTGGTTCCTCATTTCCCTCCTAATCCCTCCGCTTGGATCTTGAGGCGGCTGGTGGGACTGACGAAGACGCGACGAGGACGGCAACACGAATGCAGTTTGGTTCGAGACAGGACGCGAGTCAGCCCGCTTCTTGAACGGTCGGAATCTGCCAGCCCGTGCCACTTTCGCTTAGTTCCCGCTTGCAACTCACCTTCAAGGATCCTTGTCCATTGTGTTTTCTCGTCGCACTATCATGGAATTTCGGTCTATCCTAGGCCACACTCAATTTAACTCAATTTACACTGAATTTCTTGGAGCGTATCTCGAGTGGTTTGGAGGATGAACGCAAGCCACACTCAAAGAGGACAGCAGACGTTTACAAGTCACGCGAATATATATGTTTGTACTGGATAGTCCAGATGTCTTATCGTGCAAAATATGAAGGATAATTAGGATAACTTTCAAGACAGGGGGATGATGTCAGGGAGGAACGAGAGTGAGGATAGGCGAAAGAGAGATGGATAACTGAGGCAGTAATGTGTGCTCGACTTCCATAATGTTTTCCGACATGTACGTATTACCGAAAGCCTCTCGGATCCACTCACGCTGGATACAGTGTGTGATTCGCACTTATCCTGATGCCAAAGGACCAGCAAGTGATTCTGTGTATGAGAGAATTCTCGAATTCCCTCTGTAGTACGGAATCTTTGACGTGTCTCAACTGGCTTCCCCGCCAAATCTATTCAACTTGGCGATCAAGAATCTCTCTCGGCACCTGGTAAAAGGTTGTGCTTGCTGCACCCTTCAATAGAACATGAAGAACTTCATCAAGTTTAGCTTCAGTGGACACTAGTACTGGATGAATTCGGAACGATAGTCTTCAGAAGCATCATAGGCATTCTTTCTTACTAGCCTTTAAGCTTTATTCTAGGTAGATAAACTAGAAGGCTAAACTTCGGATAGTACTATAGGAGTTCTCTTCAACGTTTCTAGCTCTTGCCTCCAGAAGACACAGTGGTTCGATCTATTGTTGTTAAGATGAGACTACACGAGAGTATGTCTCAGATGATATAAACTACATTACAAGCAATGACGAACAATGATGGAATACCTTCCATCATACATTCTACATCTGAGACATACCTACATAGTATATATAGACTAACTAATCAACAGACGATGAAGCAAGCCGCAAGAGAGCAAGCCGAGTCCACTATCCCCCCTCTTTGTGTGATCTCTCTAAGCCTCTCACATAACCTCTTTCCCCTTTCTTAACAGGTTATGAGCCTTGTACTCCCTGCCTATGCTTTATCTACACTCTACTATGTCTATGCTCCATACAGTTCTATGCATCACATGCATACACACAGCATACTATGATGCAGAACTCGACACACCTGTCTGAGTATCCCAAACGTGAATCAATACACTGCAAATGCACAATCTACCATACTACATACAACCCAGACATTATATGATTGTCATCTTAGTGATTATGATCATTGGCCCAGTAATAACATAATCTATGCAGACAATGTTGAAACTATAATGAGTATCACTTACTGCAATTATTAAATGCTAAAATACTCTATAATATCATGGAGATCATGTTATAATAAATTAACTGATCATACTACAGACAAACATTAAAAAGATTAATAAAGCAAACACTACTCTTCTACTATTAACATTACAATAGTACAAATGATTGACACTGTCAACAAACAAACATACTATGTTATAGTATAAATCAAATAATAACACATATAGTAATATCACAGCCAAACGATTACTGCTGCTTGCATAATTCCTTAGAATGGCAAGATCACATGATTTTTCGTTACAAAGTTGAAAAACACAAAGAAAATACAATATCTCACTCAATCCTTAACATAAATGTGTACTATTAGTACCTAAATTTATACTTTTAAAATCCCCTTCAGATAGATACTTTATTAATCAAATTTG